TTCAGTTGGCAAAGAAAGGATGTTAAAGGGACAAGGTAGAGCCTCTAAGGGTATTTGCGACGAAATCGACGTCGCCAAGATCGACCATCTTAGAGATTAAAGCGACGACCACAAAAAAAAAAAGAAAAAGTATCCTGCACGTTTAGAATTTTTGTTTTCATGCGTATTAAAAATGCTGCTTTTTTATTTTCTCGTTTCCATCGTCCGCGTGGTTGATGAAGCTCGCCTCTAGCGTTGCCACGCAAAACAATATTTGATATGCAACAATTTCCTTCACAAAACGACGTTTTGATGGAAAACGCAGAACGAAAACTATAATAGTGCTCACAATTTCTTGGCTCGCTGTTAGCCAAAACGCTAGTCGTGGCGTACCAAATTAATTAAGTAGAGGATTACAAACAGATATCACCGGATAACAAGTAAAAAGCAACAAGAAAAGAAAAAATGTGTAATTTCGTCAAAAAAGAAAAACAAATCTGTGTAATGCACGTCGTGAAGAAGCTGAGGTTTAGGATTTCGCGATTTCGCGTTATCATGGTTGCATCAAGGTACTTATTTGTCTTTTAAGGAGGAGAAGGAAGGACAGAGAAGGTTAGGGTTTTCGGAGAAGACTGACCACCTACCCCTCCCCTAACTCAAAAATTTGCCCTAAGTAAGAATTAAGTGCTAATGTTGACTTAGGGGAGGGTTGGGTGGGAAGTTACCCAAAAAACCTCAATTTATCCGGAAAAAAGGCTAGAGACTAAAGAGGTAGGGAGAGGAAGGAAAGATGTTGAACATGAGGAAGTTGTAAAGAAAATAATGACGAGCGATGGAGGGATATGAAGGAAGGAAAAAAAATGGAGAGAGAAAGTAAGGAAGCAGAAGGAAGAAGAGCAAAGAGTAGCGGGAGTGAAAGGAAGACAGTGGCCTACGCCACAGACGAAACTAAGCTCTGGTTAAGACCGTCTGTGAAACAGCGCCGAAATCCTTGTTCTGGGTCCCCAGCTGTGTACCAGGAATTGAGCACGTGTCGTGATTGGCCTGTTAAAAAAAGCCATTGTCGATTTGCCAATCAGGTTGAAGGGAAATTTGAAACGCACTTCCGGTAATTTGTTAAGCCAGTTGGGGGCCCCAACCAAGGATCTCAGCACTGCTTCGCAGACGTTACTTACCGGGGTTAAATAAAGTCTGCAACACAGGCTACGAGGAGTGAGGATATAGAACAATAGATTGAAAGCGAAAGGAAATAAGAGTGAGGTAGCAAACTGAGGAGAGATGAGAGATAAAGAACAGTAGAATGAAAGACAGAAGGAAAGAAGAGAAAGGCAGAGACAAATAAACAATTTCAGAGGAGGAGGATGCAGGGGAAGCAAGAATTAATGATCTACTTTATTCCTAGTAGTTTACTGTAACTCACCATTGCAAGTATTGCTGACGTTTCTGTATCCTGGATCACATACACAAGAGTCTGTGTTATTGATCTTGAAGCAACCTGCATTCACTGGACATGGCAGTGGATTGGTACAGTTTGGCAGGGCTGGAAAGCAAATTGTTACTCATTACGTTTTTTAGTTGATAATGACCACTTTTTTTTTCTTTATCTATATTCTCATAGAACACACTTCTCTACACTACAAGACGCAAAGCGCCGGTGTGATACTTCACACTCCCGTAGTGGTGGGAGTATTTTTCGTGTCTGTCCTTAGTATCACTCTCCGTTTTCACTCTCATTCCAGACCTTTCCTTAGAGAACTTGCACGCGTCTTCTTAACCCAGACCAAAATACAGGCTGTTTTGCAGTCTAACACTTCCCATCCTCCGTCAAGACAGAATGTGACAATGAACTGTTTTCCCTTTGGCACTGATACTTCTCATACAGTCGTTTGGACTATCATAATGCAATGTTCTTTTATAACTAATGAGCCTTTGGGAATCAACATAGATAAAACTCATCATCTGCTACTTGGATCGTCTCTTCACCATAATAAACTTGACCAATCGTTTCCTTGAGAACCTCAATCAAAGTATTAATTTTAGATAATACAGGTCTCTTGTGCACTGTCACAGGTATCCCAGCTTTTACACGCACCTATGTTACAGTCCTGTCCTTGATGTCCCAGGTGACAGCTGTCTGGTCTGCAGTGTCCTGTGCCAAGTAACCCACTGTCACACTGTCCATGAACACAGTGACAAGCTGACAAGGAGAGAGGTGGACATGATTTAGATATCATAATTACTCACTGTATCTCAGGTAACCTAATAAAAGAACTCACGCCACAAGAAAAATGTATTGGTAGATAAAGGGGGGCCAAGGAAGACACCCTTACCCTCCCTGCTCCCCCCCTCCGCATTTCATCTACAGCTGTCTGTTTCCTCTTAGACACAGGTGCTCTCAGAGTTCTTTCACCAATAAAAGATTATTAAGACCTATTAACAGATAAAAGTATCATATTATAGCTGGCAAGTCTCCCGATGCCCCGCCCTCTTTTGGTATTTTCTGGATCCACCATTTTCACATAGACCACAATAATGTACCTTGTTTACCCACCCACCCCCCCCCCCAAAATTTGCATAACCATTGTCTTGGATTTCTCTTGGGACAACTGTTATAGTCAGGGGAAATTGGAAACAATAGTTATGCAAAATTTGGGGGGCAGGGTGTGGAGGGGGGGGGGTAAACAAGAAGCATTATGATCTATGTGAAAGTAGTGAATTGAAAAAAGACTATAAAGGGGACAGAGAGGGCATCCCCCATATACACCTTATTCCATAGGTAATTCGTCTCGAGTTATTTTTAGAATCGGGATAAAGTTACCTTGCGTGAGGCGTGGATGTTTCGTGGAGGTTTCGCATGACCAAACGCCGTGCAAAACATGTCGGGCGAGAGGCAATGAAAGCGTAAAAAGATCGAGAGCATTCCTGAATATTGAAGCGAAATGAGTCGGCGCTCACCTGGGAAAAAGGAATCGCTGGACTCTTTGACAACCCGTGAAATCAGTTTAACTCGAAGTTGTCGTAACCTCAGTGCTTTAATAAAATGAGAAATTTCGCCGGTCTATTGAAACCGGTCGTTTGTACAATTTAGGGAGTTTAAGATCCAACGAGGCGGACGACAACTAGAACGTCAAAAAACAATAGGTTTAATTAGCAAAAAACAACAACCGCACGTGCAACACACTTTTTGTTCATTTCTTTCCCGTTTTTGCAACGACTACGGCGTGAAAATGCCTAATTTCGCGTTTTGTGGAGGACGTAAATAAGCAGCTTATTTAAATTTTATTTTGCTTTCTGAGCTTGAATATGGTCCCTTGAAATTCAGCTTTAGGAGGGTTCGCCTACAATTGACAAAGTAAGTGGGTAGGAATAATCGCTATAAAGACTGAAAAAAATAAACATCAAACCAGAAATTGCTCTCTTCAAACTGTAAACTATAAATGATCCTGAGAGAATATTCAGTGTGTTAAGGATTTCCCTGCTCTACTGTTAGCTCTTGTCGAATCCCCCTTGAGATCTGTGGTGTTAAAAATAACTCGAGACGAATTACCTATGGAATAGGGTGTATATGGGGGATGCCCTCTCTGTCCCCTTTATAGTCTCTTGGTTATCTTTAATGGACAAATAATTATCAAAATGTCCTGAGTCACTGACTCATGGTTTTTGGGCAGTCGTCATTTACCACTTAAAATTAGATAATATAAAACACTTTTAGGGGTCAAAAGGCATGAAAGATCTAGATCGATGTATAACATTTAAATGCCATGGTATAACAAAATGATGTTCTTTGCCCCAGTTTTAATACAGTGTATAGTAGGTTAAAACCCTGATAAAAGTCCCCCCCCCCCCCCCCTTCCAATTAAAATGAATGTAATTTCAATCAGGTGGCACATTTTGATATTGGGATTCCACTGCAAATCATATCAAAATGAAATTTCTTTGGCACAGTGTTGCACAAATATTATAAATTAAAATTGAGTTAGTATAGGTAATAGCATGATTAGTAGTGATATTTGGCATAAATACCACGAGTGATATTTCAAAATTGTTATACGTAATTTCACGAGCAGTTAGGCGAGTGAAATTTGAGACAATTTCCCAATATCACAAGTGGTATTTATACCAAATATCGCGTACAAATCTTGCTATTATTTGTTTATACTTTACCTGTAAAAGGTTTGTAATTTTCACATGTAGGTATTTCAAATTAAGCCGAAATACCACTGCTCTAAGCCAATCAAATTGCAGAAACTTCTCATGTAGTGGTATAATTCAGTTAATTTTAATATGAATTATTAATTATAAAAAGATAAGAAAGAGATCATTGAACAAACGACATGTATAATCAAGACATTAATGAGTTTATAATAATAGCAATATTAAAGTCAGTAGTTTTAAAATTTTTCTTTGATATTAGTCCTTATGTTAGTGGGAAAATTACTGGAATGCTTTTGTCAAGGTTAATTAGCTGAGTCACAAAAGCCAAGGAGGAAAAGACAGCACTCAATTCTGTTGATTAATTTGCACATGGAGAAGGTGAATTCATTTTCATCATTAAGTGCTTAATTAAAGTCTTAATATCGTTAATGACACTTAAAATGTTTCAACTAAAAAAAACATCTTCAGTTTAAAAACATTTTATAAAAATCCTTGATTCTTTGAGCCAAGTTAATTAACCTGGTTTCTATTTTTTTTTGGTTGTTTAGCAAATTTTTAAATGGGTAACTTATGAAAAACCTGGCTAATTTGCCAAATACACAGCTAGTCAAGCACTGAGAATTTTATCATGTACTTCTTTCATGAATTAACACTTACTTTCATTGCAGTAGCTGCCAAATTTGTTTGAGTCTTTACACAGCTCACAGGCAAATCCTTTGAAACCATCCTGATGAGTCAACGTACAAAGTAAAGAATCATTGCTAACTAAGTGAGTGAATAATGGTGACCTGTACTATGAAGGAAGGATATGGCACACATAAGGAACTTAAATCAACATCCATACCAAGACAACTGCTTCAGTTGCCTCTAGACTAGCTATAGGCCTGTGTACACTACTGTAAGAACTTGGGTGAACTGCAACTCTTACCTGGCAAGTGCAGGTTCCATTACCAGTAACCTTGTCACTGCAAGATCCACGCCCACTACATGGGGGACTACCAGGACATGCTATGATTCACAGACAAAACAATGTTAACTCTTTAAGCCCCAATGTCCACATACAAATTCTCCAGTTACATACATTACATTATTAGATACTTAGTTGAGAGAATTTGATAAAAAAATAGTACCATTTCCCTCACTTCCCAGATCATGTCAGAAATCTAATAACCTTTCCTCTTAATAGTCTATTGAAGTTATTAGGAGAAAATTGATGTTAATGGGGGGGGCACTTAAAGGGTTTAAAGTTAGAATCATTTTGAGTATTCCCTGATAACAACAGGCAAAAAAACAGGGAAATCATCCACTCTCCCCCCCTCCCCTCCCCTCCCCTGTCTCTGCCTTCACCCCTCTCCCTTGTTTTTATTTGCCCATTTCCTACTTAATATAACTGATCATTGCACTAAATTTTAAAAATCAGTACTTTTTTCTCTGGAAGAAATAAATTCTTCAATAATTTGCAAATTAGTACAACATACTTTAATCAGTTGTGATCAAACAGTCATAGCCAGATATTATCCTGCTACATTTGTGTTCTTTGTATTGAGTATTAAAACTCAGTATTTTTTCTCTTCAAAAAAATAATTCTTCAAGTTGGTTTGACATATTTAACAGTCATAATCAGATATTGTCCTGCTCATTATACCAGCAAATGAGATGATTAATTGGTTTCATTCTTTGCTTTAATACAACTTGAGGGTACATGACTATGAGTCAATTTTCAATTTCTTTCGAATTTTGAAGTCATTGTTTTTTTTCAAGTGTTTTTCTTTTAAAAATAGCCCTAGCAAGATTATGGTTTCTATTCCTATTATATTGTTCACATTCTTCGTTAAACCACAGCATAATTAAAGCCTCAACACAATATATCTACTGTACGAAATTTAAGGTTTTGCTTCTAAAATTATCCGCCTTTACGTAATGTGTATTGTCATCTAAATTTCGGGCCAAAAAGTTAATTTTCATATGACCACCGGATGTTATTTTCCATGATTGACTGATACTTATCTTGCTAAAAAAAATCATTGTAGGTTCTACGGACTGTCTGTGATGCAAAACCGTAACAGCCGCCTTGTAATTGAAAAACGATGAAAACATATAAACAAACCCGATTTACTTCCAGTTGAACTCACTATTAAACGTCTACAACAAACTAAAAGTTGTTTTCTATAAATTTCATGGTACACGATGGCGTACATTTCTTATTTTTAATAACTAGCTCTTAATATGTTCAGTTTAGTTCTGTGGATTCTGAAGTCAAATTATAAGCGCGAACTACGTAATAAGAAAAGGCGACTTTGAAGAGGACGTCTAGTAAAGCTCTGAATTCGCCGTACGCTTGGCATTTTTAAACATGCTTTGAGAAAATTACCTGAACGTTTTTTCGCTTATGAGATTGTCTTATTCCAGGGCAATATCACATCAAAAATAAGTGACTGCTGTGTTTAATCTTGCTAAGACAAAATTGCTAAATATTAAGAGCAGAACATGCGAAATGATGCGTGTTAATTTTTAAAAGCACAAAAATATATCGTGTGAAAAAGATACGGCGCATATAAGTATGAGAAGAGTGTTCATGATAAAGTTCCCATGCTACTGTATTGATATTGTCTATATTTTCTAGAGATTTTTCTTTCCCATTCATGTTTACTGTAGCTGCCATAAAATGTATTTAAAAATTAAAAAATTAAACTGCTAGAATTTCACAGCGGAGAGTCGAAAAGACAGCCGTTTCAAAGACAGAAAATTTTGACTTCACGCTTGTCCATACACACTCGTTAAATATATTCTATCTTCTTCACTGAAAATATAGGCTTTGTCGCTGTTTGAAACAGTCATTAGATTGACCTTTCCAGTGAGAGAGAACGTGCACAACTTTACTGGAATAAAATATAACATAATAGAAAATTCAAATATATCGCTTGTAACAAATTTTCCCGGAAGATTCATGTCATGTGATCCCTTGGCGCCAAAATTTCCCGAAAAAGTGAAATATCTCAGCTTTATAATAAAGACTTAAGATTAAATTTCGCATTTCTTAGCCAATATATACACTTCGCTTGGGTTTGGAAATAAAAATTCCTGCTGAATGAAATTTAAATTCAAGAAAACTGTCTATGTTTACATAATCTATAACAGCGGAACAATGAAGTTATTCAACAACCAGAGAGATTTGTGTATTCGAGTTATAAGATTTAACTGATAAATTTCATTGCAAAATACCTTGACAATCTTGTCCCCAAAACCCACTGCAGCATTCTTTTTGTATAAGAGTTCGCCTGCACAAATGTTGACAGCCAGGGACAGAAATTCTGCCCAAGTTTGGTCCAAAATTTAAGAAAATTGTACAGCGTTGAACACCTTCGCCGCTCGTAACTTGTTGATAACCTATCGGGCAACCTTGGAGAACATTTATGTTACATTCTGAACAACGATGCCATATGTTGCTGTAAACTTGCCGATCGCATCTCTGAGCTATTAAAATAGATGGCAACATAAACACGATTACGTTCAACAGAAAGAATACAGAGATCGTTGATCGCTTCGCCATGCCTGGAAATGCCCTGCTGCAACTAAGCTGTAAAAGTTTTCGAAGCTCGAGTCTTGACCGCAAAATTTACAACTTCCTTCAAGATTATCTGCACTGCAAGCTTGCTTCAAGTGGATGTTCTAGTTTTTTGAGGAAACCATATTTCACACAGTAATTTGCATATCGGGATCTGTTGACTTAAAAGAGCCAATGAATGAGAACAAACCCTTCGCGTGTCCTTTTGAAACCACATGCACGCTATATCAGGGTGAAAAGGGAATGAAGGCGCAAGGAAGATAAATTTGGGATAAAACTCGTAACAGACATTTTTTTCCTCTTTCACTTTCTATACAGTAGAAATTTATCGGCAAAACGTCAAACGGGCTTGGCTTAACTTTTCACGCACTTCCGTTTTTTATATGCAGCTGAGTTTCGACTCTTTTTATAAACTGTCTATCTAACTGCGTTATGTTTGGAGATCTATCTGTTTTACATTATTAACGCTATAAATAGACAGCTCTTGTCCATTGAAATAATGAACCTACAAGGTTAATTTAAGAGTAGTAAAACGATCAAGAACTTCACTTAAAACTCAGAGATGTGTCACAGTAAAGTTTCGTTTTGCCTACCACGCGGCCGCAAAATGTTTTTCTTAAAAAAGAAGATTAAAATTAAGAAGATAAGATGACAGTTAATTGATAACCTTTCTTTCTTTTTTCACCGGTTGCTTTGTTTGGTTTTGTTTTGTCTACCGAATTATGTACATTAACTCTTTTTAAACTGAGTAAAGCAGTCTTTACTGTATTAACTTTACACGCCGCAAAATTGCTACTCTAATTGCAAATTTGGAGCAAATTGCAAATCTGAAGATGAATTCTATGGGTGAGATAAAAGTAGCATCAAAAGTTATATCTCCTTCATCGTATAAGCGAATCATGCTACTTTTCTAAAAGAACAGTTTTTTTATTGATATAGAGATCCCTTAAACGATTTTTCATGGAAATTTTCTCCTTTAGTAAGAGCAATCTGAGAAGCAATTTGTCACCCGACCGGACGCGAAAATGCATGGCCAAGATGTTTGCTAACTACTTCAAACACTCCTTCGTCAATTAGAAGACCAAAGTTGCGACGGAAGCAAGAAATGTGCTCGAGAAAAAATATCCGGTTCGTTGCCAAATGTTTCAGTCACAGGAACAAAAGTCCAGCGCGAACAGAACAAACGACACTTCTCAGTATCCGATCAGTAAAATATCTGTTGGAAGAAATAATTATCGCCTAGAAGTTTTCATAGCTGGAGGTCGGATATAAATATGTAGATAACTATTCCATTAAGGGGCAAGACAAGAACGGAATTTACAAGAGCCATAATTAATGAGCGAGATTTTTGGAGTTATTCTGTTAACTTCCATACGATTATTTGGATTTTTAATCCGTTCTGGCGACTATTATACGTGAGAAGGGGCTACTTAATTTTCCTGTTTCGAAAAAAGTGAGGAAACTGGAAAGAGATTCTTGTTTTCGGCGTAAACGACGATAAGCCCTAATAGGAAGATTTAAAAGCCTCACGAATACGGCAAACGGCAAACGTCGGATTCAAGTTGACAATTTCGCAAAATAGAAAATGAGCAGATAAAAAAAGCTCAAAACAATTCTTATGGATAAAAAGTTGCGTGAAACTACTAATTTATGCGTAGAAATAATCAACAGTAAACCACACGTAAACGTGATGCTTAACCTCTCTAATGAAGAATACTTGGTCTTGACAAGATCGAGATGTGCATGTGCGTCATTGACAAAGGGTGAGGTCAAATATGGCTGGATATTGACCTGGTTCATTTTTTCCTGTTTTTATGGAACGACATAAAGACGAGCTCTTTAAAAACGTAAGAAACAACGAGGCAAATACCAAGCTCCCTGGACCGAACAGGCTTTGTCTCATTAGTCAATAAAGGATTTATCAAATAGCCAAAAAGAAAGTTTCTCTTACGAAACCAACGAGGGAAACTCCGAGCGGTCACGAATTGGCCCATCTTGCCGGCTCGGATAGCCAATCAGATCACAGGATTCGCTTTATTATGCCCGCTCGCGGATTTCGCCATATAATAAAGAATTGTTTTGGTTAAGAAATGTTGATGACTTATTGGTCAATCAAACAGCTTCTGCTTTGACTTGCCGGATTATTAAATTTAGTTAAGTTTTAACGTACTACAAATTAGCCTGTGAGAGCATCCGGTTTTTTGGCTCTAGTTTCACCCGCCGAGAAAAACTTTTCGGAGGGAGAGAAGTGACGACCGGAAATACGTCTGCGGTTCGCAGGCTAACTACAAATTGAGATGAATAAAATATAACTTCAGGCTAAACAATTCATAGTCCCCAATTTTTCCGTGAGATCAACGAGATCGAAGGCTTTGCGTTACGGGCGGCCATCTTGGGCGACTATCAAATCTACTTAGGGGGTGGGGGACAGTTTGGGAGGAAGCGCCTCCCTCCCCCCACCGCTATAAAGTCCGAGGCCCACCCCCCGGAACATATGAAATTGAGGGTTAGTGCTCAATCCTGATGATCTTACAAACAAATAGTGGACAGTGAACAATCTAAACAAATCAGTGCATCTTACTTTTGCAAACAATCCGATTGGTCGGATTAGTTTATACGTCGCAGAGTTTTAAGTGGTCTTTCAATAAACAAAAGTGCAAGATTTCCTTTTCAAACCGAGCGGGATAAAGATCAATGCTACAACTTCCACAATGAACAAAAATAATAAAGAAAAGAAAATGCACGTGAAAATATAACAGCAAAATCACATTAAATTCTAAACAGGACCTAAACGTCTATTGGCAGCAAACTGGAGAATGCAAACTCTGTTTTAATTTCCTAAACGGACGAGAAATAATTGGGAAAATCTCGACAAGTGTTTTCGTATCTTCTCAGATACTCATGAAATTTAAGTTTTCCCTTTTTGTTTGCACAGCTTCCCAATGATAATTTTTTCAGTCCCCTGATACAGCTGTTTTTCAAATAAACGCTTAAAAGTGAAAAGTTGAAGGATTTGTAAAATGGATCAACATTTTAAAATACGAAAGTTGTGAAAGGTAGAAAACTACGAGGGAGTAGGCATGATTAAAAATACAATACAAACAGTTCGCCCTATGAGGTAATTTGGATTCTGGAATCCTGGAAATTTTTGCTTGTTTAATCCAGGGCTTTGGAATCCATCCCATGGAATCCGGAATCCCACGAACGATTGGAATCTGGACTCCAAAATCCACTGCCAAGAAATCCAGAATCAAAAACGAGGAATCGAGAATTCAAGACTCTTAAATCACCCCACATGGGGCAAAACAGTAGCCTCCCACGCAGGTGTAGTTAGTGGAGCCCATATTTCATCATATTTTGTGGGAAGGGACTAAATACAAGCTCCCCTCAAACGACTGGGTGGGAGACTAGCAAAACAGCAGCGAGTTAAAATAAAGATGATAAAATGTCCGCTCAATTTAGCATTTCATTTGCTACTACATATAGGTTTTCAAAAGTAGCAGTTATGAAACAGGGATATCAATGAGCCTTGAGAAAGTAAAGTCTGACAGTTGCGGATCCAGGGTAATGGGGTGTGGGTCCAAGGCTGAGGAAAATGTGTTTAAAATGTTTTTTTCTCTCTCTCTCTGGCCCTAAGGAAGGCTAATTTTGTTAGCTGAAATATTGTTCTCAAATAAATCAGCTCTTTGACATATTGCCAGCCTTGTATTCAGTTTTGTTTTTGTTTTTGTTTTTTATATATATTTTTTGTTACAAACATTTCCCTCCTGATAACGCAAGAAAGCAACTCTTAGAATTCAAAAGCACAAAGTAGAAGTATCAGAAGCGGAAAAAAACAGGAAGCGAGAGTTTAGTTTAACACTGATCATTTAAAAGAAATATTAAGCTTATAAAAGCAGAAGAAAAGCCCCAGAGAAAAGCAGGCATCTCTAAAACTGAGCGCCCAATTATGCTCCTGTGCGCTAACTTGTGACATTATTGCAGTATTGTATAATAACCATAAAAATTCCCACTCTAAACTTCGAGAGAAAATCTTACCCTTAACTCAATTACAATAGAAGACAGTACCACTTAAAGTACTAACCTTTGCAATTTGCTGTTTCTTTGCGATTTCGATTTCGGCGCCATGTTACTTCCGGAAAAAACTAGGGGCGACTAAGGGGCGACTGGGATCGAATAAACAACCGCATGCTTTTAAAGACAAAAAATACGTTCCGCTGACAAACTTTTCACATAATGCGTGATCGATCTCATGGAATGGTTGTATTCGGTATTCTTGTTCACGCGATATCAGGAATTGAATCAATTGAATATAAAATCTGGCGAGAACTATCAGAGAAAAACTACGCTGAAAAAACTATCCTGATGATCCAAAAACAGAGGTCGTGGAAGCTGCTAAATCTGGAGATGCCGAGTTACTCAATGAAGTTCTTGAGGAATTGAACAGTGCAGAAAGAATTTTAGCCGTTAGGGATTATCCGTTTGGGCGTGAACTTAAAACAACACCGCTAATTAATGCAGTTGAAAATGGAAACCTTGATTGTGTGAAAGTTCTTTTGAAGTACAAAGCTGACACAGAAGGACGAGGGGATTTTCACCTTTCAGACCTTTTTCCGTATCCTTATTTCTGGCTTTGTGGCACACCTCTGTGTGTTGCTGCTGCTTATGGAAATCTTGAGATTTTGAGTTGCTTAGTTGAAAATGGAGCTGATATCAATGCAGCCACAAACTATGTCCCTGGTCTCACGCCTCTGATGTTCGCTGTTCAAGAGAGTCACATTGATGCAGTAAACTATCTTCTTGATCAAGGGGCAGATGTAAACCTGCAACAGGAATCTGGTTATACAGCTCTCCACTTTGTAGCTGCTAAGGGTTATTTTAATGAAATTAAACTTTGAAACAGCGCCGAAATCCTTGTTCTGGAAAAATGGGTACCCTGATTTAAATGCGCCACGATTGGCCAGTTAAAAACAATCGTGATCGCCAATCAGGTTGAATGTTGGCTTTGTGTTGAGTCGGTTGGGGTCCAGAAAAGGATCAATAGACAGCATTTAATGAGTTTAGTTATATCTGATCAAGCTGCTAAGTGTTATTTTAAAGCCTTGAAGCACCTAATGAAAAATGGGGCTGATGTTAATGCACATGACGAAAACAATGATACTCCTCTGATGTTGGCTTGTGAGGATGTCAATAAGAAAGCAATAGAGCGCGTTTATAAAAACAGTGGTCATGATGTAACAAGTAGCGCATACAACTATTTTGATGCTGTATCCCTACTCATTGATCAAGGTGCTGATGTAAACCTTCAAGACAATTCCGGTTATTCAGCTCTGCACTTTGCCGCTGGTAGTACCCACAAAAATGGTGTGGCTATTAATGTATATGGCTTTGATGTTAACATAATCACAGGCGACAAATGCCCCTCTCGGATGGTACCATCCCAGCATAACAATATGAAAGTAGTCAACTGTCTTCTTCAAAATGGAGCTAATGTAGAGCTTCAAGACGAAGATGGTCAAACAGTCCTCTTCCATGCTCTACGGAACAAGGGCATCTCCTTTGGCATTTTGAGTTCTCTGGTTAAAAATGGAGCCAATCTTAACACAAGAAGAAATGACAAATGCACACCTCTCATGAGTGTGACACAGAGTTGTGGTATTTATGAGGAACAACTAGTAACTTGGCTCGTTGAGAATGGAGCCAACGTGGATCTTCAAGACAAAGATGGTCTTACAGCTCTTCACTATGCTTGTATGTCTGATAACTCGTGTGAGGTTGTGAGTTGTTTGATCAAAAATGGGGCCAATATCAATGCATGCACAGGTAATAAAGTCACCCCGCTGATGAGAGCAGCTAAAAAAGGTAACTCAGATGTTGTCAGCCTTCTTATTGCACATGGAGCTAATGTGGATCTTCAAGATAAAGATGGTGATACAGCTTTTCACTATTCTGCATGTGAAGAAGACTCCCTGAACAAGATGCCAATGGGAAAAACCATCTTGAAACTGTTAACTGCCGGAGCATCCTGTTTGTGTAAAAACAGTCATGGATTAACACCTCTTCTTGCCACTAGTAATAGCAGCAATAGAAGAAGTGTGCTTTTTTTAATCAAGCGACCTGAGTTTACCAAAGAGCAAAGAATTGATGCTTTAGAGCTACTTGGAGCTTCTCTGTCTCTTGACCATTGTTATTGGGGAGGATTTAGGTACATCAAGCATGGCATGGAAGAAAGGTTTACTGATCCTTTTAATCCTATTTTAAAACAGCAAATGGAACCCATTGAAGCTTATCAGAACAGGAAAGAGAGCCAAACTCTTGAGGAGCTTGCTCTAGTTGAAGGTGATAAAAAAGCGATGATCATGGAAAGCCTTGTTGTTAAAGAAAGAATTCTTGGAAGGAACAATGAAAAACTACTAAAATCAATTAGATGTGCTGCTAATTACTTTGGGTGCCATCAGTTTTCTCTATGTATAGGGTTGTACAGACATGCCATGAAAATAGCCCAGTGCTGCAATCAGTCGGCTTCACGTGATTTAAATGGTATCACCAAAGTATTGGAAAGCAGGTTGGAGAATAGCCTTCCCAAAGAGGATCCTGTTTTTGAATTGCTAGACCAAACAGTTCTTGATCATGACTACGAGTTGCAAAGAACAAAAGAACAGGATGACTACCTTTTTGATTCTTTATTCAGAATTCTTCGGATGATCGGCCAAAAGGAACTTGGTGAAAAGGATAAATTCTCAAATGCAGCAGTTTTATTAAAAACTATTTGTAAGTTAAACCCTCGAGGTTATGAAAGGAATACATTGTTACATGAGTTCATCAGATATTCTGGCCACAGTGGTTCTTCACAGTTGTGCACTGCTGCAGTGAAACTTCTTGTGAATGCAGGATTCAATGTTAATGCTGTCAACAACAATGGAGATACTGCACTTCACTTAGCTGTCACTTCAGAACGCTGGGATGATGAACATATCCAGTTTATAACTGAAATTTTGCAGCTTCTGTTTAATGGAGGTGCTCATCATGATTTTGTCAACAATGATGGTAAAACACCCATGGACATGGCTAAAACTGATGAAGCTCGCATGATTCTTTCTGAGAGAAGAAAACTGGAGTTAAAGTGTATCAGTGCCAGAGCAGTTAAAAAGTTTGGAATTCCTTATTTGGGGGAGGTACCCAAAACACTGGAGAAATACATTAGCATGCATTAAATGGAAGTTTTGCAGACAAAGCAGAGCAAAGCTCATCTCATGACATTTCTGCACCCTTTTTTAATACAGTCACTTGAAAATACTTTATTATAAATTCCTCTGGTGTATGCTGATGACTGCTATTTCAGGAAATTTAGCTTCTTTTTCAAGTTGCTTAGAGCTCCTTAGATTTATTTTCTGCTTTTAATTTCTATAACTCTCTCTGTATAATTTTTAATGTATCATTTCACTAGTAATTATCGATTTGATTTTTGCGTTGAATAGTTACATGTACAGTGGACTTTGGCATACCTCATTGCCAATGAGGCAACCGAGCTAACAAGTGAGGTTGAGTCGGTGGCAGAATTATATCGCCGCGCAGATATATACAGTGTAGGAAAAAACTCGCAAATTCTGCGTAACCCTCTAAAATTTGCATTTTTGACTACATTTGGGTGTAAGTAAGACCCCATATTTGGGTAGTGACCTCATGGTCTTGTATTTACAACTCATGGTTCAAGATTGGGTGATTCAGTGTGCACCTGTTCCTTGTCTGTTCAAGAGGACCTGGTGAGCAAGCTTTAATTCGATTTCTAGTTTGAACGGGCACTTAGTGCTCTGGTTTGCTTTATAAATAGTGTTTAAAGCAGCAGCTGATCAAGGAATAGGGTTTTACGCTCAAATTTTTGTCAGAACTACCTTGTTCTTTGCTCCTCGATTTATATTGAGGTAGCGTGTTCGCTTCTCGACTCAGAACCAGGGTTTTCAGTGTTCTCTTTTCCTTTGTGAACTGAATTTCAAGCGGTGGTTGATCAAGGCATAGGGTTATATTCTCAAAAGTTTAATATCAGAACCAGAGTGTTCTTCGCAGGTCGATTTACATTGAGCCAGTCCTCACCTCCCGTGAGGAATGCAACGTATTTGCCGACCTTTTTTTAAAAATCTATTTACGTTTTTCGAGAGATTTTGTCAGTAAGCATGTCTTTTTGCTGCTTGATTTACATTGAGACAGCCCAAAACTCCCGTTAGGAATGCAACGAATGTGCGGACTTTTGTTTTTCAGACTATCATTATGCCTTTCAAGAGACTCTATGTCCTGTGACACTCACTCATTAGATCTTTGTATTTTATTCAAGTTTATTTTTTTATACCTCTAATACATTCCGCCCCATTCTTGCGCGCTTTTCACACATTTTAGTTTACACCAATTTTTTTCTTATGTATATTACATGCAAAAATTATTTTTCTTATCCCTGATGACGCTGTTGCTCAGAATTTAATTGTTATTTTTAATTTCAGCAGTCAAAGGCCTCATTTGAACTATATTTTTCTTTCAAACGTTTATAGCTTTGATATACAATGGAATTTTCCATGAAACATAAGTGTTAACTTGCTCATATTTACCAACAAAGCTTTAAGCCATGTTGTTATTGTTTAACAAAAGTGAAAGCCTAGAATGTGCCAAAGTTGTTGTTTTGAAGTTGGGTGCCATCTTTTCTATAGTGGAATCCATTTTAAACCTCTAAAATTATGAAAGAAGATCTCAATAGGCACATTCCACAAAAGAGAAACGAAATCGCCTCGTTGGCACTTCCCGGAAGGTACCCCTAGTATTGTTATATATGCTGGTATCTGGTATGTAAGTTTGTAATACTTTTAAACCTGTAAACAACCACTTAAAAATAATGCAAATTTTTACTGCTTGCTACAAGATTTGAACCACAGGCATTGTCTTTTAGAAGACATCCAGAAGTATCTGGTTGTTGGAAGATAATAAATATCCACCCAATGTTACAGTTTCTTTGTAGCTCCAATTGCATGTTTTAAATATTTAAAGTTTCTGGTATAATCTGAGTTGGGTAGTAAACATAGCAAAAACATAGTGATTAAACCATTTTATTATGTAGACACGAGTGGTTTACTGGAAAATATACCATTCGTAAAATTCATAAAAACTACATCCGAGACCCGAGTGGTTTATTTTCCATAATCTCACACATGAGTTTATCGATGATGTAAATATTTTGGTAATTTCCCTCTTATTTTATCGATGTCATTTTGTCTTTATAATAAAAAGAACATTACACAGCGGCTTGAAGATATGAATTTTATTTTCTTGTGGCAAAACAATATTTTACTCACTCGCTGCGCTCCTTCGTAAAATATTGTTTTGCCACTCAAAAATAAAATTCATATCTTCATGCCACCTTCTGTGCCACCTTGTAATATGTCCCTGTCCCTATGTAACCGCTCCCCATAGAGACGGAGAGAAGCCTGGGAATGAGGCTGATAAGGCTTTGTATGGGAAACCACGCAATCTTGACTGGGTGACAAGTGCTGTTATTCTCATACAAATCTTTTTAATTCTCGGCAGATGCTGCAATAATCAAAACTTTTCTGACATATCCCCTCAAAATTCAAAAGAAATATAGTTTTAATATATCTTTCAGTTCCTAATAAAATCATCCTTCCAAAATGGCTTGTTTTGGTGTTTACAGAAAATTGGTTGCGTGACACTGGTCCTGAGACAGGTCACTGATTTATTGATAGGTAACTCCAACAAATAGTTTCCTCTCGGTCAAAAACATCATTTTGGATAGGTACTGGGGCTAGGAGACACTTCTGGGTTTCTTTATTTATGTGTGCAAAATGTAAGGAAAAATTATGTCAAGTCCATATAGGCTCCTACTCAGGCGTTCTTTTGCCTCGTCACACAACAATCCTCCCTTTTATTTGTTGGGAAGGATTGGTGACAAAGCATCTGCACAAGAGGCTATATCCAATACGGTTACAAATAAATTAATCAAGCCACCATCAATGGTAATTGATGCAATTTCAATAGAATTTATTGTAATAAAGGGGAGATCTCCTTTAAAAAAAAGCTTTGCGAAGTATTCCTGCTACTAGATAACTTTTGTAGCCACTTTCAAAAAAGAGTCCATAACCCGGAGCGAACAACTCCCATACTAGGCCTATGTCACGGCGTTTTTACGGGCCAGTTTATATTTAGATACATTTTAGGGCACTTTTTCCCACGAAAATAGGATCTCTTCCATGTCTATGAGCGCATTAGAAGTATAAGATATAAAAAAAGAAAACTAAACGATATTAAAAGGCAAAAATATCATTTTTAAGTGCATAGGTTTTGCTGACTGGTTTGTGGAATTAAAAAGATATTCATAACTCGCGCCAAAACCGTTCTAAAAATAAACTGGTTCGTAAAAATCGCCGCAACACGAGCGCTTGGAAGTTGCTCCCTCCGGGTTATGGGCTGCTGCTTTCAATGTAAGAAAGATGTTAATGGTAAAATGAAGATAAAGAAATGAAAAACAAAAATACCCAACCATGTTTGTGTAGTTCGGAAAGGTCATGGTTTAAAATCGTGATTCCTCCATAATTTTTCCAGATCGTTATTATTTTTAATTGTTTTTCTCTTTTTTGAACATGTAAGGGGCCGTCGACATATTCATCCCCCACCATCCCCCTCCTTAAAGTTCTGACTTGAAATTAACTGACCCAAAAGTCACTGTTGCTCATTATAAGTTATCGAGGACTTAACATAACTTATTCAGTTTAAGTCGAAGTATTGTCATTTGTTTCGAATTTGTTCTTGGATTGAAATAAAAATGATTGCCTCGGATTTGGTCCGACGAGGCTGAGAACGGATTTTAAAAAAAGAACGCTGAGGTTGAAAGTATGTACCGAAAAAAGATTCTAGTTGTGTTCACCAAGTACGATTTTAAGCTTTTTTTATTAATCTCTCTTGTCCCTGAATCGCAAGTAAACACCAGTGCGGATCCACGCCCTTCTACTGCTTGTGACGTCATCTCATTAACGATAAAGGACAACCTTGTCATTTATCTTCTACAGGGGCAGAGGCGGCGGAGCGTTTTGAAACGTGGGGGGCCTCATTTCCAATGAGCCATACGCATACCCCTACTCAAATTTTCCAAACTGCCCTTTGCGTTGTTCGTTGGCACAAGCAATCATTACACAGTGTCTAGCGTGTCCGTCCTCGATTTGTGACAATGCATCAGTACTACAGTTGTTTAGGCGTTGCTACTGAATTCTGCTTCTTAGGTAATTCTTGAGTCGTCTAAGTGCAGAAAACGTGGTGGGCTCTGCCCCCCTGCTCCCCCTACTCCCTCCAACTCCTCCATACATTACTAACGGCCTAACAAGTTATACCTTTTACGCTACAGGTGAAACACGCTCAATCACTTCACACATTACTTGTAACACTAAAAATGTTATCCACATGGTTCAATGTAACCGTTGTAATTTACAATATATAGGTGAAACTAAGCGACGTCTCAAGGACAGATTTAACGAACATAGACGTGCAGTCGACAAAACTAACATTAAATTTAAACCCACTACTGTTTCTGAACACTTTCTCTCTCACTCTAACCATTCTCATACTGACATGCAGATAATCCCACTAGAAAAAATTCATTCTTCACGTGACTCAGTTCGTAAGGCCAGGGAGTCGCATTTGATAGATAAGGCCATGATTCTTGAACCTCATGGCCTAAACCGCCGTGACGAATTATTGTAATCCATATCCTTAGTATTTTTCCTTTCCAGTTTTTATGTTGTACGTCATTTCCGCCTCTCCCTTTTATTGCGACATTCTCCATCTATATAATATTGTGATTGCTACATAAGTTCAGTAACATCTGTAAACCTGAAGAAGGCTGGTATGGCCAGCCGAAATATTATTATAAAAAACAATACACGTTGTTTTAAATCAGCTTTGCTGTAATCTTCGGACTTCTCGTTCTTGTTTTTTATATTTTGGCTGATTTGATCTCTTCTCTAGAGATCCAACGTTTACAACTAGCAGGATCTTCGTCCACGGTTTTTGCAGTTAATTTAATCCCCCTACTCCGCCGCCTATGAGGGGGGATAGGTCCTTCAAATCACCTTGCTAAGTTTGGACTCTTTAAAAAGCACTAGTTAATTCATGACTGTATCCATTTGTGTGTTTTTTTTTATATTTTTGTTTGAGGTGGGCAGGTTTCCCGCCCAACCAACTTTTTAAGGGAAAAGCCCTGGGGACGAGGTTGCCGGTTCTCCAACTCCTGATCCGATTTCAGACCAAAAAATGTTATTTCCCAAACCCGTTTTCAGACCCATCCTCTGATATCCATACTCGTTTTCAGACCTGGCCTTTAGGCAGATATTTTGTTATCATTACTAATTAGATTAGAGCGTAAACAAGAAACATTCTTCAAATCCATTTCGAATTCGCATATCTGTTTCTCTTTCTTTCTTACTCACTTGGAATTGAAACAATAAAAACGTTCATACACTCCCGTAATTCTCTCGAAAACCATACCCGATTCCAGACCAAAATGGGCAAAGTGTAAACCTGTTTCTTAAATTTAAGACCAAAAAACGGGGCAAAAACCCTACTCGATGGGGGGCACATACCTATATGGCTTAAATAAGGGAGTACTCCCCCCGGGAAAAAAAGGCAAGTGAAAAACCATGTAATGTTGACCCGAAAATTCCCATGAATATTTTGTCCTACTATCCTCCTACCTTTCCATCCATCTAATCTTAAGATGATCCTAAGTACTTTCCCAAAAGCCTTTCCCACCCGGATATGAAGCCTAGTAGATGCCTAGCGAAATAAAAAAGGAGAAAAGAAAAAGTGAGAAAGAGGGGAGAAGGAAAAGCGAAAGAAATGGTGCCGCAGTCATTACTTACGCAAAAAGGTCCTGTACTGAATGAAGAGTTTTAAGAGAATCATAGAAGATATCAAGCAAGTATTTCAAACCAAACCACAACAGGAAACTTTTCGCTTCTGTGCATGCCTGTACTTTGGACAGTTTTTAGCTTATATTTTGCATCTAAAACAGAAGGTCGCGAAGTGCACGACCTGCAAAGAGCTTTTTGGAAATTAAACCAACTGTTTTAAGCAAAATTCTTAGGGGCCGAATTAGGTGGACTAAATGGGTTAGTGTTTGCATCACACATGTTTGAAATACGAAATTGTTCATAATTCTTTGCGAGATATTTGGAACTAGCTATTCTTTTGTGGGGAACAACTAGAAACCATGTATTGTAATTAATTTTTACACGTTTTATTCTTAACATTTTCATCATATTGGGACATTGGTTAGGTGTCCTGCGTTTGGATTGTGATGGATGGTAAGGCTGTGCAACGACGGAGACTGGAATCTAGAATTCTTATTTTCAAAATGGCTGCTGCTTCGCCGATTCTTCGCCTGCTTCCGTGTTGAACCGAGGTAATTTAACCGCGGTTAGAAACCAGAGTTTAGTTTCGTCTGTGGCGCAGTCTGTGTAGAACCATGAGAGAGCAAATAACGTTTACAAAATGGACTGACAAGCAGCTTTTGGAGGAAAAAAACCAACCTCATCATCCCATGATATTGGGCTGACGATATCGGGGAGTTTTAATGGGGGAGGCAAAAAGCAGTAGAGAATAGAGGAGATTCTCTGGAAAGTGCGTTCTGTAATAACCTTCGTTCACCATGGAAAACAGAACAGAGGTCTTGAAAGCTGTGATTTCTGGAAATGCTGCGCTACTAAATGAAATTCTCCAGAGTTTGAATAGTACGGAAAGAATTTCTGTTTTAGCTGCCCAAGACTACACTGACAAGGTCTTAGAAGAGAAAAACGTTATTAGCATTCCTTGTAAAACCACACCGTTAATAGTTGCTGTTCAAACTGGAAATCTCGATTGTGTCAAAGTACTACTGAATTACAAAGCAGACATTGAAGAGCAGGGAGAGAGATTTAGATATCTTGTATTTCCCCCTGATAATATATGGAACGTGTCTAAATTTGACTTCGCTTACACTTGTCCACCTTTGTTTCTCGCTGCCGCTAACGGAAATCTTGATATTTTAAGTTACTTATTTGAACAAGGCGCGAACGTTAATGCATCCTCATCTTCTGAGTCTTCAGATCCTTGGTCCGTACCTTTTGATGGTTATTTATTCTGGCATACTCCGCTTATTGTTGCCTTGAAAAACGGACACAATGATGCATTTACCTTTCTTATTGACAAAGGTGCGGATGTAAATTTACAAGACCATGGTGGTTATGCAGCTCTACACTATGCTGTTCAAAGGAGGAACTTTGATGCCATAAGTTGTTTAGTTGATAACGGGGCTGATGTTAATCTCTTTACATCCTCTAAAGAGACACCTTTGATTCTGGCCTGTACTCAATCTCATAACATGAAGACCATAAATTTTCTTCTAAACAAAGGGGCTGATGTAAACCTTCAAAACAGAAACGGGAAATCAGCTTTGCACTTTGCTCGTTCAGACATTTGTTATTGGTTGATTCAAAATCTAGCTGATGTTAACATGTGTGACAATCATAATTGCACCCCACTGATGCAAGCCAGCAGGAAGGGTGATGTCAAGAAGGTAGCCATGCTTATTGAGAATGGAGCAAAAGTGGATCTTCAAGATACGAATGGTAATAATGCTCTACACCATGCTGTGCTCAACTCATATGATTCACATCCATACACACCTGAAATTTGTCTTGCACTTTTGACTGCTAAGGCATCCAATCTGTGTAACAGTCAGGGATGGACACCTCTTCTTCTAGCCAGTAAAAACTGCATTAAATCAGTAGTGGAGATTTTACTAAAGCATCCAGAAGTAACAAAAGAGCAAAGAGCTAATGCTCTAGAACTACTTGGAGCCTCTCTTTGTTTGAAGAGTGGTACCTTTCCTGATGTTGAGGAAGGATTCAACTACATTAGACTTGGCATGAAAGTAAGGTATACTGACAATTCCCATCCTTTGTTAAAACAGCAAGTGGAACCTGCTGAAGCTTATCAGAAAAGAAGAGAGTGTCAAACTCTTGAAGAGCTTGCTGAGATAGAAGGTGATAGGGATGCTATCATCATGGAAAGCCTTGTTATTAGAGAGAGAATCATTGGAGCAAACAATGTAGAACTACTTGAATCGATTGAGTGTGTTGCTGAACACTTTTACAGTAAGGAACCTGGTCATTTTAAAAGACGAAGTATACCTCTGTACAGATATGCAATAAAAATCACCCAAGGGTGTATTGTAGAACGTTTTGAATCTGCAGTGTCATGTTTATGGCATTTAACAGATGTATTGTATGAATGCAAACAATATTCTGATAAAGAGCTTTTGCTAGAATTGCTAGAGCTAACAGTTTTTTTGTGTGAGAATTGGCCAGACTGCAATGGATATTACCAGTCTGTCTGGCATATAAGGTATGATGAAGGAGAAGTGTCACTGTTTGATTCTGTGGTGGTGGTGATACATATGATTACCAAGAATCTCCAAAATGGTGAAGAAGATGAAACATACTTGAACGTCTTGGTTTTGCTGAGAAATCTTTTGCGCCATAATCCTAGATGTAGGAATGATAATGGCACACTGCTTCATGTTAGGATTTATGCAACTGAAGAAATCATTTTTGATATTTTTCCAAGTGCTGATACAGTGAAATTGCTTTTGAATGCAGGATTCAATGTAAATGCCACTGACTGTAATGGAGACACTCCACTTCATAGAGCTGCTAGTTTAGAACCTGGCAATGACTTGATTCATCGGGTACCTGAAATTATGAAGGCTTTGTTTGATGGAGGTGCACATCATGATTTTGTCAACAATGATGGTAAAACACCCATGGACATGGCTAAAACTGATGAAGCTCGCATGATTCTTTCAGAGAGGAGGAAACTGGAGTTAGAGTGTATCAGTGCTAGAGCAGTTAAAAAGTTTGGAATTCCTTATTTGGGTGTTGTACCCAAAACACTGGAGAAATACATTAGCATGCATTAAATGGAAGTTTTATAGACAAAGCAGAGCAAAGCTCATCTCACGACATTCTGCACCGTTTTTTAATACAGTCGCTTGAAAATACTTCATTATTATAAATTCCTCTGGTGTATGCTGATGGCTGCAATTTCAGGAAATTTGGCTTCTTTTTCAAGTTGTTTAGAGCTCCCTAGATTTATTTTCTGCTTTTAATTTCTATAACTAATTATTGATTTTTGCGTTGAATAGTTACAGTTAGCCTGAAATTCATCCGATTGCTTCGAGTCGTTTTCTCCTCTCAACAACGTCTGAATCGACTGGCCGTTAATGCCGTCCAGTGACGCCACTCACTACCCGAAAACCGGGTAGTGATTTTGATTGGTAGATTGTCTAAACATTCGCATAATTATGTATAATTATGAAAAATTTTAGCGGGATTGTAGCTTGATATTCAGCGGATCACATCCCTGGCATCCTTTCATTTAGTTCAAACATTTCGATAAGCTTAATCTTTATCTTAAACAGCAAAATTGCCCTTGTCTTCGAAACTGAAATGCCATATTGAACTGCATGCAAATGAAGGATCATTGCGGAGAGTGGGTAGGTTTTTCATTTAGAGCTGCTTTGTGGTTTCGGCGGCCGGTGATTTTGTTTACACGAAGTTTTCTGAGGTCAATGTTATAATTCGACCTTCTTGCTATTTTTACCGTCAAGTGTAATGTTTCTGTTAGCTTTTCTTTCTTGTCTCCTTGTTTTTTTTCTTCGTTAAAAAGGCGGACCAAATAGCTTCTTGTCAATTAAAGCAAATCATTGTGTTTTTGAACTAAGTGTTCCGTGTGTGTATTTATTTCATTGCGTGATTGTGACCGAGTTTGATTATAGAATTTAGTACAACCAGTTCAGAGTTGTACTGCATGCAGTTGATAGTTTGAACGTTAAAAATAAATTACGACCGAAAAAAATAAAGCAGTTCTGTATCATGTAGACATTTCCAAACGATATTTCTCGGTTTGCCACTTGAAAATCGTGTTTTACTTTTTGCATGAATTAAAGCAAAGGTCAAGGAGTAGTGACGTCACTGGGCAGCATTAACGGCCGGTTGATTCAGACGTTAGTGAGGGAGTAATAACGACTGGAAGTACGCGGATTTGATTTTTGCGTTGAATAGTTACAGTGGACATTGGCATACCTTATTGTTATATATGCTGGTATGTAGTTTTTAATACATTCAAACCTCCTGTAAGCGACCGCTTAAAATGCAAATTTCAATTTTTGCTGTTCACTACAAGATTTGAATCACAGGCGTTGTCTTTTGAGAAGAGGTCCAGACTTATCTATTTGTTGGAAGACAATAAATATCCACCCAATGTTACAGTTTGTTTGTAGCTCCAATTGCATGTTTTAATATTTAAAGTTTCTGGTATAATCTGGGTTGGGTAGTACACCTAGCAAACATAGTGATTAAACCACTGTAATGTCCCTGTCCCTATGTAACCGCTCCCCATAGAGATGGAGAGAAGCCTGGGAATGAGGCTGACAAGGGTTTGTATGGGAAATTGCGCAATGTTGACTGGGTGACAAGTGCTGTTATTCTCATACAAATCTTTTTAATTCTCGGCAGATGCTGCAATAATCAAAACTTTTCTGACATATCCCCTCAAAATTCAAAAGTAACATAGTTTTAATATATCTTTTCAGTTCCTAATAAAATCATCCTTCCAAAATGGCTTGTTTTCGTGTGTATGGAAAATTGATTGCGTGAGACTGGTCCTAAGACAGGTCACTGCTTTATTGATAGGTACTGGCTCCAACAAATAGTTTCAAAAATATCATTTTGGATAGGTACTGGGGCTAGGAGACACTTCTGGTTTTCTTTATTTATATTTATTATATAGACACGAGTGCTTTACTGGAAAATAAACATCCGGGACCCAGTGGTTTATTTTCCATAATTTGGATAGGCATTTTGGGATGTCACTTTGTCTATATAATAAAAAGAACATTACATGGTGGCTTGAAGATATGGAGACACTTCTGTAAAATATTGTTTTTCGAAAAATAACATTCATATCTTTATTATATGTACAAAATGTAAGAAAAAATTATGTCAAGTCCATATAGGCTCCTATGCAGGCGTTCTTTTGCCTCGTCACACAACCTTCCTCCCATTTATTTGTTGGGAAGGATTGGTGACAAAGCCCTAAGAGCGTCTGCATAAGAGGCTATATCCAATATGGTTACAAATAAATTAATCAAGCCACCATCAATGGTAATCAATGCAATTTCAATAGATTTTGTTGTAATAAAGGGGAGATCTCCTTTAAAAAAAGCTTTGCAAAGTATTTCTGCTACTAAATAACTTTTGTAGCCACTTTCAACAGGAGCCCATAACCCAGAGCGAACAACTCCCATACTGGGCCTCTGCCAAGGCGTTTTTACGGACCAGTTTATATTTAGACTCATTTTAGGGCACTTTTTCCCATGAAAATAGGATCTCTTCCATGTCTATGAGAGCATTAGAAGTATAAGATATAAAAAAAGAAAACTAAACGATATTAAAAGGCAAAAATATCATTTTTAGGTATATAGGTTTTGCTGACTGGTTTGTGGAATTTAAACGATATTCATAACTCGCGCCAAAACCGTTCTAAAAATAAACTGGTTCGTAAAAATCGCCGTGACACGAGCGCATGGAAGTTGCTCCCTCCGGGTTATGGGCTGCTGCTTTCAATATAAGAAAGATGTGAATGGTAAAATGAATATAAAGAAATGAAAAACAAAAATACCCAACCATGTTTGTGTAGTTCACAAAGGTCATTGTTTAAAATCGTGATTCCTCCATAATTTTTTCAGATCGTTATTATTTTTAATTGTTTTTTCTCCTTTTTGATCATGTAAGGGGCCGTCAACATATTCATCCCCCACCCTCCCCCTCCTCAACTTTCACTTGAAATTAACGGTCCCAAAAGTCACTGTTGCTCATTATAAGTTATCGAGGACTTTATAACTTATTCAGTTTTTAAATTCGAAGTACCGTCATTTGTTTCCAATTTGTTTTTTAATACATTCAAATGGCTCCTGTCAGAACAGGTGTCAAAATCGGGATTTTTCCTATACCGATCGCACATTGGTCAGGAGTCGGGATTTTCAAGCAAAAACGGGAAAATCCCGACGACATCGGGATGGCTGGACAGTCTGCTTTACCCATACACAAAAATGTTCGGTACAGTGTATACTACAAAGAGGATATCAAGCAAGTATTTCAAAACAAACCAAAAGTCGAAATTTTGCTTATATGCACGCCTGAACTTCGCACAGTTTTTAACTGACATTTTGCATCTAACACAGAAGGCCGCGAAGTGCAGACCTGCAAACGCAGTTTTATACTTGCCAACTTTTTCTGAGATATAAGCGTGAGATTTTTATCCTGGGAGTGCTGGGATTTTTGAAGACGACACGATCATTTCCGAAGATTCCCGAAGAATTCCGAAGTCTCTTCCGAAGAAGTCCGAGGTCTTTTCAAAACAAACCAAAAATCGAAATTTTTCATTTTACACATATTTTCGTTCCTGAATGGGTCTGAGTTAACATATTTTTGGAAATTTTAACAAGACGGCAACAACTCACATTTTTCAATCAACACAGAAGGCGTGAGCCGGCGTGAGATCGAAGTGCAGACCTGCAAACGCAGTTTTGGAAAGTTTTAGCTCGTTAAACCAGACAGTAACCTAAAAACGGCCTGACTAGCTTCACGGTTTTGGGCAAAATTCTTGCATCACACATGTTTTAAAATGCGAAATTGTTTATAATTCTTTGTCAGGTATTTGGAACTAGCTTTTCTTTTGTGGGGAACAACTAGAATCCATGGAATTATTTTAAAACTTTTTTTCAACATTTTATATCAATTTGGACAAGGATCAAAGCTTGTTGTCCTGTGTTTGGACGGCCGGTGATGGTGAGCCTGTGCAACGACGGAGAATGCAATCATTCTTATTTTTCAAAATGGCGATTCCAAATGGCTTCTTCCGTGTTCAAAGATAAAGATATCGCGATTGCTTCCGTATTGAACCTAGCATGCGTTTAACCCCAGTTAGAAACCAGAGTTCAGTTTCCTCTGTGACGCAGGCTTTGTAGAACCATGAGAGAGCAAATATCTTTTAAAAAATGGACCGGACAGCAGGATTTGGATAGAGAAATACTAACGATATCGTGGAGCTAGCTAGGTTTTTTTTAAAAAAAAGAGCCGTAGATAATTTATTCTCTGGAATGCGCGTTCTGTAACTCCCTTCGTCCACCATGGAAAACAGTACAGAGGTCTTGAAAGCCGTTATGTCTGGAAATTCTGCGCTACTAAATGAAATTCTTCAGAGTTTGAATAGTACAGAAAGAGTTTCTGTTTTAGCTGCCCAAGACTACGCTGACAAGGCCTTAGAAGAGAAACACGTTATTAGAATTCCTTGTAAAACCACACCGTTAATAGTTGCTGTTCAAACTGGAAATCTCGATTGTGTCAAAGTACTACTGAATTACAAAGCAGACATTGAAGAGCAGGGAGAGAGCTTTAGATATCTTGTATTTCCCCCTGATGATATGTGGAACGTGTCTAAATTTGAGTCCGCTTACACTTGTCCACCTTTGTTTCTCGCTGCCGCTAACGGAAATCTTGATATTTTAAGTTATTTATTTGAACAAGGCGGTAACGTTAATGCATCCTCATCTTCTGAGTATGCAGATCCTTGGTCCCTACCTTCTGAATTTGATGATTATTTACCTATCTGGCGTACTCCGCTTATTGTTGCCTTGACAAACGGACACAATGATGCATTTACCTTTCTTATTGACAAAGGTGCAGATGTAAATTTACAAGACCATGTTGGTTATACAGCTCTACATCATGCTGTTGAAAGAAGGAACTTTGATGCCGTAAGTTGTTTAGTTCATAACGGAGCTGATGTTAATCTCTTTACATCAATCAATAAACATACACCTTTGATGTCGGCCTGTCAATTTCATAACATGGATGCCATAAATGTTCTACTGAACAAAGGGGCTGATGTAAACCTTCAAGACAGAGATGGGAAATCAGCTTTGCACTTTGCATGTTCAGACATTTGTTATTGGTTGATTCAAAATCTAGCTGATGTTAACATGTGTGACAATCATAATTGCACCCCCCTGATGCAAGCCAGCAGCAAGAGTGATGTCAAAAAGGTAGCCATGCTTGTTGAGAACCAAGCAAAAGTGGATCTTCAAGATATGAATGGCAATACTGCTCTACACCATGCTATGCATAACTCATATCATTCACATGAGTACACACCTGAAATTTGTTGTGCACTTTTGACTGCTAAGGCATCCATCCATTTGTGTAACAGTCAGGGATGGACACCTCTTCTTCTAGCCAGTGAAAACTGCATTAAATCAGCAGTAGAGATTTTAATAAAGCATCCAGAAGTAACAAAAGAGCAAAGAGCGAATGCTCTAGAACTGCTTGGGTCCTCTCTCTGTTTGAAGAGTGGAACCTTTGCTCATATCGAGGAAGGATTCGGCTACATCAAGCTTGGCATGAAAGAAAGGTTTGCTGATGCTTCCCACCCTTTGCTAAAACAGCAAGTGGAACCTGCTGAAGCTTATCAGAACAGAAAAGAGAGTCAAACTCTTGAGGAACTTGCTGAGATAGAAGGTGACAAGGATTCTATAATCATGGAAAGCCTTGTTATTAGAGAGAGAATCTTTGGAGCAAACAATAAAGAACTACTCAAACCGATTGAGCATGTTGCTGAACACTTTTACAGTAAGGACCCTGGTCATTTTAAAAGACTAAGTATACCTCTGTACAGATATGCAACAAAAATCGCCCAAGGGTGTATAGAAGAACTTTTTGAATCTGCAGTGTCATGTTTATGGCATTTAACAGATGTATTGTATGAATGCAAACAATATTCTGATAGAGAGCTTTTGCTAGAATTGCTTGAGCTAACAGTTTTTTTGTGTGAGAATTGGCCAGACGACGATGGATATTACCAGTCTGTCTGGCATATAATATATGCCGAAGAAGTGTCACTGTTTGATTCTGTGGAGGTGGTGATACACATGATTACCAAGAATCTCCAAAATGGTGAAGAAGATGAAACATACTCGAACGTCTTGGTTTTGCTAAGAAAACTTTTGCGCCATAATCCTAGACGTATGTGTTATAATGGCACACTGCTTCATGCCGGTACTCATTCAACTGAGAATATCATTACTGATATTTTTCCAAGTGCTGATACAGTGAAATTGCTTTTGAAAGCAGGCTTCAATATACATGCCATTGACAAGGATGGAAATACTCCACTTCATAGAGCTGCTAGTTTAAAACCTCGTGATGACTTGATTCATCTTCTTACTGAAATTATGAAGGCTTTGGTTGATGGAGGTGCTCATCATGATTTTGTCAACCATCATGGTAAAACACCCATGGACATGGCTAAAACTGATGAAGCTTGCAAGCTTCTTTCTGAAGAGAAGAGTAAACTGAAGTTAAAGTGTATCAGCACCAGAGTAGTTAAAAAGTTTGGAATTCCTTATTTGGGGGAGGTACCCAAAATGCTGGAGAAATACATTAGCATGCATTAAAATGTGTAATAGCTACAACATGAACAACAATAGTCTTTATTTCCCTTATTGAGTTTTATAAGCATGTATTGGGGCACAGGTAGCTAGAGCTAACCTTGGCAAGTTAGGCAATTTATATGTAGGAAATATATAATTTTTATTTATGTACATGTTTATATTATTTTGTTGTAGCTAATGGTTTAATTTTATTTAATTTTTAATTTTCCATTGTTTTTGGGTATGTTTGTGTTGAAACAAAGGAAAAACAAAAATTAACTAATTATTTGCAACATACATGATTTTTAAAATGAAGAAAGATTATACAACACGGAGGAAAGATTAACTTTCTTTTTTGGAAAAAGCTGGTATCTGTTCATTCTCTCATTACTGAGGATTTTACCTTTGATAAAGTTTTTTAATACAAAAAATTGAGTGGTAAGAGATTAGCATTAAAAATAAACAGCTGAAAGGTATACACGTTGTTTTTTGCAAAGTACATAAAGCATAGTGCATGTCTTTGTCATACTGATATTTTGTCTAGACAGGATTTACAGGCCTGGCTCTTAACCCTTTAAGCCCCAGTATCAACATACAAATTCTCCAAACTGATCTCCATGCATTTCCTTGAAGAATTAGTTGAGAGAATTTGATAATAGATCAAGGCATTTTCTCTTGGGTGATCATTTTATTTATTCTCGTAACATATCTCTTGACAGTCTATGGATATTGTTAGGAGAAAATTGATCTTGGTCACTACTGGGACTTAAAGGGTTAACAGATAGTCCGGAAGTTACATAAGGAACAATTATTAATGAGTGATAAATATCCAGGGGTGTGCGAAAAGGTACATTTAAAGGTACATTTAACTTCAAGTCATTTAAGTGTCTTAGTTTTACATTTAAACCTATGGTTTTGTTGATTTTTAAAGTCTGTTACAGTTCTTTCAGAGTTTAAAAACTCTTTTACCCCCTGTGTATAATTTTTGATGCGTCATTTAAGTAAATATTATTTGATTTCTGTGTTGGATAGTTACAGGGGACATTGGCATACCTTATTGTTATATATGCCAGTATGTAGTTTTTAATACATTCAAACCTCCTGTGAGCGACCATTTAAAATGCAAAGATTTACGGCTTGCAACAAGATTTGAACCACAGGCATTGACTTGTGAGAAGAGGTCCAGACATATCTAGTTGTTGGAAGACAATAAATATCCACCCAATGTTACAGTTTGTGTGTAGCTCCAATAGACCTTTTTACCGATATGGCGGCCATATTGAATTAATTCGATTTAAGGAGTATTATAGGATGCCCAGGGGGCATGAGCACATTTCGTTTGTATTTTCGAGCGCTTTTCGGGACATTTTTTCGTAAAGTTTTCTTAGAATAAGATTGTAATGAGAAAAAGATCCTTGTGCCGTGTTTGAATCTAATAATGATCGTCTTTTTCCCAAGAAATATACAACAAAAGACCATATTTCTAATACTAAACTAGAAAAAAGCGATCATTATCACATCCAAACATGGCACAAGGATCTTTTTTCCCATTACAATCTTATTCTAAGAAAACTTTAAGAAAAAATGTCTCAAAGAGCACTCGAAAATAAAACGAAATGTGCTTATATGCCCCCTGGGCAGAGAGTTTCCATTGGTTTCCCAGGGATTTTCCATTGGACTATTCCAATTTATTACAGTCCATACATCGTCAAGAGATTAGGTTATGACAATTAATAGAATGGTCACCCAACAGAAAATGCTTTGATCTTTTATCAAATTCTCTCAACTCATTCTTCAAGAAATATATAGGGATCAGTTTGGAGAATTTGTATGCTTATATTGGGGCTTAAAGTGTTAAAAGGGACACCAAGGGGGTCATAGAAAGTGTCCTTATGATTGGGGTACCTGCATTCCCCACTCCTTGAACTATAGGGAGACTGGGTATAAGCTTTTGGTGCAATGAGTTCTGGGATTGTTTGGGTGGGCATGCGTTGGATAATGATTGCGTTGAATATCATCCACTCAGCCTCGTTCCCAGTCATCCTCAGCGATTTCGGATCTGACGTCACCTGTCAAGCTTGTCAGGAAAATTCACTAAGGAACTCGGATAGCACGAACTGCCCTGGGTACTAGGATGTCATCCACCAATCATAAGTAATGTTTGTCCACTCAAATGATCCCAGAAATCGTAGCACCGAAAGCTTGTATCCATTTCCCTTTTAGTTTTTTCTGGAGTGGACAATTGAGAGGGTTGAATTAACAGAAAATGTAAAGGCTTTCTTTCCCCAGGGACATGCGAAATTATTCATAATATATATCGAGGTGTGCGTATTAAGGGGGTGTCCGAAAAGCGAGATTCAACTGTACAGCCCAAGGCCGAGTTGTTCAAAGCCGGGTTAAGATAACCCAGGGTTAGTGAGAGATTTGAATTCAGATTTGAAAGCTTAAAAAGCATTTCAGTTTTAATTCTTTTTGTCTACGAGTTGATGATTGAAAGCTCTAAATATAACAGAGAAAATTATCCGAGAAAATGCTTTTGAACACAAGAAAGAGAAACCGGGGTTAAATTTAACCCCGGGTTAAGCGCTAATCAGCCTTCGAACAACTGGGCCCTGCAGCTGTTTAAAGAATTTCAGGTTGTACAAGACTATGGTTGAAATGACGTTGTTGCTATGACAACCCCAGGTTCGTAGGCAGTTTGATTTGAAATGACGTTTTCGCCCATAATCTATTACCTTTAGAGTATTTTCTAGTATCCATCAAGAAGATTGCAAAAAAAATACTGTCCGCTGTCCACCTAAGAAGGATGTCTTCCTCATACAGACAGTTTATTTACAGAGAAATATGGAAAATACAGTCGAGACCAGCCTGGTATATCCAACAAGGCAATTTTTCTGTCTTCATAAAAAACTTTGATAATGTAATTTAGTCGGGGACAAATGACCAGATTGTGCTTCAGTCGAAATTCTCACATCGCCAGGGGGCGACCGCCATTGATTGAGCGAACCTGTGATTGAATCGAATTTGAATTTATTAAATAATTAAGCACTTTCACAAGTAAGATCGATCCGAAAAAATGAAATTTTGGAGGTTATAATTGCAAATATTAAATAATTAAACTGCAAAACTGTATTTTTCGTCTACACCAGAGAAATTACGCTGAAGTTTCCTCTTGGAAGATAGTTATGGTCGCTTCGAAAAGAGATGCCATATCGATCACAAAAAGTGGAACACTTGCCGAGAAACTTGCCGAGTAATTCTGAAGATCTCAATCTAGGTTTTGACAAATTCAGCTTTGGATTAGATTATTTCTTTCACTAACAGAAAATCTTCCTTGACGTTATCTATTCTTATTTACAAAATATTTTCAAACTACAACAACATTTCTATTGAGGAAAATCAGAAGAAATGTATTGAGCTAACAGCTAAATAAAATATGATGTCATCAATTTTTGATTGGCAAATATTGTCGCCAACAATGATTTCCAAACTAAAATCAGAGCATACTCAAACGGAGACGAACAAAGATATTATTATACTGCCAAGAATAAAAAACGTAAACATTGATTTGTGAGTATCTTCGAGAGAACTACAGGCAGCGTCGAAGAGACATTTTTCGCTAGCGAAAACTTTGACGCTTTGCGAGCTTTTCAACTCGCCTATTAATTCATGACGTCACATCGCTTAATTTTATTTTCGTGGTAAAATAGGTTAAGACGCATAGAATGAGGAAAATAGATTTTACAGGAATGTGATTATCATTTCGTTTAAAATGATATGTTTTGCTTCAATCTTCCTTTCGTAACTCGCTCGTAATTTATTCAAATATGCTGGACAACTTCTTCAAAGGAGATATCCCAAGTATCTTCGAGACAACGATAAAACGCGAGAAAGGGAAATCCGCCGATAATTCAACAACATCGAAGCTGAAAGACTACAGAAACGAAGAAGAATTCTTGAAGAGTGTCACGGCTACAATATGCTATTGCGGCTCGTTTTGGACCTTTGGAATGGCGGCTGCTGTTATTGGGCCGACGTTGCTGGAACTAGGATGTGTAACGAACCGCCCGGTTAATGTGATGAGTTGGGTCTTTTTTTCGCAAGCACTAAGCGCCTTGTTTGGATCAAGTTTAGGAGGATTTTTGGCAGACAGGTAAAGATTTAAATTCATTTTATAATTTTCGAATGTAAATTAAATATGATAAAGTCCGCAGTAAGAAAAATTCCAAGCGATTTAACTGTAAAATCGCAAATGATATTTTGCGTGCTTAGAATACGAAAATAATACACACCATAGGGAAAAATTTCCCGACGAGTTCTTTTTATAAAGCTCACTTTAGGGATTTCTTTTATTATGCCAATACAAAGCTCAAAGACACATAAACGCAATGGAATGATAAAAGTTAAGTGAGAAAGGCAATTTCTTAAACTAAGGCCCCATGAAGGGTATTTTAAACAGGAAAGGAGAGGTCCCATGATACACAGTCTTTAACTGTATGCTACATGCGGAGCAATGGGGGATGCCCTGTGAATTCCGCCAGGTAAGCAGATTTATTTAACAACAGCATAAAAATCATGTTGAAGAGATTTTAATTTTAGGCATTAATCTATTAATAAAACATCCTTAAAATAGAACTCAAGTCTATCTCAGGGAAACGACGCAACGTTCTCTGTGAGTTTTGTTAGCGATCTTGGAGCTGGCGGATCGATAACCTCTGAACAGCAGTATACCGATAACCTGTGATAACAGTAGTATACCAAAGAACATTTCGTATAGAATGTGAAACCCTCAATCAAAAAGACATTGATATTAATTCTCTTCTCATATAAACGAAGATGGTAGATATCAATCTTGAACAATATAATCTCAACAGCATCTTAATTTTTTCTCGCCTTTCTTTGTAAAGTTACATTGTTGTATAAGTTTGCAATATCCCTTTCTATATCGTTGCATGTCATGATTACAATAAAGGATGAACAATCGATTGTTAGTTAGTGATGATATCACAATCTCTGCATACACGAATAGGACATACGTTTTTACAATCTCTGCATACGCGAATACTAAATAGGCTTTGTCTACACTTCTGAGCTAAAATTGGTACTTTTTAATCTCGACCCCCTGAAAAAGTCTTTAAGCAATAAGTGCTTAAATCAGAAAAGATTTGTTTCGTTGTGTGTTACAACTGTAGTTTTTCTTGATCGTTTCTTCCGAAAATTTCCCTCATAAACTATATCGTAACCAGATCCCTATCGCGTTTTTGGTTTCAAATCTGCTAGACGAGTTGGCTAGACAGTGGGAGATTTGAGTGCGAGATAAGAGCCAAAAACTAGAATAGAATAGACAGAAGACGTCATTGCCACGTTGCCATGGTAGCAAAATTTCCGGATGTCAACAAACCGTGGTGTTGCAAAATATGGCAGAAAAAAAAATTGACGTGTATGACTTTCCTATGCGTGATTGCACTCAGGAACAAAACGGTGGCCCATACTTTTCTTCCATCGTTAGACTAGAAAGTAAATGGTATTGCTACCATGCTACCATGGTAACGTGACCTCACTCACCTCATTTTATACTCTTTTCAGGTACGATTGTAATGTCATCTTGTTGTACTGCGTGACTTCCGTAGCAGTATACCTAGCTATCATTCCAGTGTGTCACGTATTTGGCATAATGCTAGCGTTTTTTGCCCTGTTGGGAGTTCACATGGGAATAATTGACACAGTAGCAAACAGCATCCTTATCAAAATTCACGGGAAAAAGGTGCGTGTATTATGTATGGAGCGTATTCACTCACGTGGCCAGCATCTATACAAATCTATGGGAACAAAAGAAATGTTTTACATTTGAAAAGAGTCCAACCCCCACAGGATTTGTTTGGAACACCAACATGGCCGCCGTTTCATTGTTTTGGAAAACCAATATGGCCGTGACGTCATGTGAATACGCTCAATATGTAGATTAGCAAAAGAACGCAAAAGCGCGCGGAAAGGGCTGAAAGCGACATCCATTGCTCCAGTCGGTTTGCACAATCTGACCGCGCCATTAAGGAGCTTAAGCAATGACAACGGCCACGTCAGCGAGAACGGCAAAAAAGCAATAGGTTTAGATTGGCAAAACAACAACATCTGCACGTGCATCACGCTTTTTTTGTGCGTTTCTTTTCTGTTACTACACGACCACAACGTGAAAATGCCTAATTTCACGTTTTGAAGAGGACGTGAAAACACAAGACAACGACTTTCTTATTCCTTTCTTGAACGTCGATGCAGTCTTTTAGAATTCAAATCTAGAAAAAATTGCCAACATTTGACGAATTGAACAAGATGGAAGAAGTGCTATAAGCGCGACTTCACTTTTTAAGAGACATTTCCTTAACCGTCGCTGTCGTTGTTGCTTAAGAGTCTCTATTATTATCAGCACGTCCTCTCAGAAGTCAGGTGACTTGACGGTACGTATAAGCGTACTCCTGTACAGACTCATTGCTTTTGGGGGAGGATGGGGAAGAGTCGACCTTGCAAAGGAGGAGTTTTCTTCTTTTTTTTTTGCAAGAATATATATATTTTTTCATCCGATATATCATATTGAACACGCAGAAAGTTGAAAAATTGTCTCGTGAGAATGCGTAACGAATTTGATTTAACTTCTCAAACAATCACAAAACGTCACAGAGCGTTATTTGCTTTGAGAAATACAAACCTTTAGTGAAAATTGGTTTTTATTGACTTTTTTTGTTAATATGGTCATTTTGAATTTTTATAGGTGGCACCAAGATTACAGGTAAGTGATACTCTGTTCCTCTGAATCCTTGGAAATTACGAGGCGTGTTCTGTTCCATAAAAAAGAACAGAAATAAAAACGCATTTAACACTCATTAAAAGTTCATTCTTTTGTACTTTCTTTCTGGATTATGATGAAATATCAAACACGATATCCAAACACTGTCAAGTCACATATCAAACACGAGAAAAAGTGTCTTATCTGATATCAAAACACCTAGAAATAATATAATACGAGAATTGAAGGAATGCTGATACTCAAATACCGTGACGTCATATATAACACACAAGAGGAAGTGTTTCATCTGATATCCAAACTACTGACAACCAATATATCAAATACGGCAAGGAGCGTTTCATCCTATATCCAAACTCCGAGAAGTAATACATCTCCAACATTATAAGTGTTTCATCCCGGGGTTTCATCTGATATCCAAACACCGAGAAGTAATATTTTAAACACGAGAAGGAGTGTTTCATTTGATTTCCAAACACCGAGAAGTAATAAATTATATAGGAGAAAGAATGCTTCATCTGATATCTAAACACCGAGAAGTAATATATTAAACACAAGAAAGAGTGTTTGATCTGATATCCTAACACCGAGAAGCAATATTTCAAACACTAGAAGGAGTGTTTCATCTGATATCCAAATATTAATATAAAACACGAGAAGGTGTGTGTTTCAGCTAACCTCTATACACCAAGAGGTAATAGATTAAACACGAGAAAGTATGTTTCATCCGAAATCCAAACATCGAGGGGTGATTTATCAAACACCATGCAGGAGGAGTGTTTCATCTGATATCCAAACACCGAAAAGTAATATAACAGGTTAACACACGAAGAATTTTTTCATCCAATATCCAGACCCTTAGAAGCAATATATGAAATATGAGAACGAGTGTTTCATCTGTGTTATAACCGAAGGGGTACGTGTTGATATTACGTCTCAGTTTTGCGATTAAATTCTCTGACTCCTCAAAATGAATTCAAAGTTTAATTAAACACCCCTCATTTAACAAAATTTTATGGTAACTTTTTTTATCGTAACATCCTGCACTGTGGTATTATATCCGTTGGTTTCTTCATTAATTGTTTCTGAGTTCTTCCCGGTAATAAAAGGGCGCCTAGAAAGCGCGTAAGTCAATCAGAATTCGAATTTTTTTCGTTCCCTTACGAATTGCGTCATTCAACGGATTGTAAGACTATTAAACAAGATTCAAGCATGCCTTGTTGCCTTTTGTCTCGCAGAATTACTAAAGAAAACTCATCAAAACAATTCTTTTCTTTTTATTTTCCAGTCTCTTCACTTCTTCTACGGCCTTGGGGCCCTCGTTAGCCCTGTCATTGCAGAGCCTTTCCTGCGTAGCGCATGCGCAGATGGGCATTTCCAAAGCAATATCTTTGGTTGGACACTTGAAAATTCCACACTGGAGTCTTATATTACGTATAACGTGGATGGAGTCAAGTTTAACGTGACTATGCTGAACGATACCGTATCAAGAGTGTCTCTACCGAGACATTATCATACTAAGTCTTTTGTTCAATATGCTTATTGGCTTGTAGCACTTCTCCAGGTTTGTGTTTTCATCCCCGGACCCCGGCGGATACTCCCTAACCCCGGGGGTTTTGCCTATAATTGCCTATACCGGAAGGCTCTACCCGAAAGGGGTCTCTTTTTCAGTCTTCAGTTGAGTAGCTCTAAGTATAAAAGGGTAGAGTTTTCACTAGCTAAAGGGTATGAAACAGTAGGGAAATCTGTCATTTCATTGTACAAAAAGGTCCTAAAGGGCTAAAAGATGCATTTTATGGCTATGAAATTTAGTTATATCTAAAATTCATTGAATTTACAGCAGTTAAAAGAGATACAAAGTTATACGAAAGGGGTACAATTTCAGTCGAAAACGGTATATTTAAGAGTAGGGGATTGGACCTCTTGGAGGACCCTCCCCCCCCCCCAGTATAAAACTTTGTTGAGTACCCTCCCGGTCCCCTGACTGTATAAGATATGTCTGCCTTGGATGCAATAAGCCGATAACATGCATCACGTCTCATATTTCCTTTAATTTACGAATAAAACAAAGGAAATAGATGACCACTTACAGGCGGCAAGTAGGCCCACATACTGGAGCCTGAGCGAGGCAAAACCACCCAGTTTTCAATCGTGCCAGCTCTAATGTTTACTGTTAAGTTTTTACTGTACAGAAAGAGGACCGTTAATTTCGTGAGCTATCCTTTATGGGTTACATCAGTAATTTGTCATAGAAAATCTTGAAAATTCACAATGTTGTCGCAAAATGATAAATTTTCAGTTCTTTTGGTTGATTGCACCCTATTTCGATGTGCTAATAATAACCCAGGCCTTTTTTCTTTCCCCCTCAAGGTTCCAGTGCAGTCAGGCCTGTTTTATCTAATTTATAGACAGCGCTACCTCAGACGCTGGGCACCCGAAATGTTTGCTGGGAGAGTGGTCACTCTCGCTGCTTTGCCTGCTGGGAATGGAGATGAAACAGAAAGTGACGGTATCGCAAACTTGTTCCCACGGCTTCTCTCTCTTACATATTGAAAGGGGTTGGGGAAAAGGCTTACTGTACTCATTCGGCAATTTATAAACGAGAAGAGAACTGGAACCGAATTTGTCCCGCAATTAATTCTGGGATGGTTACTATGGACGCGCCAGTGAGCCATTGGCCAATTGGTTTTTCTGACACTAATAACAGTCCCAGACGTCTTTGCGAAAGTCAACTCGGCCCAGTTTTTCTCGAAGTAGTAGTAGCAAGTTGATTCTTTCAATGGAGCGTTTTCACATGACTTCACAGCGGCCATATTGGTGTTCCAAAACAATAAAACGGCGGCCATGTTGGTGTTCCAAGACAATCCTCTGGGAGTTGGACTCTTTTCTTATGTAAACGCTTTCATTTGTTCCCATAAATTTGCATAGATGCTGACCACGTGATTGAAAACGCTCTATTGACCACTCCAGAAAATACCATAACATACCATAATGCTCTTTGTTTGTAACCCAAAATTTTGCATAAGCATTGTTTTCGGTTTCCCTTGGGGCCATTTTAACTCCCAAGAGAGACTGAAGACAATGCTTATGCAAAATTTTGGTTTTACAGACAAAGAGCATTATGGTATGTTATGGTATTTCTGGAGTGGTGAATTGGAGTGACAACTGTGCAAAACATGAAGCAACAAGTGAAATTAATCGATTGTTAAAAAATGTGCACGTATCCCTTTGGGAAAGAGGCTTTTCCTCTCTGTTTACTGAATACGATCATATATTTGAAGTAAGCCTAGCCGTCTAGCGAGGTAAGAGCGTAGACAATAGTTCTTCCCTAATTTTAAGTGGTCGCGTTTGTGTCGGTTCTTTTTTCCATCTGTGTGGATGTTTAACTATAAACTATTGTTGTTGTTTTTTAAAACTTGTAAATCATTTTCTTCTCCAGACCTCCCTCAAGTATTCAAGTCTATGGCAGACCACTCGTCCATCAGACTATCATTCTGCAGTCTTCCCGCCAAAATACCGCTGGTCACCCTGCTGGCAGGCCTGTTGCTATTCTTGTTTGATGGATTACAAGGGGCATTTGGTGGCTATGTGTACACATATGCGGTTAAAAGCGAAGTAGATCTATCCTCATCTCATGCTGCTTATCTTAATTCATTATTCTGGGTAGGTAGATCGATAAGCTGAGTAAGAATGGATTTCTCTTTATTGTTAACTCAATCTGGTGCCCAGAGTCCGCGGGTTCTTTGGTCAGCGCTTAGTCGCCTGGTGGTCGTGTCTTCTGGGACCACCCGCTGACCTAAGGGCCCGAGGGCTCTGGGTACGAGATGCCTGTAAACATAGTTCACTTCATTCAATTTCCTTAACTTTTGTTTTGTTTAATATACTTAAAACAACGATATAGGGCATTAGAATGGTGACAAAGAAAACGAAATTGGAATGAAATAAACTGCGACAGAAAAAGAAGACAATTGGAAATGTTGTAGTGAAAAGCCGTCAGGGACATGGTTTGAAATTCATATATATAATGAATTTGTTTCTGAATGGAATTCTAAGAAATTCCCGTCTTCAAATACTCAATAGTACGCCCATGTTAATTCCTTACAGGGTTCATTCGCCGCTGGAAGATTTATTTCAATCCTCATTTCAGTATTCCTGGTTCCGGACAAAATGCTTTTCGTGAATCTGGTAAGTAATTAAAAGTAATTTTTAATCATACGAGACGGCATAGAAATCGTAACTAAATCTCCTGCGATTTTGCAAGCGAGCTGACGTTTGCCACAGTGCCATTCCCAAGTTTCTCTATTAGCTTCTGAGTAAACAACAGCCATATCAATAGAAACGGCTGAAAAAAAATTACTCGATCTTGCAAAAAATGTAATAGGAAATACATAGACAGTTTAAAAATTATCTCATACTCATCCCTAGCTCCAAATGCGGAGTTTCATGCCATTCATATCTAACAACTACAACTTCTACTATCTAGATTTTTTTCTCCATAAAAGATATTTTTCTTGTCGCCAAAAAGGGTAAAAAGGAGGGTTACTGTTCTTGTTTCATCGTAAAAAGACAATAAAATGATACTAATTTTGGCTTTAAATGATCATTTGGCGCGAGGGGACTTGGGCAGGTTCAAGACCAGTTCGTTTGTAGCCGGGAAGAGTTATCGCAATCGCTATTAAAACCACTTGGACTATAAAAAGGGCCTTTGTTAAAGAGCAGAACTGGCTGATCAAAAACATGTCAACAACATAAACCTTCAAGCTGGCGCGAGATTTGCTAAAACAGCTGTCAAGCTTTGGAGGCGAAACATATCACGTTCACGTGAATGTAGACCGCGCGGGTCATGGAAACAACAGACGAAAATAGCCTTCACGCTGCACGCGCGCGTACTATAAATAGATTTCAAATACATCATGGGACATCAGGATTTGCTCTCCTAGATTATTCTTTCTTGGTCGCAATGTTATGCGCAGTGGGTGATGCGCAGTGCAATACAAGCGAATTATCTTAAAGGGTTAAAATTGTTATAAACCGTGGTTAACCATTTCCTCATGGCCAACCGATGATTGTGTTACTGAATTGCGTTTCAGTTTGGCTCGTTTACAGCAATATCCGTCATGTTATACCTTCATCAATTTTCCCTCTCTTTGTGGATTGGTACTGGTGCATTTGGTCTGTTTATGAGCTCTGTATTTCCCACGACTCTCGCCTTGGCAGAATATTACATTGACGTGACAGGTAAAGCTGTAGCCAATCAGTTAAAAAGTGACTTTGCGTTCTTTGAAACTTCAGGGCGATTAACCCAAGTGGCTCACTTAGTAAAATCGTTTGTTTACATTGTCGATAAAACGAGAAATTTGGCAATTTCACGTCGTAGTCGTGCAGTGACGGCAAAGAAATTTACAAAAAGCGTGATGCACGTGTAGAGTTGTTGTCGGTTGTTTTGCCAATCTAAATCTATTGCTCTTTTGACGTCAGTTCTCGTCGCCGTCGCCGTCGCCGTCGCGACAAAAATTCCCTCTTATCAAATGACTCATTGCCATGGGTTAACGACATTGAATGTCATTCGTATCAGATGCCAAATTATCTTGTTATACCCCCCAACTCAAGATTCCTATTGGAGCAGAAAGAGTCACGTGTTAAACGGGTCAAAACAATGATTTCAGTCCAAGTCAATACGGTAGGTGGAGACATCGAGTTGACCAGAAGTCTGAGTTATAAAAAGTGACAAATATTTCTCTTACTATGAGTTTGTCGTATTTTCAGGTTCAATAACAAGTATCTTGATCGTGAGCTCTGCAACAGGGGAGATGGTATTTCCACTTCTCGTCGGAAAGGTGATGCTTACTAATGTAAACGTTTGTTTAAACACCCCTGAATCCCTAACATTCAGTAATGAGCACAATGCATCTGATTTGTAATATCGACGTGTTAGTAATCATCGTAGTCAGATTGATTTTTCTAAATAGGCACTCTAGGGTGACTGGCATATTTAGCTTGACCAAAATACCGGAGTCATGGCTGCTACTGCCCAGGTGGTATGTCTTTGCACATTCAAAAACTCATTGATGATTCATAAAGAAAGAACAAAAGAAATCAATGTTTAATGAGTGTCTTTATATCTGATAAAGACACGGCTAAACTTTACGTCTAATGTTTTAGATCAAAATAACCCCAAATCTAAATATTAGCGCAAGAATGAGTTGATCTGAATTACAGATTTTGAAGCCGTTCAAAAAACTCGCAGTCGTGTATTATCAGGTTTGAAAACTCTCGGCTTCGCTTCGAGTTTTTAAACCTGATAATACACTCCTGCTAGTTTTTTTAAACAGTACTTAAGGTACTGTGCTTTCTTCCTGTTTTTGTTTTACTGGCAAAGATTCGTCAGTTTTCGTTTCTGTAAAGGAGGGTCAAGGAGCTATGTCACGCTACTTGCATTTTTTTATAAAAAGCTAAAACATATCTTCGTATCAATTGAATTTTAAAAATATAGTCACAGAATTGACCTAAAACAACAGTATCCTGGTAATATAGCCCCTTTTAAGTGTTTAACAAGTAAGATATCAAATTGAACAGCAAAATTATGTTTTTATTTCAAATTCCTAGGCTTTCGCCCGTGATGGCCCTTACTCGTTCTTGGTGATCGGGTTCTTGATTTGTACATTCGCTCTTCTGGTGTTCCTGATACTGCGCATGACAGCCAGAGCGCAACTTAACCAATCAGGTTAGTGTATCATAGCAACGGGTTGTGACGTAAATGGGTACCTTTTGAGAGTCGGATTTCCCAAGCTAAGGAAAGACTGGAATCTAATATTTCAAACTCAACTCATTTGAAGTACGTACGATAAACCTCTATGTGCGACCTCGTCTCTTGTCTAGAGATACCACACGTTAATTTGCAACATTCTCTCTTGTTTGCAAACACCATAAGTTTGGCGCAATTTTGTAACAGAGTGAAGGTGCGCCGCGCCGATCTCGAAAGTGGAATGTCATATATTGGATAGGTCCTGTGCCAGACTTTAATGCAGTGTGAACGGATATTCGGACCGTAGCGGAAGTGGATAAATAGGAGTGAGGACTGGAATCCACTGAGGAATGGGATCTAGTTCACCAAAAACCCTCTCGACCAACCGCTCAGGCAAGATTTTTGAAGTGTGCGAAAGACTTGTTCAAGTTTGTACCGTTGCTGTTCATACAGTAGCTAGGGAGCTTGAGCAACAAACATGGCGACTGCTACGAAAACGTTACTTATAAAGTGAATTCGCGCTACTTCAAACTTTATCGCGCTTTTTCCAACTCGTTCAATTCGTCAAATGTTGGCAATTTTTCCTTGAGTTGAATTCGAAAAGACTGTATCAAAGTTGAGGAAAAGAAAAAGAGAGTCGTTGTCTAGTGTTCACGTCGTCGACCAAACATGAAATTAGGCACTTTCACGTTGTAGTCGTACAAAAAAAAGGTGATGCACGTGCAAAGTTGTTGTTTTGCTAATCTAAACCTATTGCTTTTTTTCCTGTCCTCGTTGCCGTCGCCGTCCGTTCGTCGTACTACACCTGCACCGAACAGCTTTTAAACCCATTCAAAATAGATCAAAATCAAAACCGTTCAAAGGTAAAGTTCAGAATCTGGGAAATTTGAATTCTCAGATTTTGTTTCCCGAGATATTCATTTACCCAAACTTATAGAAGTATGGAGACGCCATGCCGGGGACCTGGATGAGCTTGATAAAATGTCAAACAAATTACCGAATTTTGCTACAAAACCGTGAATTTATTCTTGAAATTCATAAACATTAAAGTAATACTCCGTTTACATCAATTTGTTTGAGCAAAATTTCTGAAATAAGTCATTTTTTTAAACCTTTGATGCTGATCAGCCGTCATTAAATGGCAACACCAAAAGCTTAGGTTAAGCGTACTTTATCACAAAACCAAGAACCCGTTTGAAGCGAAACTTTGTATAAAAATTAGTTTTCAGCTGCTCTAATGCATCGTGAAAGTAAAATCTCAGTAGGATCGATAGTTTTTTAGTTTGAATTTTAGTGACGTCATGTGAAAACCAACAATCTGGTATAGTGAGAACATAACCTTAACCTTGACAAAAACTGTCCTGAAACCGTTCTTAATGACAAGTGGCTTTTTCTTACAGTGCACGACCTATACCGATGTGCCGTTAAGCGCCTATGTCATTGTAACCAAGCCTGCGATGATTGTGAGTACACGCCGCTAGTCACGTGCGAAGAGGGAGACGAAAATGCGGGAAACGAAGAGCCAATCAGAAGCGAACCAGTTCACAGAGTGGCGGAACTACAAAGTTAACCAATCACTAGGAAGAATGTAATTTTTCTTACCGGCGAATCTGTTTAAGAAAATAACTGCTGTAAAAAATTATGTAATGACGGTACACTACTGCTTTGATTCTAGAAGAATATATGTTTTAACTGCTAAAATGGTCTCCTTAATGACCGAAGACGGTGAAGGCAAGTCCACGCAAAAGAGAGGATCTTGTCATTCCTCTACTGCTCTAGGCCAAGAAGTTATTTGATATGATGCAAATTTGTACCCAGTTCTGTTGGCTCTCATGACGAGAGAATTTTCTTTTCAATTGCAATCTTGTTTCAAAAGATTATTTTATAAGTAGGTTCTCTGTTGTATAGAGCTAGGAATTTTATTAAATATTTGAAGTTCTTTTTATGTTTATATTTCTCTTGGTCAATGCTTATTCAGTTGGAGACAAAACTGGAAATTTAGAATACTACACTAAGAATGTCAAATTCAGTACGTAAACACTGTCCTGAAATGCAGTGTTAGTATAGAAAACTTATAAAATAAGATAAACTTCGGAGCGCAAATAGGGATACCTAAGGGTGTTATGTGAAGGATCTCGCATAGAGGCTACCGCATCGAAACCACAATCGGTGCCAAAAGTAGTTGCCACACTTGCCTAAAACGCGCCCTTTTATCACTGAACAATTTCGTTAATTTCATACAATTCTGTTTAAACTCCGTCAATCCCCAGGGTTCCTGAAGGCTTAAAATATAAAATGTAACATTGGTTAGGGGGGAGGGGTGGGGGTACGGGAGTTGGGATTAGATATGTCCACTATGCAAAAAGAAGGCCATTTCATGGAAGTGTCTCTTCACTTTGTCCCTCAATGCAGCTTTCACAAACTTGTCCTAAGACGTCCTTACTAACGCTGAAAACAAATGCATGAAAAAAATCCAAACGCAAAAGTGTGCGTCAAAATCCCGCAAATGTCTGAGTTATCTTCGGCTAGTCCATAATCCTTGGTCAGCCGATATCTTTGGTCGATATTAAAGCGCCTTTTGATTTTTCGGAAACTCAAATTGTTTTTTGGTAGCTGGTCGGTTTCTGGATTCTTACGCGTCACTTTGATTTGGTGCTGGGGCCTTCGCTGTCATGTAATATATACTCGGATAAAAATAAACTTTGGTGACTGCTGTACTCAACGACAGTGGAACCTCTATTTAACGAAGGGCCAAGTAACTGACAAAATTTGTACGCTAGAACGAGGTTTCGTTATATCGAGGTTCTTTTTCAATATTTTACTGTTACTGGGGTAAAGAAAATCGTTCGTTTCATCGAGAACTTCGTTATACAGGTGTTCGTTAAATCGAGGTTCCACTGTATTTTGGTAGAGAGATAAAACAATTAGTTTTGCGCATATGTAGTTAACTCAAGACGAACGCCTCCGGAATCGGCATTAAGTGTCGGTCATACAAGACTGTCCACATTAAAAAAATAAAAGATTAGGGATTAAGAACGGTAGGGACCAACTCCAAGTGTCCTTTTAGGTAGATGTCCGTTTCGAAAGAGTTCCACTAGTTTAGAGCGATGAAAAGCCAGCATCCACATAAGACCACACAGGTATGATCTGGGATTTACACGGAGGTAAAGAACGAAAACTTTCGTAATTTTCGTCCTAAAGACGTCTTAAACCTGGTCTTGGCAAAGTTGTCTACTTGCAGGTTGTTATTTCTGCCAAAAGAAATTTGTTTTTATTTCAGAACCAATAATTAACCTGCTTTCCTTTTCTTCGCTCACAAGGAAAGAATGATCGAAAGTAAAACAACAATCACCCTACGCGAGAACTTTTTCACTTTTTTAAAACCTAATCACTTCGTTTCTCTGCCAGTCAATGATACTTCTAGACATCTTGTAATCATAAAGTGCCAATAATTCACTCATTAAATGAAAATATTCTTTTGCAGAGAAGACGAAGGGGTATTTTGTGGTGGAAAACTTTCTTTTTGTTTATAAAACAAGTACATGCTACTAGTTATTAAAGTTATATGAATAATAAATTACTAACACCAACCGCCAAAAGGCAGCCATATTTGAAAAATAATATTATCGACGATCATGGCGAAGTGATTATGGCCAAAGTCTAAAGTCATGGCTCTTACATTTAGAGAAAACTTGAGTAACCCGAGAACATAGAATTCAACGCGTTGAAAGAGCAAAATCCCACGGTGGAGAGAGTAAAATTGTGTAGCGGAATTCGCGCTGTTCTCGTTCGTTGGTTACAAATATGTCCTCTAGTTGGAGATTTTAAACACAAGCTCCCTTCACACATGAAGAGGAAAGAAAGTTATGAGCTTTGTACATCTTCTTGGCTTGACTATCGCTCGAGACCGGGCGGAAAAGAACAGCAAATATTCCGATCACATTCGCTCAAGTACAAACGGACGTAACGCTTGTTTTCCGCGCCGAGTGCTGATCACAGTGTTGTATTGCGGTTGCTTTTTTTCTTTTGGAACCACAATGGCTATTTTGGGACCAACGTTGATGGAGTTAGGCCAATTGGTTCACCATGGTCTAGATATGATGAGCTGGTTGTTTTTTACTCAAGCGGCGTACGCACTGTTGGGAGCGAGCGTAGCGGGGATTTTATTGGACAGGTAAGATTTCGGCCACATATTCTACGGAAATTCGCTTTACTTCAAAGTTGATAGTCGTTGAAGCAGACTTGGGAATTACATTTAAAGACTTTAGGGCCACCTTAAAGGGCATAATAAACAGCAACAGGGGGAAGGTATAGTTACGGCTCAGTGGCTTTCATTGACAAGTCCCTCTTTAGATTTCAACCAGCCGTGAACGGCATGATAATTCATTAAAATGTTAGCGATTTAGAATTCCTTCAACATACTTAAAAATTGCAACTACCTTGTAACGCATAATAAACAGTAGTACAGGAAAGTACTGCTCAGTAGCTTTCATTTAAATGGTCACACTTTAGGATTTCATCCACAGACTCACAAGTTAGAACCACCTTGTAAGGCATAATAAACAGCACCACAGGAAAGTACTGCTCAGTCGCTTTTGTTTGAATATGACATAAGGATTCTATCAACAATTAAAAGTAGAAAAAACCAAACATCACCTAAACTTACGCCAAAAGGTTTTTTAAAAAAAAAAAAAATGGCATTATGGGAAGCCTTCCCGGGATGCAAGTCAGTTTTAAATCTAGTGACAAGTAGAGACTCCTGCAACTATGTGGTCGTATAAATAGTACAGGAAAAGTAATGTTTTACAGTTTCCTTTTAAAGGTCACTCTTAAAGATTTCTGCCGCAGAATCAAAAGTTGTAACAACCTAGTAAAGCATAATAGTACAAACAGTATCGCAGGACTAAGAGTTACTTCTCCGCGTTGCTCCTGTCCGCGTAGTACTTTTCAGTACGTGTTGTTAATCCTGAATGTCTACTATTAAGGATCCAATTCACTAGTTTACTCAAGAGTTAGGCCCAGTCTCCATAAATCCAGATATTTTTGAAACCGCAGATTTTTTACGCGTATCGGCCTTCCGTCTACACGAATCCAGTGAATCCCCTCAACGAAATGGCATCTGTTTGAAGGTTTTTGAAAACGCTTTTTTGGGTACGACGGAGCGAATTCGTGTAGACGATTTGAACGGGATGCTTTCGATTTCAAACCCCTTGAACAGCGTTAAATTTCATTCACAGATTCAAAAGCTAGAAGCACCTCGTACAGCAGCCATAATAAACAGTACCACGAGAAAGTTCTACTCAGTAGCTTTCATTTCAGTGTTAACACTTTAGGTCTCATTAACAGGCTCAAAACGTTACATGAAATGACGGACGGCCTCTTGAAGTTTATAACTTAAGTTAAGTGGTCTCGAATATAGAACATTTTGGCTTATTAGTTTTATCCAACACCTGTACGGTGCGCGGATCAAGTTGTCTTCACTGTTAAGTGTAGCCGATCTGGCCTTAAATTAACTACCTGCTGTTCAACTGGTACCACAAACACAAATATTTTTTTTCTGTTTATTGTCTTACTGTTTCTTTTGTTTGTCTGCAAACTGATACAAGCAACCTGATACAAACATAAAGTAGAGAAAATAATATCTCCAAGGGAAAAGTCGACATAACTACCAAGACGGCTATCCACGAAATTTAACCCAAACTGGACACATTTCAACAGAGGTGTATAGATGTCACAATGGTAGGCAGGTTTGACCTGCTGCCGAGATTACGGTGCTGTAGTTTACACTTCTCTGGCTTTACGTGGACACAACGAAGACTCTGGCTGATCAAGGCTTGGACTTGATGAAAGAATTTCTGGCATAATTTTCAGCATAGCGTAAGAACTCTTGTCGGTTTTCTGACAAACCGTCATAACTGCACGTCAGACAGTCCGTCCAAGGGCAAAACTCTCGAGATTTTTTTTTATCGATTTTTTTTTAGGTCTGGCACTGATTTCAGTCGCTGACAAATCATTCAGAGGTTGAATTGACAGTTGAGAGAGGTCAGCTCAACACAAGACAAGAAATGCTTCGACAAGTCATTTTCCCAGTGCTATGGGAAAATTTTAAGTCTTACGCTGAAGGTCGCGTCGATGGACTACGACAAATTTGCGCGCCTCATTGTAGAACAATTTTCGCTCATTTTCTCTACTTTAGCACCTTCTTTATGTTCGGTATGTCAGTAGGAATGGCTGGGCCGACTCTCACGGATTATTTGATTTCATTTTTTGAAAATATTGACATAATTGATGCCCTCGCCTGGCTATTGTTCACGCAGTCCACTTTCCGCTTCGTGGGCGCCATTGTTGCTGGTTTCCTCGTTGACAGGTAAAACCGGTTTTTCTTACTTGGTCGCAGACTCAGCAGGTTTAAGAGTGATTCTTTCTAGATTTTCATCTTTGAAAGCCCGTGATTCCAAGTCTGCTTCTGTTGTTGCCTTAGTTCTGTACGCGTTGACCATCTTTTTCATGGTGTCCAGGAATTACCCTATACGATAGACTAGCATGCACTCGGGCATCTAAGCGGACGCATTACATTTAAACCTCTTCATTGTGTTTCATTCTGAGAAATCGAATTAAGATCTAGCCATGCAAACTTCTTAGTAGGTTATCTTGATTTTCTTTTAAAGTGTCCCGTTCAAATAGTAAAATAAAAAAATAATCCATATAACTTAATTGGCCATTGACAATAAGTGCGGACGACAAATGTACGACGACTATTCGCCTTGCGTGCTTGTACGCAGGATTTTAGCCCGCGCACACCAGTGTAACGCATCCGTGCGCACGCACGTTTAAGGGTGTAAACTGCGATTTTAGTCCCACTTAGGGTGTACAGGACGGAAAGCCAATGTAATTCAAACTTTTAAGTCTGTGCATGAAATCCTAAATTGTGACATTCAAATGAAAGCTACTGAGCAGTACTTTCCTGTAGTACTGTTTATTATGCTGTTCAAGATGATTCAAACTTTTACGTCTGTGCATGAAATCCTAAAGTGTGACCATTCAAATGAAAGCTACTGAGCAGTACTTTCCTGTGGTACTGTTTATTATGCTGTTCAAGGTGATTCAATCTTTTAAGTCTGTGCATGAAATCTTAAAGTGTGACCATTCAAATGAAAGCTTCTTAGCTGTGGTTTCCTAAAATAATTATTTTACTTGTAAAGGAGTATTTAATGTACTTTTCTCTTTTCTCCTCAGATATGATATCAATCGTAACTTTATGCTTCTGTGCTTTCTGTTACTGAACGCTATTTTTCTGGCCGTAATTCCAATATGTCGGACATTATGGCTGCTCATTTTGTCAACAGCGGCGGCGGGATTCTCAGTTGGAATTTTAGACACCGCTACTAACGTACAGCTTATTGGGATTCATGGCAAGAAGGTAGAATTGTCTTATTTTTTAACATGACGAGGTTTAAAATCCCAGGATAGGAAACTTACTAAACTGGCAGAGGCTTTCGCTTCTATCACAGCATCTTAGGTTATCAAGTGTTGCACTCGACGTTTTGTCACCTGATCTATACTGTGAATCACGTGACATAAAGTCCCGATAGATCGCAGGGAGTTCGCAGCCGGCGTCCCTGTTCAATGTTCCTTCATTTAGAATTCCAATCTTTAAAACGTTTGCCTATTCCTCGACAGCTTCATGGAATGGCCGGGTTTTTTCTCGCAGACATTTTTCAAGAAACAGAACTTTTGTAATCACCCCTCATGTGGTATTACCGTGTATTCTGGCTTTTTTTGATGCAATAATCGAGCCATTTTGGTGTGAACTAGTACTCTTCCACCACGTGATTTTCTCACGGAAACAGCTGAGTCCCACCGCGCGGTTGTCTTTGCGCGCCGTTATTCAGCATCATTGCTGTTTTACGCTCCACGTCAACCATAGAGTAATAGTCAACATCTTTCTAATTTGGATAACAATAGCTGGTCATGAAGAACTAGCTGGCAGATTTAGGCAAACCACCAACGGGGAAATATTTTGAATGAATAGTAATTACAGTTATTTGTACGTATAGAACGTTTCTTGCATGATAATCAAACAGTTCCCGCTTATAATTATTCCACACTTGGCTAATATTCAATTTCCCTTTTATTTCTGCTTCAGGTTTCTCCTTACTTACAGGTAAGAAGAATTTGTCCAGTTATTATTATTATTATTATTATTATTATTAATAGAAATTTGTAACGCGCAGTTTCTATGAGAATTTGCAACTGTGCCTAGTTAGCTTCCTTCCTATTCGTAAAACAAGATATAATTTTGTCACTGTTGTTATTTTTTTCAGGCTCTTTATTTTTCGTACGGCTTCGGTGCATTCGTTAGCCCGCTAATAGCAGAACCTTTTCTCAGTGGTACTCCCCATCCAGATATTGGGCTGCCGGCGGCCAAGAGGGGGAATCCGCTGCCCTACGGTGGAATGGGGCATCGCGGGCACCATCATTTATCACACAGACCAACCAATCACATGAGAGACACTTTCTATACTGAGCCAGAAAAATATAAGAGCGAAGTTCAAGTAGCTTATTGGATTATAGCTTTAGCACATGTAAGTTATCAAGTTCTCGAGATAAAATGTCCTACAGTATCTCCTAAATGGCAGAAGGGTTTCTTAGTGAGCAATGTGTATCGATAAAGTAACTGGAGATATTTTCTACTATCATTCGATGCAAATGTTTCTTCCTTTTCTTTGGCCGAGAACCAACCACTTGACCTGCAAATAACTGCCTACAAATAATGGTCTTCTCATGCGCAATGTCGTCCAGCTATGTTTGGCTGCAAATAATATTCTGCTCATTCGTAAATATGAAAGCACGCTTTTCTCCTTCTTGCGATCGCTCTTGCGTGAAAATGGCAGCCTCCCGAAGATATTTATCAAAAAACAAGCTCGGTGACTGAATGATAAAGTGAATTATCCGTAATTCACAATCGCTTTTACACTCGACTTTCTTGATGGATAACTGCATTGGCCATTTTGAAGTTGCTCGGGAGACTGGGTCAGGTTGCATTATGGGAATGTTTCGGGGAAGTTATGGCTTCTTTTTTGGGGCTTACGAGGTTGCGCAGGGAACTGGGTCAAAATTTTTCTCTTCAAAACAGTCCCATGAAGCATTTCGTCACAACACCTTCCCAGTCCTAATTGATCGTAACTTTAAAATGTCCAATGATTAGAGACGGACAGCTCCCTAGAGACAGTTGATTTAAAGGGTCTGCAACAATACAGATAGTTCAGGGGCACCCAACGACAATTTTCGGAAAATTATCTGTTCGGAAGACGATTTGAGATCTAGAATTTTCGGATCATTTTCTGTAAAATTTCTTGCTTGCCTGCTTCTCCTAGGATTTTCGAACATCAAAAAAATGGTATATTTGTCCATTTTTAACGGATTTTTACCCTAAAAAGGTCACCTAGAATTTTCGGGAGCCTTTTTTCTGGCTGAAATTTTCGGAAAGGTAAATTTTGATCCCTATAATTTTCGGATCACTATACTTTCAGCTAGGAAATCCGAACAGATGAAAAATTTTCAGGGGATAAAAATAAGCCTTTATCTACTGTTTAAATACTAAAGTACGTTCATAATGCTATGTTTATGTGGTTTTGAACTATATTCTCGTTGGGTGCCCCTGATAGTTACAGAAACAACACAACTTTCTTTAATTTACGAGACATTTTTCGACGATACATCCGCTGTCATCAGTGTTGCATACTTTTGCGTTAAATTGAAATCGCGGAAGATGTTTTACAAAGTTTGTTACATTGCGTTTTAAATACTGCGTACTTAAAGTTTAAAAAATTGACCTCATCGGACTTAGTCAGATAGTCAGGTTTAAGTGTCACATCTGTTGATTGAGTCCAGTTTCACCCCTTTTATGTGCATGGTTCTTTAATCTTAACTTGAAACTTAGTAGCCGCCGATTCGAGGATATCACTGGCAGTAATCCGTTCGGCAGGACCGATGTTCGACAGGAGTCTGCACTGTGCAGATATCTACTTATCACATACTAACTTGTTCCTGTTCCTATATAGTTACCAGTTGTTATAGGTCTGGCATATATTGTCATAACAGACAAGTGGGAGGAGCATAGATTAAAAACTCAAGCTGCCAGCAAAGCAGAAAGCAAAGATAGCACTTATGAAAACCCAGATGGAGATATAGAAGGTAAAATTTTGCGCTTAATTCGCAGAGAGGTTAGGCAATCAAGATAGACCAGCAATTTTCAGAATTTGCGCGAGAGACTTGCGAAATGCCAGCGGCTAATGCACAAGATTCGTAAAGAAATGTCCATAAATCTGCTTGATTATCGACTTCGCTCGCCATGTGTGGTTCTTATATAGGCTTACGACTGCTCGCGGTTTATAATCATGACGGTGTGTGAGACGGTAATTTAACAGGAGAATAACTTTTATGAGTGAACAGTTCGCGATATACACCCTTGGTGAGTTCCAAACGAACAATGCGAGAACACTGCTTTCCGGTAAAGTGTGAAGACAACCTAAAGAAAAAGCTCGGGGAACGAGGTTGAAGAGCAAATAGGTTCAGCAATCACATACTAGTCACAGAAGTTAAATTAAGACTTGCACGTATCTTATAGACATTTTATATTGTCTTTTAGGTTTGCAGAACAAGGTTCACTTAGATACAGAAACTCTAAAGCCTGGTCTGTGCGATGACTCAACTAATAAAACGCAGATCATGTGCATCACATTCTGGACATCATTCTTAGTTTTTCTCTATGACGGAATGCAGGTACTGAACTGATAACTTGGTAGGATGATTTTGTATGGAAAGAAATTCATCTATTGATCTTTGAAGATGCGGTGCTGTGGTAATAAGTAGATTTTGCTGACTGGTTTGAGGGACTTTCGCGCCCAAATCGTTCTAAAAATAATTAAAGTTGTCGTTGAAAACGCCGTGACAAGAGTACATGAAAGATGCTCTCTAGGTCATGGACTCCTGGCCCATCAGAGGATATTAATCCCCAGGTTACAAGGGACGCCGGGAAATAGTAGGGACCAATCATATATCTTCTCTTTTTACCTCCCCTTCTTAGGGTTCTTACGGTGGGTACGTTTATACTTATGCAGTCAAGAGTCCTTTGCGAATGACGTCAGCACAGGGTGCCTTTCTTACTTCTGTATTTTGGGTGAGTATGTGCACAGGAAACCTTTCTTGCGTCTGTATTTTGGATGAGTATTGGCACAGGATACCTTTTCAGCTCCTGTATATTGGGTGAATATGAGCACTGGGTACCTTTCTTACTTCTGTATGTTGGTTGAGCACAAGGTACCTTTCTTTACTTGTGTGTTTTTTTTAGAACTTTCTTTTTTGGAAAAGTCGGGAAATGTTTCGTTCTTTAGGTAGAGATCTCGACACAGCTATAAGTCGAGAACTTAGATTATTTTCATAAGTCAAGGTGACAAAAAAGTACTTCTCGGATATAAGGTCTATAAACCGTTGTCCCTGTCTCACAACCCTTTTACATATAGAATTCTGTTGGACGCTAAAGAACCCACAAGCTGTTCGTAAGGAGTAGGTGATGTACGCCCTGGTGTGGTGGACTATCTTTTTCGGGCCCGCAGTAATTAGGAGTCGTACGCTGTTGCGGTGACCCTTCCAAAATTGGCGAACCTGAGTAACTAAAGTACTTAATTCATTTCTTATAAGTCGATACTTTGTGTTATAGGAAGATATCTTCATATCCATTTCCTCTAGAGTGATTCGCGAACAGACATGGCCCGAATGTCCTATTTATCAATTTATCTGTTACTTACTTACTTAATTTTTTTTTGTCTTCAGGGTTCTCTCGCCTTGGGTCGTCTTGTTTCGATACCTATCGCTCTTTTCTTGTCTCCTGCAATTATGCTTCTTGTCGACCTGGTAGATAGATAGATAGGTAGATAGATAGATAGATAGATAGATTTAGTTTTTATAATCACATCGCAACCAATAGCTTGAATTAGAGGTTGAATGACGCGATAATTTACGAAATAATTACGGTTACTTAAAAATACTACCACTAATAAGCTAATCTATAAAGAAAAATGAAAGAAACGAATAACAGAAACAATACATGAATACATTACAGTAAAATTGTAATTTGTTTAAAAAAAATAATAAATAAAAGAACGACATCGACATGATAAAAAACAATCGAAACTTCTAAAATTATAGATCGGGAACACAGTTTAAGCTTTTGGGGCGTTGGACGTAACAAAACTATTCGTCTGGAAAAGGGGCCTAAATTTCCGTGTGATTCTTATGTTCGACCTAGAGGTATTAAATACCTTAATTAAATCCGTAAATTTCATGAGATCTTTCAATATCCTTCCTAATAATCCACACTGGTGGGAAAAAGGAAGGAAAAGGAGTGCTTCAAAGCAAAGCTAAATTAACCAAAAAACCGCGAAATGCATGGGGAAACGTGCAAAGCGTGTTTATAGCTACGTGATCACGAAGGACGTGCAGTCCGTGCCAATCGCATGGGTAGTCAAAGAAAAACGTACAGATCATGAAAAAGCGAAAAAACACGATGACAAGATCGAGAAAAGAAAACATATAAATGCCAAGTGAGAGGGAAAATAATGAAGTACAGGCGATGCTGCGGTGGCCCACGCTAAACTTAATAAAAACTATAGAGTGTTTTCACATGACCTCACGGAGGCCATATTGGTGTCCCAAAACAATGGAACAGCGGCCATGTTGGTGTCCCAAACCAATCCTCTGGGAGTTGCACTCTTTTCTTATACAAACTTTATTATTGTTCCAATAAATTTGCATAGATGCTGGCCACGTGAGTGAAAACACTCTATTGTTTTAGCAAACTTGGTACTTAAAGACGCAAATAATGCGGTTTGGCCGCGCGTTAAACAAGTATTATGGACTCAAAATTTGCTTTTTAAGATATGGTAAGACGGACAACAAAAACGTGCATTTTGTTCCAGTCGCAACATTGCTGCAAAACGCGTTGAATAGCAATGTTGAGAGTTTTACCACCCACGAATAAAATCTCCCTTACAACAAATTAAGTGAGTGGTAAAACTCGAAATATCGCCTTTCAATTGTTGCAAAACAAATTGCACGTTTACGTTTCCCATTTTACGGTAGCTTTACCCAAGAACCTAAAAGAGTTTTACCTCCCACGCGCAGTATTTGTTTCAGAAACGAGTGGTTCCTAGTTTAGAACAGACCCAAAGACCAGAGAACGGTGACGGTTGTTACAATGTCGCTTAAAAAGTGAATTCGCGTTCTTTCAATCTTGAATGTTCATTGCGATTATTGCAACTCACTTACTTTGTAAAATGTAGGCGAACACTCCTGGAGTTGAGGAACCATGTCCAAGTTCAGTAAGAGAAAGAAAATTTCGTCGAAGCTTGTTTACGTCCTCCACAAAACGTGGAATTAAGCATTTGCACGTCGTAGTCGTGCACTGACGTCAATGCAATGTACAAAAAAGTGTGATGCACGTGCAAAATTTTTGTTTTGCTTAATTGCCTACTCGGGACGATTCGCAACGGCGATTTTTAGCACAAAACAGCGTTGCAATATTGCGACATTGATTCAAATGATAGCAACATTGTTTAAATATTGCAAATGCTGTGTTGCGCAAAAAATCGTCGTTGCCAATCGTCCCCTGTATAAACATCACCTTAAAACCTATTGCTCTTTTTTCTTACGTTTCTTCGTTCCCGTCGATGTTTTCGTATCTAAAGGCCCCTAACAATCGCGTTAAAGGGAACAATAGGATCATTGATACGAGGAAAAATAAGACGCGTCTTACATAAGACGCGTCTTAAATAAGACGCGAACTTTCCGTATAATGTTTGTTGCTTATGCAAATACTATTGTTCTGTAATCCTCAGCGGGATTGAAAATGTCAAATATCGTCAGGATTAAACAAATTATTTACGTCGAAAATTATTAGGATTAAACAAACGATTTTTGATTGCTTGTTTTTGTGGGTTTTTTTCCAGATTGGTTGCTTGGTTTCTAGTTTATTAATGTTAATCTTTAGAGCAAGTGAGTCTGCGCTGTGGATGGGGACTAGCACATTTGGTCTTTTCATGAGCAACGTGTTTCCCACAAGTGTGGCACTAGCTGAGCAGTATTTTAATGTTACAGGTACCGTATGCTTAAGTAATAGTGGGTGTTGCATTTCCCCAGACAGTTTCCGTACTGGAACGCTGACCCATTTTGGAGTCAACACGGTAAAGACGGTTGAAGACTGGCAGCATTGCACCACCGTACTTGGGGTTGGGTCACCCTAAACACAGAAAAATTCAGTATCTCTGTCTCTACAATATGGATCATCTCTTGACAAAATGATCTTGAAACTGGGGGAAAATTCATAGTACTGTAATAATTTGTAAAATATTTTTAAAAAAAAACCGGAGAATGGTTATAGGAAGAAGGGACCTTTGCAAAAAGTTCAAAGATTAACCTATTTGGAAAAAGTTAAAATGGCAAATGGTTTGGTTACATGTATACTGGAACTGCACTTAGCTTTCCAGCTAGTTTACAGGCACCGCACGCAAATTATTGGAAAGAAATGGTACAAATATAACTTAACATGATCAAGGACCCCATCTTTAGTTATAAAGATGCTAGTTATAAGCATGATCCGCGATTTGATCTAGAATCGACCGAGAAACAAATCAAGTAAGCTGTCATAGCGGGACGCGAACCAAGGATCCCCAAAATGCAAAACGGACGCACTGGCTATAATCAACCACGACAAGTGCCAGCGTATCTGTTTTTTGGCTTTGTCCTCTAGTTGCTAATCCTCATTAATTGTCCTGTATGTGGAGCCATAACCCCGAGTCACAATACGACAGCATTCCCGACGTTAACGGTCGGCTATTCCCCGCAAACAGAAAGTTATCTTCAGTCGAACCTGCCTTAACGGACACCTTCCCTAAACGGACAATTTTTCTGATTCCATGGGTATCCGCTTTCGAAGAGGTTCCATTGTATCAACACTCTAATGCTATACACATTGCGGACCTATTCTGGACCTCTTGCTAACCTAGCCTATATTCGCACTATGCCGGCTAGCTTTTGCGCCGGTACGAAAACCATACCGAATAGGGCTTTTAACACATGAGAACGATGATTTTCGCGCGATTTCTGTAACAAAGCGAAACTGCGCCGTGCCGGTCTCTAAGGTGGAGAGTCAAATATCTAGGTGTTGATACTATAACGGAAACTGCCTCGTACCCAGACGTCTCTCTTTTGATGAAAATGTGCGCGCAAAGGAAGGCGGGAAGGAGACAACGGGCTTAGCCTGTCGTCTATACCCTTCCCATGGTCCTTTGCGGCTCATCACCAGTCACTCGTTTCGCGCTCGCCTCTGCCATGCGAAAAACGAAGCGCCTGAGGAGGAGGCTGCCACGGAAAGCTACTCGGTATTCCTGGTTTGCACGTGACGTCACGGCGGCCATGTTGGTGGTCAAGAACAAAAGCATTTCTCTCCTCTGAGAACTAAACTCTATTTTCATGTAAATTCTTCGAGGAAATATTCTTTTGTTTTGACCCCAAAAATGGCCGCCTTGTCACGTGGTTGCAAACCAAGAATAGTCTGAACATAACCCAAGAGTTTGCTGTACTTACGCACTTGTTAGCATAGAGCCTGTTAAGCTTTATCCTTAAAAACCCGCTGCTTTAAAGCTCACCATCTTTTCCTCTTCCGTTTTTAGGTACAGTGACTTGTATGTTTGTTGTAAGCGCCGCTATTGGAGAGATGATCATACCACTCATCGTGGGCAAAGTATTCGACTATGTGGGGGCGATAAGTTTTCTGGCTGAGGGCTGCATTCTCTGCTTCGCTGCATTTGGCGCTTACCTAGCAGTATTAATTATTGGAAAAGGAACAGCGTCTCACGAGAGGAAAAGAGAAGGTATAAATGTATATTGTTTAACCCCTAAACATCGAGGGGTTCTAAGGTCTCGCTTGGTCAGCCCCCGCGCGTTCCGGTAAACTCGTTCCCAGGGACTTCCACGCCACACCCATTTTCTGAGGGAACAGCCCTGGGAACGAGGAAGTATTGGAAGAATTGGTTTTTTGGGAGACGGTACACTCACAGTAGTCCGAGAAAACAGCCGACATTACGTGTTGCCACCATTGTTTTCCCAACGAAATGACGTCTGAGAAACGAGCGCAGAAATTCCATACTGATGACGCGTCACTACTCAGATCTGGGTAGTGCTTCTAATTGGTTGATGCAAATTTCTCACGCTACACCTTGACCAATCAGAAGTACCACTCCGATCTGGGTAGTGAAGCGTCATCAGTATGGAATTTCTGGGCTTGTTTCTCAGTCGTCTATTCGCGGGGAAACCAGTGGTTGTGCAGTGCTGCGAAATGTCGGCTGTTTTCTCAAGCTAAGAAGACGGAGGAAACAAAGTATCAGAGAAAAACTTCTCGGATCAAGGATAGGAGCTCATTAATGAGCTTTTGACAAACGGAAGAAGACAAAAAACAACCGATGGCGGAGACGAATAGCTTGACGTCGCCTTCGTGATATACGAACCCTGGATAGCTTATTGAGAGGGGAGTGGTCTCACTAATGCGCGACACCAGTCTTCTTCACAGGACGGCACTTCGACATATCGCGCGGGGCGAAGTGTATGAATGGAAATAAGTGAATCAGAAGGCATCATGGGAAGGAGAAGAACGGTGGCGACGCACTGTCCCCCTACTTTCTTTACCCCCACTGTACTTTGTAAAAAAAAAGGGGAGACGTCTAATAACCAAGCAGGCGCAACCCAACACTTCCCCCTTTCCCCTTCGGCAATCCTCACACTTTTAGAGATGAAAATTCAAGAAGAGGATAAATCCCGCCTTGCAGCAAGGACTGTTTATCACTCTACTCAAGTTTGCTTTCTAGCTAATAAAAACGCTATTTCTAATACGTTTTCTTTTTTTTTCGTCACAGTAATCGGAGCAGGCAACGTGGAAGTGAAAAACGACGCTGATGCTCATGCAGAAAAAGATTCTGAGCAGCAGGAAATATCAGAGGAAAAATCACCCAAGAGATGATTATTCTCTTCGAGGGTAGTCAGAAATTAGTGATATTTTGTTATGACAAAAACCAGAGCCAACCAAGATAGTAGACTTTAATTTTTGAAAAATTAGTCTCATTAACATGAAAAAAGAGGGCGACTGGAACCCAGTAAGATTTTATCACACGGTCAGGATTGAGAGAGATCTGAGAAAGAGCTAAGGTTGCCATGGTCACGCTAACGATAGGATGGAAGAGAATGGAGAAAAGAAGTGATGACGTCACAGAAACTAAATATGTGAAATTATGGGATTGGTTTGCATATCCAGAAAGAACAAGATGAATAAATGTTTACTTGCTTAAAATCAGCCTTTTGGTGCAAATTGAAGAGGAGATATAAGCAACGTTATGTTCTGATGACTCTATATAAATCCTTCTAAGATAAGCCTGGATTGTTAACCTTACGATGGAATCCAGTTTTGCAAGGATTTGTATGGAGTCATCAGAGCAAACTGGTGCTTATATCTACCCACCAATATGCACTAGCAGGCTGAGTTTTTTGCAATAGGGCTTTTTTCATTTTGTTCTTTGTGAACATGCTAACCAGTCCCATAATTTCACAAGTTTTGTGACGTCACACTTCTCTTTTCTATTGAATTAACTCTCTAAGCCAGTTAAGTGAGCTGGATGACTTTGGAAGTTTTCCGAGTTATGGTTGCAATTTAGAGACGGCCAGAGAGAGAGCGACACGGACTTGTCAACCACTGATATGATGTACGCCCAAAAATAGACTTCTTTATATTTTTGGCTGTTGTTGACAGGTGTCATCTACCAGACAGTAACAGTTACAATTCCTTCTTGGGGGCTAAAGCTTCTACAGCTTGAAAACATTTGTATATAAAAAAACGAAAAAAACAAATGTATGTTATCAATTTTGTACAATATGTAAGTAGTTTTGTACTTGGTGAAATAGAATTAAACAACCGCAGTCACTGAATTCTCGGCCATACTTTGGTTTGCAGCTCATTACTATCTTTGAATGTTTTTTTTCTATCTAATCTTAACTCTTAGACGTTACTAGGCGAGAAATAGCCGTGCTCTTAACCTGCGATCAGGCGTTTCTAATAAAAGGGAAGAAGGACCGCCTGATCGCAGGTTACCGTGCCCTCGAACGCGCAATTAGTACGTTAACCGGAAGTCAGCAACGGGCGTTAACCGGAAGTGATCCCGTTCCCTTTCACCTGAAACACTTGAGAAGGCAAAACCACAACGACAAACCAGTGAAGCCGGATCTTTAGTACACTGGATCAGTAAAATCTTGAGTACCAAATTTTAAAATTAAAACAGTAGCGGGGCTATACCTGCCTTGACGCTACCAAATTTACAATGCTAGATAGATAGATAAGTATCTTTACTCTTATAGAGACGATTTGCTAAAAAATTTGGGAAAGACCACTGCCCCAGATTGTGAAAAGTCCACTTCCGGTTGACGCGTAACCTGAGATCAGGCCCAATTTTAGCGGTTCTCGTACATTCTCTCTAACGGCTACCGCTCGCCGTGCCCGCCGGAATGTAATTTTCAAAGCGAAACGAAAATAGAGCCTGATCTCAGGTTAGTTGCTGAAAACGTCCATATAGTCTCCCGTCCTTGCCACGCCTCTCCTTGTGCAATCATCTCACTCAGCTTCCTCTTTTGCCTCTCTCTTAGAAATAATTAACACATGTGTGTTTGTATTAACATGAGAGTGAGATGTTTCTTAGAGGTTAGTAGCATATAGAAGATTTGATATAATACATAATATGTGATCAGCCACACCTGATTTGGGTTGTTCAAACGTTCCATAGCGCTATCCACCGGATAAATCGCTATCCAGTGGATAAGTATTACTAATTAGGAAAATGAGTTGCGTTATCCACTGGATAGAGATTTGTCCGGTGGATAGCGCTTTCCACCTTTTGAAGACCTCTTTGAACAACTGGGGCCAGGTGGTTAAAAGCAAGGCCAAAAACTACTCCTGACCTCTTATTCTCCGAAATTCGTAGTTTAAGTCCAGCCTACATGAAATACCAAGAGTAATGATTTGTGGAATCTGAAATTGATTGTTTGAACCACTTACTCGCCATTAAAACACTTTTTATCTCTTTTATTTTCAGTGGATTTGTTACTGCTTCCGTTTTTTTACAAGCGTGTAGGGGACTGGCAACTAGTTTTCATTTTGGCGCCTTTGAGCCTCGTTTCCACAAAACGGATCTGTTGTCCGTGATGGGAATTTACATCCTCAAAAAGTTTAGACCGTACACTGCGTGAAGTTTGTCACTGATCTGAAGATTTCAAAGGGGAAAATGAATACAAATTTCGAACCTCCTTGTCTAAGGTTAGGAAATGTTCTTCATTTAGGAAAATGGAAGCGATCGGCTTTGAAATAGACCCGACAATTGATGTAGTTGTTGTGCCAACGCAATGGCCTGTCCAAAGTTCGACTGGGATTTGTGCGTTCATCGTTTATTCGGATTGTAAAATGCTGCCACAAGGTGTAAATGATTTTTTCGTTTGACTTTGGTTGATACAGAGAGGAAAGGTAAGGCTATAGCTTCATCATCTTTTTTTTAACGTGCAGGCTGTGAGATCGCAACAACCTTTGTACTTTTCAGGCAGGCAGGGAGACATGTGGGGGTGGGGTGGGGGAGGGTTACACTGTTTCAAAATAGGTCAATTTCCTTATGCTATTAATCGAATTCATACTTTACTTTAACGCTTGGGGAAATAAAATTAGAGAATTTTATTACTCATCCCTGTCTTACAACATTTTTCTTACTCCCCCAAGCTCTAGTGCCAAGTATGAATTTTGATCATATCCAAATATTGGTCTATAATAATTATAGACCAATATTTAAGCTACATTTATCATCTTTTTTACTCTCTTGACCTCTATAGTGAGTAAGTAGTGCTACAGTCAAAGCCTTTTGAGACCACCTATTTTAAGTGAACATCTCTTTCAAGCAGTTGCCAAAAGGTTCTTAGGAAACAAAAGTAACCAGGGGCAGATCCAGGGGGGGGTCCAGACCCCCCTATCACTCCTGTGGTTGTTTTTTACCGCTTGTTTGGCTCTGAAATTCTGCGGAGAATCAAATTGTATCTCAGATTCAGGATGTCTCAAGAGGGGTTGTCAGAACTGGCACTCATACACTTGCATCATGACCTTAACTAGCCTGTGAGCAAGCTTTCTGGGGCGCTCTCCAGTGGGGCAGGAAAAGGTAGGAGAGCTTGCAACTTTGTCTCTGCAATTTGAATTCCACCTCCAATTCTCCTGTGACTCCCCGTCGACTGAGCTGTCAGATTTCCGCCAATCAGCGTGAAGCATAAACAAGCACAAAATAATGTAAAAAAACATTGAAAAACACATGAAAGCACAGGCCAAGGGTAATGACGTCATTACTAATGTCATCTCCACCAATCAGCATTTTGCATCGATTTTTTTATGCAGATATTTAAATTCCAGAGACATAATTGCAAGCTATCCTTCCTTTTTCCTCCCCACCACCAGAGCACCCCAGAGAGCTTGCTCACAGGCTAGACATTGGCATTGACAACTTCAGTAAAGCCTTTGTTACCAAGCACAATAGGAGGATGGATGTTCCAAGGGTGCATCCTTTATGAGTAGAACGCATCTACATGGTAAGGGAGTAAGGAAACTAATATCAAATTGATTTAAGTGTATAGCTGCAAGTGGGGAGGGAGCTGGGGGTACTGTAGTATGGGGGATGATGCAATTTGCCACAAATGACTTTCCTACCATGTTTTCTGAATTAAAGATTGGATCATGCCAATTCAGGGATCTGCCTCTGGTAACTGCTCCCCCAGGGAACAACTGTTAAGTGTTTTAAAATTGTTCTGTGTGATGGTGCATTTTTTTTTATTATTTTCTCAAAAGAAATGTATAATTAAACAATAATCCCAGACTCCTGGTGAGTCTCCTTTTTGACTGGCTGATGATTACAGCTAAGGGTACCAAAAAGTGACTGCTAATGGAGATTGGCCGGTGTATAGTGATTTGTCATAAATTAGCATAATCTTTAGCAAAAACGACATGTTATTTTGAAACAAACACTCTCCATCCCAAACACCCTAAATGAGAGACCGCAAGCATCCCTATCACTTTTATATGGGAATCACCCCCCCCCCCTCCAGGGGTATATGTAACCCCCTAAGAGAGCCTCTTTCATATGGCTTCTGTCTTTAATTACTAAAAGGAGTCAGCACAGCAGAATGCATGGTTAGCCACATGGAGGGCTCAACCTTCCAGTGGTCCTACACAGACCCATCAAAATCAAATGTGATACTACTGAATTGGACAAAAAGGCAATATGCACTTCCAAGGTAATCCAAAATTACCATACTCATTCTCCACACCATTTATGTTTGATTAAGTAAAGGTATTGTAAGGGGAAAATAGATGCTCATCACTGTTACCCCAAATTAGAAAAGATAATTGATTGTGGTGTGGTCAAATATTCTAAAATGAATTTATCAAAATTTTCTTTTTTGTGCAGAGAGATTAAAATGCATCCTCGTATAACTTTGAGCAGCTTCATTCCTAGCCAGGTTCCGAAAATTTGTTAGCGTGTGGGTATTTATTGCCACGCGTCGTTTTTCACAGTTGTTAATTACGTCACTTACAAAGGCGATTTGGTGATAATGCTTCTGAGTTATGACTATTTTTTCTTATCAGTCTTCATAATAAGGGCCCAGACTGGCCCTATATTGGCCTTGTGATTGTCATATTTTTCCGGAAACCTGTTTTGCTCGAGCCATTTACATTTGATTTTTGATCGCGGGTGGAAGTGCATAAAAGAATCGCACGAACGTCGACACTTCTTTCATTACCGTAAATTTCGTTTTCTCAGGTCGCAGTCTCGGTAAGTGAATTTCAGGTTGCAGTGATTGATGTTGCCTAAATAACGACCAAAAGAAAAGCACGAAAGAAAATTTGTCTCAGGATAAACGTAGCAAGACTGTCGTTATCTGATCCTTTGGGTTGTGTCACGAAATACTCTTAATATTTTCAGGCATGCCTTCATTTTCTAAATCCCACGAGTTTTTTGAACCAGTTTTCCTAGAAAAAGACAGGTTTTATGCGTTCATTCTTTGACAAAGAAAAAAAAAATTCCTTTTTTTGCTGGCGATTGACCAAGGTGATTGACCCAGTGGAAGGACGTGATCATGGGTTGAGATATTTTCACGTTCTCTTCGTCACACTTCATGACTCACTTGAGTAGTCTTGTGTTTCTACCTGCTATAAATAGCAAATTGTAATAGCAACTGTAAACTTTACAAAATGTAAGATATGTTGTATGCTTAAGTGCTATATGTCTCACAACTAAACGTAGTAATTTTATGCGATCGATCATCTGTAAAATCGACCACGAGAGCTAGAGATGAAAGAACAATAAGATTTACACACCCCCGAAACCGCCCCCGAGTTAGTTGCACCAAACGAGTCTTTCAGGTTATGTCGCGTAGTGTTTTGTGATTGGCGCGTACTTCATATACCCAACAAGTTTTGAAGAAAAAACTTGTACAGTAGCCGGGCTGTGTTTTTGATCGCCAATTGCGCGGTTTTCGTGGACAGAGCACGTCCATTAAACCTGCCAATCGAGAGTTTATTGCAAGGCTGTGCGAATAATGCTCTCTGCCTTTCGTTTTGCACAGGTAACAACAGCAAGATTGGCAAGAAACATTTACACAACACGCAACGCAATGGGTTCCCTGAAAGTCGCCGTGATCGGACAGTCGCAGTTTGGCTTGGAAGTTTACAAAAGCCTTCGCGCAAAAGGTCACGAAATCGTCGGCGTTTTCACCGTCCCTGACATAAAAGGCAAGCCTGATATTTTAGCAGCGGGAGCAGAGGCAGACGGAGTCAAAGTCTTCAAATTTAAACGATGGCGTTCCCAAGGAGAACCTATCGAGGAAGTGGTCGACGAATACAAAGCGTGCGGAGCCGAACTTAACGTTCTACCATTTTGCTCGCAGTTCATACCAATGAATGTGATCGACTTTCCCAAACATGGGTCTATTATTTACCATCCTTCTCTGCTTCCAAGACACAGAGGTGCCTCTGCGATAAATTGGTGAGTTTTTCTTACGTTCATGGTCACGCAAAGTACAAGGAAAACCACAAGTTTTTAATTCTGTGGGATGCCAATTTCATTACCCTAAGCTTAAGTTATTTATAATCAAAACGTGTTGATTTGTTGTTAAGAAGTTCAATAGCTCTTTTCTTTAACACAGCTGAATGCTCTAGGGAATTATAAAGGTCAAAAAGTAAAAACAACTCTATTGAATAGCGTGTTGATTTCGATCATTGATAGTTGGACTGAACACGTTGTCGTTTTAACAGACCGTTGAATAAGATAAACAGATAATTTTGAGGCTTGCAAGAGATAATTTCAAACCAGTCAAACAGGGATAATGTACCCAATAAAAAGGGGCTTTTGAAATGAAGCTGGACCGGCCGGCATGTCGGCTGCGAAGACCTTGAAATTTCCCATATCACTTTCCCTTTTCGTTTTACCATAGAGAGATGTTAACTTCTCCGACTGTATACATATTTGTTTAGCTTGATTTTTCTTTACAGAATGTTTTTCAGTTATTAAAATCTATTTTTCTTCGTTTGTCTCATTGAGCTGCTTATTTTTAAAATGGTTGAAATGACCTATAGAATGTGACCTTTTACATGGCAGCCGCCATTTTGTTTTGGTGCCGTTGTTGATGTTTATATTTAGTTTTACTAGACAAAAGAGTTGAGATAAATGTACAGTATTTTGGTCTGTCGGTATTAATTTATACATTATATAAAATGTGGATCATCAAGGGAAAGACATTCCAAAACTCAACACTGGTAACTATATTTACAATAACTATTCTTGTAATTTTTTCGGGACAACAGTTTTTTCGTTGTTTTTAGGTCTTGATAATGCAAAACAAATTATGGGATGCGACGTAAACGAGAAAATAATCTAACTAGAAAGCCAATTTTAAGGTGATTGATGTACTTAAGACTGAGATTTTACAGTTGGAATGTCTGCAAAATTTTAAGCGGGGGGGGGGGGGTGTTTACTCCGGATTTCAAGTGAGAGGGATGATCGAATGGGGGCAAAAATCAGAACCCCCAAAAAATCCCTAGGGCCTGCAACAAAACCAAAAAAATCCCATGCCGAATTTCCGAGCCATAAAAATTTCCAGAAAGCATTAAATGATGTAATAATAAAAATAGAAACATAAGTTTCAAATATCCAAAAAAGATCCCTGCTTGAATCAAGCTACCCCAAAAAATAAGTTTGCCAAAATTTTCCCCCCCAAAAAAATCCTGAAATCAGAGATTTCAAACCCCCCAAAAATCTTTGATCATCCCTGTCACTTGAATTGCGGAGTACTACCCCCCCTGGGGCAGACACCCCTTTAATACGGACACCTTCTATGGCCCCCTCAGTGTCCGTTTGAACAGGGTTTGACTGTACCATGAGCAAAAATCCAGCTAGTGAATAGTGCAGGACTTGAATTCAGGGCCTCCAAATTGCAAGTCTAATTCTTTAACTACTTGGGGATGCTGCCTCATGTAAACCATGAATATAATGTGGATTTTTTTTTTTTTCAGGACATTAATGGAGGGCGACAAGCAGGGCGGTTTCAGTGTGTTCTGGGCTGATGACGGCTTAGACACAGGTCCTATCCTGCTTCAAAAAAGTGTAGATGTTGACGCTAATGACACTGTGGATACTCTATATAATCGCTTTTTGTACCCTGAAGGGATCAAAGGCATGGTATGTGACTGTTAATTTACTATCAGAATTATTTTACGATCTAGTTTTGGTAGTAACATAGGCCATGCTGTGTCAGGATCAACAGTAAGATCTATACATCTTAGTAGTCATAATCCTTTGTTTAACCCTTTAAGTCCCAATAGTGGCCAACATCAATTTTCTCCTAACAATATCCATACATTATTATGAGATGAGGTTATGAGAATTAATAAAATGATCACAAAGAGAAAAATCTCTGATCTGTTATCAGTTTCTCCCAACTAATTCTGTAAGGAAATGTACAGAGATCAGTTGGGAGAATTTGTTTGTGGATATCGGGACTTAAAGGGTTAATAACCAAGTGTGTTTGTTGTGGAATGCCAGGACCACATACTACTGCTGTGGCCAAGATTTCATGTTGCTGGGCAGTGTGTGAAGAAAGTCATTTTTACAGTTTGCCATTCGGGCAAGCTGAAGCTAACATTTACTTGTCCAAACATCATTTCAACTAGCCCCAAAAACTTTTTGATGAGCAGATTGACTTCACAGTTCTTCTGTGATTTGAATTCCTCAAAAACTTCACTTGCCCATCAGCGAGCAAGTTAGTAACCAAATTCACTAGCCCAATAGCAAACTCCACTAGCCCCGAGCTAACGAACAGTACTTTCTTTACACACTGCTGGGTATATGCAGTTAGTTGCTGGTGAGTTGAACAGATAAGAATTTTGGGTCATTATACACTGTACGTTTCTGGGAAACTGCCACCTACCCCTCCCCTAAGCCAACATTTTGCCGTAAGTGAAAAGTAAGTGTTAATGTTGGCTTAGGGGAGGGGTAGGTGGGCAGTTTCCCAGGTTCTATTTTTCTTTTGTTTCCCACAAAGTAGTTGGGGGTTATGCTCATAACAGTGGGGGAAATCCCTTTCCATGACCCTTAGGTGACTGCCCTGATACAAACTATAGGTATTTTTTCTAGTTCCTGAGGACTGCTGAAAAATATTGATGTTTAGTGATGTTGTCTTCTTAACTCAGGTTGAAGCTGTTGACCTGATTAGTGATGGAAAAGCTCCCAAAATACCCCAGCCTGAGGAAGGAGCGACATATGATAAAATCTGGAAAAAGAAAGAAGTGGCAAAGGTTGGTACTTTGATTTGAACTTTAACTGAGATCTGTCCTGACCATTTCTTTTAACACCCTCTATCTCTTAGATCACCTTAAGTGGCCATCATTAAAGTTTTCGGTAAATGCTGCAATCTCGAACAAAAGAAAGTGGAACAGCAAACCCTCATCCCCCCGCCGAATCAAGGATGAAGCCGCACAAAGGGTAAAAACGCGCCATTTTCCCATACTTTATTTGGGTGGGTGGGAGGGGGGGGGGGGTCTAGGTTTTCCATTTATTTTGTCCAAGCTTGTGGTTACGTGGGGTGTTCTGCAGGGCCTATAGAGCCTTTTCCTTGTTCTGTTAGGGGCCCTAGAATGAAAAACATAGCCATTGCAGTAATTTTTTTCTTCTCCTACAGATAAATTTTGCTCAACCAGCTGAGTCACTGCACAACTTTATTCGAGGAAATGATAAGGTGAGAGCAGTAAACAAGTTTAAAAAAAATTGGACATATTTGCTACATTTTTTCATTGATACATGTAGTTACCTTGATAAGGTATGAGTGGTGCTAAGAATTACCTGTAAATTATTTAATTAAGGGCAAACTAACTGTTTGTCTTTTGTACATCTTACAGCTGCCAGGAGCTTGGGGCATGATTGATGGTCAGGTAAGTCAGGATTAATAATTCAACAGTGACCACCATCAATTTTCTTCTAACAATATAGAGAAATGGCGATGAGAATTCATTAAGATGATCACAAGTTAGGGAAAGTGCTTTGATCTTGTATCAAATTCTCTCCACTAATTCTGTTGTGGTTACAATCATGGAGATTAGTTTTATTAATTTTGTTCTGGATTTTGGGGCTTAAGGGTTCAACTCTTTGGATTAGTTAAACTTGTTTTTCAGCACCTCTGTGTACCATTAAAAGATTCTGATAGATGGTGATCTTCAAACTTATTTTCCTGGAACCTTGCTATAGACACCCCTCTTTGAAAAAATTAAAACATGCATAGTTTGTATTAGCAAAGTACAAGTTACTTAATCCTGTGATACCAAAATATGAACATAAGTGAGGTTTCAGACTCTAGGATAAAATGTTTTTTAGAAGGCACAAGCTTTTGATTTTTTCATGTAATCTTTATCAAGTGTAGGAGTTTGATGTTTTTTATACTGTGAATCAGGTGACAAAACATCTTTGTGCATCAGAAAGAGCTTCTGACCAGCATCTTGATTCAATGTCTGGAGGCGTTTAATAGATTTTAATAGCCCTGACTCTGCACTATGTGATTTTTATTTACATGTGCAATAAACTTATCAGAATTAAAAAGATTTATTTTAATGCTATGTATGAAAGTAATTTTGTTCTTTCTGCTTGTAACAGCAAGTAACTTTCTATGGTTCCTCACTGACACCCGGTGACTCACCGCCTGAAGGTACCCCTGTGACAATTGAAGGCTTAGACACCTCTGCTATAGTTCACAAGGGTGGCATGACACTGACAGGAACCGATGGAAAAATGGTAGGTTATTGTCTGCTCCAATTTTTGTGGTCACTCTATATCTGCAGTGTGCAAAGAAAGTCATGTCCGATAGCCCGGGGCTAGTGGATTTCACAATCGGGCTAGGGAATCCTGTTCTTAACTTGAAGGGCAATGAAGTTTTTTGGGGAAATTCAAATTACCGAGGAAGTGTAATCAGTGCTGCTCACCAAAAATTTTTTTGGGCTACTTAAAAGGCTCTTGGGCTAGTACATACAAGCAACAACTTGCCCGAATGGCAAGCCGTAAAACCGACTTTCTAATTTGCACCCTGATCAATGCATTGTAGCTGGTTGCATCTACATTTGATACAATAATTGAAGGACTCTGTACATGAACGTCACCATAATCTAATAATTTTTTGAAATGGGCTGTAGTCAGTTACAAAAATACATGTATTCAGTTTGGTTTGTTTTGGGCTCCATGCAAAGTTGTCTTAAAAGGAAATGAGTGGGTGACTGCATGGAGCCTTTCAAGAATATCATTTTCTTGAGTTCTGGAAACTTTTGATTCCAAAATTCTTGAACCTTTCTTAAATGTAGAAAAAAATTTCCTCCACATTGCAGTCCAAATGGGCCTGCTGATAGATAGTGTACAAAATTATGGAATCGCTAAAAGTTTGAACTTACCTGAAAAAAAAGTAGAGCTGTGTTGTTTTCTGTTGACTCGCCAAGTTTATAGCCAAAAGGGCATGTTGTGTCGTTCTTTGCATGAATGTGACAAAAACAGCGAGGTAAGAGGTCGTCTTCCTGTATAATTATTTTGCAAACATTTCCTTTTAAATTCTCCGATTTTTGAGATGTGTTCTAAACGGCTTCTTTAAACAATCCATCGAGCACAAAACTCCTGCTACAGGGCCGTATTGAAAGTCTTTTCTTGCCTTAAAAAATGGCTGTTCTCAAAAAAAAGAATGGCAACTACTAACTTTGGAGTGTTCCTCTTATCAAGTTGACTGCATATTATAATAAAATTGGCTGAGAATGGCAACTACTAACTTTGGAGTGTTCCTCTTATCAAGTTGACTGCATATTATAATAAAATTCTGAGAAGCACATTGAAAAACTTTCATTTATAAAATTCGTTTTTGCCAGTTGACTGTGAAGACTTTACAGCTTGAGGATGGACGTATGATCCAAGCTGCCAAGTATGGCCAAGACGAAGAGGCTGCGGAGGCTATTGAACTTACTGAAGAGGAGAAGGTTATGGAGGCAAAACTCAGGGTAATGTGAAAGTTTTATTTTGTGTAAGGGGTTGATCGAGTATATAATTATAATGTTATTGATCAACAAGAAATGTTTCAAAGTATTTAAAATAATTATTAAAAGTAAATGCCTTGTAAATCTGCTCTGCATTAATTTTGCCCTGCAATAATAAGGTGCACTCTCAGAAGTGAATAACTCTATTATATGAGGCCAAGGCAAGGACAGTATGTAATTATGTTCTACTTCTTATGACCTGGTAATGTACAGTTGTATGGTCAAGCCTTTAATCTACATTATATTTCAGCCATGTCATCCTTCTTTAGGAGTATGACACAACTAAAGGATTCTTTATTAGGTTCTAATAATGCACTCATGTCTCATAGTTTACGAGAAAATAATGTGTAACAGTCAGGAAGGTTAGAAATCGTTAGGTCTTCAAGGGTGTGCACATGTTTGGCCCCCTTTGACAATAAATTCCTCTTTTGACCCCAGACATTTCCCATCAATCAGTTTTGTTTATAATCAGTGATTGGCACATTGCTAACTTTTGTACATCTTGGATTTTTCAGCATAAATTTAGTGTTCCTTAACCTCTTTCCTAGCAAAAGGTTCAGGTTATCATCAACCAATTTGTTTTCTTATGGCAGGAAATTTGGGCTGGAATTTTAGCAAACCCTGATGTGCTTGAAGATACTGACTTCTTTAAAGCTGGTGCTGGGTCCATGGATGTTACCAGGTACATGTGCTGCCCACTGTACTGTTCTCTCTTTAATATACACTGGTTTCAGTTTGCGCTGGCCTGGGGTTTCTCTGGGCCAAGGCTTCTTCATGCTTCTTCTCGTATGCTGATGTCCGAGCTTACTGTTAAGGTGTTAAATATAATGTGAAGAGGGTATGTCTCTGTTGTCCTCTAATGCACGACAGTACATTACATTCATCCCACACAGCTGTGACAGGAAATGGAAAAAAGGAAAACACTTGCACGTTACTATACAACCAATTTCTTCTTCTACTATCTTCACCTACCTCTTTTCCCTGCACATTAATTAAGCCTTTAATTAGTCCAAGATAATGCCCTAAATCACAGTTCATGAAAACTTTAAGATGTGAGAAAGCACTGTTACTTAGGTGTTATTTGAATTGTTACACTTTAGGATGCATTCTATTATCTTAGGACTGATAATGTCAGGGACTTTATCCCAGTCAGTGAAAACCTTGCCTTTTGTGTTTGGAATGAAATTGGTTTTTAGAAATTGTTTCTAATGAAACTACATCTTATGAATGTCCCTTTTTGTTATAAATGGAATTAGTGTCATACTTTCTGATAACAGTGTGATGTTTATTTGTAGGCTTGTTGAAGAAGTCAAGGATGCATGCTCAGTCACTCTGGAGGCTGACGACATTTACATGAATACAAGGTACTGTTTTCATTGGCGTTTTCTACACAAATTGTTATTTTTCTTTTTCTTCCTAGATACTGGGATCAGCGTACCCCAAAATGCATGCCCTGGTGAAAATGCTCCTGTCTTTGTAATTTTTTGTCATGAAAACATGACATTGAAAAATCTCAGTTCAATGTTTTGTTTTTGATTCCAGGTATGGAGACTTTGTTCGCTTGGCTGTCTTGCATTCTCGTGGTGGGGGCCATCAAGAGTTTACTTGTAACGCTGTAAGTACATTAAAAACCAAAGTTTAAAACTATGCAAGTACTGACTCTCAAGTGAAGTTTGCATGTGGACAATGTTACTCACTGCCCAGCTGAGACTCCCATATCAAACAATAAATTAAAAGGAATGGCTGTGAAAGACTTTGTTTAAAAAAAATAAAAACATTCCACAAATGTTCGTATATACAGCATCTTGTTTGATGAGTGTGCCTTAAATTTGTTTTTGTTACTCAACTAGCAGGGTGCCAGTTCTAAACTGAGGGATATTTGGGTTTGCAGGATTGTTGTGTTGGACAATTTTTCAGTAAATTATTTGCCGTAACTTATCACAATTCAAAATTATTTTGAAACATTGTTGTGGTATTTTTGCCAATATTACTCACTGTTTGGCATTCCCTGCTCCATGAAAATGCATTCTTGTGTTTCTATATGCTTGAAGATTACGGTGCCATTTCTTTTTTGTAATTTGTTTTGTGTTTTTTACAGCTTACATGTTCTGTGATGTAACAAAAATCTTTATTTTACTTTCAGTTTGACATGGAAGTGAATAACATGACAGTTCACATGCCGCATCAGCTGTTCATTAATGGTGAATTTGTGGATTCCTCTACTGGCCGCACATTTGATGCCATTAACCCAAATGATGGCTCAGTAAGTACTTGCATAAATTCATTTTGATAAACAGTGTCTAATAATTATTGGAGTATTGTTTTGTTTTTTTGATTTTCTGTAGACTTACTTAAATATTTGTGCCAACGTTGCCAGTTAAAGATTTGAGTGAAATGAAGACCTTTACCACCTTTTAGTTAATGTCGCCTTCTCTCTTTGTTTGACAAGCAAATGCAAGGCAATTCATTTTAGATGGATTTTTTTTTCTAGGTTATTACAAAAGTTTCCTTTGCCTCTACTGAGGATGTAGACAAAGCTGTTGCTGCCGCCAAGGTTGGATATTCTAATTACATTGTAATTTTTAGATATTAACTATTATTTTTTGAATTTTTGTGCAATGTGGTCATATTTGGTACATGTCACTGATTACGTGAGATCCTAGCAAATACCTACAGACTATCATTTTTTCACATCAGCAGACAGTAATACAGTGATTTTACCTCTTTAAGTTTGACACCAAATGGAACAAAGTTAATGGTCTGCATTACAGAGCTGTCCACATAATAGAGATAGGGTTTGTAATGTTTGAGGTGTATTATCTGTGGGACCAAAAGAGCTCTCCATTAAACAAAGGTGTCTTTGCATTATAGAGTCTATGTGAAGAGTTTGACTTTGTTGTGTTTGTTGTATCTTTGTAGGAAGCCTTCTATAATGGACCTTGGGGAACAATGAATGCTAGAGATCGTGGTCACCTTATGTACAAGTGAGCTATACTCTTATAGTGGAATAGTAGTATTTAACCCACAGGGCTGGAGCTGTAGCTTACTGTCTGAGCTCTTGTCTGGAACGGACTCTTCTGCTTGTGCTCTTCATTCTCGCATTTGTGTATTTATTTCCTGAAAACATGATCCGCCTAGATTGTGTGCATATATGTTTATTTCATAAATACATGCTTATTGATCTTATTGTTACTGTTTTTGACTGTCTTTATCCACGTTTCTTACAAAGACTGGCTGAACTGATGGAAGAACACAAGGAGGAACTGGCAACAATAGAATCACTGGATTCCGGTGCAGTTTATACATTGGCCCTTAAGACTCACATTGGCATGTCTATTGACACAATGAGATACTTTGCAGGATGGGCTGACAAGATTCAGGTAAAATTAAAAGAAAACAGTCTGTGTACTTTTTTATTAAATCAACAGCGCTTTAAATCAAGAGAATACACATACACTGTATGTCCAGTGGCATCTGAATCTATGAAATTCAGGGTCCTAGGTAAATTTTTTTTAAATTTGTTTGATCACCCAAGACTTTTGATTTGTGATCATCCCAAATGTGTCAAAAAATTAAGTCCAGCTAATTTTAGCCTGCTAGCCTTCATGCTAAAAAAAAACCGGTAACTTTTTTCTAAGACCAGATTTTGTCTCCTTAATAATGTCACTGTTTAGTCAAACACATTGCATGTGGAAGAGTCTTGGTTTCAAACATGTTAAGTTCCTCAAAGTACATCAGCACCATTAGAAATTTAAAGAGAACAGCCAAGTGGAAAGTATGAGGGTAATTAATAACAATAATTAGCGTTTAAAGCTAATTTTTTGTTAGCAAGATTTTGATCTCACTATTGTCTTGTTGTCTTGATCTTTGTCTGATTAGGGGCTGACAATTCCAATCAATAATGCCAAACCAAACCGAAATCTGTCCTTCACCAAACGTGTTCCTATTGGGTAGGTATTGAGTTGTATGCTTCTTGGTCATAAACACCCATAGACTATTCTCAGCTAAGGTGACTGGAAAATATTTTTAATAGACTTTTTCAGTACGTATCCTTAATGGCCAATGCTACTTGACTAAAAGGTTACCATAGCAACCTTCTTCTACTCTGGTAAATTAAAGATGCCCTTAATAATGTATTAATTAAATCTATCTTTTGATGCTTGATTCCCAATACTATGGAAATATGTAATCAGCATGTTATAATAATTATGATACAGCAGGGCTAAAAATTGGTCACCTGACCAGTCTGATCTGCAAATAGGCCAGGGTGACTAAAAGTTGAGGTTTGATCACCTGATATATGCCACTACAATACAAAAGCATTGCCATATTGTCGAGTATAGAGTAATCAATTTTACATAAGTAGTTTTATTTACCTTTTTGGGTTCTTTTCTTTAGCTTCAAAATTTTGTGAATATCAAGTTCTGAAGTGAAAAATTCTATAAGCAGTTCACAAGTACATGTATTAGTCCAATCAATCCACACTGATTATGCCATTTTGATGTTCTTGTCACTTGACTCTAAACTCAGGTTATTTGAGCTCAGTATAACAGTAGTTATAATAAACAAGACATCAAGGGTCACTATTATTTTGGCCTGGGCCACTAGCTAAGAATTTAAGAAGACCTGCCTCTATTGGCCACCAAGCACTGGGGCCCCAATATCCACATACAAATTCTCCGGACTGATTTCCATAAATTTCCTTAAAGGCTAACTTTAGAGAACTGATAAGAGATCAGAGCATATCCCTGATCATTTTATTAACTCTCATACCCATTTCCCTTGAAAAACTATGTGCTGATATTACTACGTGAAAAATCATGTTGGTCTCTTGAGACTTGAGGGTTGATTTTTAGCCTTGGTACAGTACTTTCCCTTGAAAATTTGCTATTGCCCTTTTCCACATTGCTTTTTAAGGTTATAGTTGATGCTTCACTCTGACTAATGCCAGAATGGCTGTGATCTCTGTGTCGATGTGGTTGCACTTCCTTCTCCACACATGGCATGTTTGCCTTGTAAAAAAGGAAGTATATAACATTTAAGGTACAGTAATGTTCATTTGTACATTGGGGCAAATAAAATTCTGGTTCGAGACATTCCTCTATTTACGACACCTCCATACAAAAATTTCGTTATTTGCAATAGTTTCCTTGGTCCCACAGACAAGAAACATTCGTATAATTCTTACCTCCAAAATGCTATTACCTTGGAAGTACAGACACTTTGGTGTCCTTGTTTAAGGGGTGTCACTGTACTGTATTTTTTATGAATAATTCATAGTTTTGCCATTCAAGTTTGACTACAAATTGCCAAAGACCAGAAAAAGTATAAAATATCTTTAAATTTTCTTCTTTGTTTGAAGGTGAAGGTGTCTTGTTTTCTGTTTTGTGGTTGTTCTTCCTTCTCCACTCACGGTAACTTGTTGTTGTTGTGATAAAAAGGAAGTTGTTAATTATTAATTAATTAGTTAATATTTCCATTTGGGCATCATTATCATCATCATGGCCATCATTGACATCACAATAATAATAATTATTATTATAATCATCATCATCACCATCATTGCCATCACAATAATAATAATAATAATTATTATTATAATCATCATCATCATCACCATCATTGCCATCACAATAATAATAATAATTATTATTATAATCATCATCATCATCTTTGTTATCATTTTCACGCAGGGTAATGTTTTTTCCTGGGCTATGGGTAGATGCAGGAACATCACTCGTTACAACAGGGGGGTCCACACACATTCTTATAACTAATAGGGTTTGCATAGCGTTTGATTTGCAATTAATTACTTCCTGATTGCACTTTTCAACCACTAACCACTGATCTTCAGCAGGTGATGGTATCAGCCGTGTAGGTTTGATGTGAGCACACTCATTAATTTCCACACATAAACTTCGTGGACTTGTATATTCAGTGGCGAATATTCCAATAATATTTCCAACCATTTAGTTCGCTAAAAAGAGTTTAAGAATTGATGGTGTATTTGGGGGGAGGGGGCAGGACTGCCTTCTCCCCCTCCCCCATCCCCAATAAGCCAGTGTTGGCAGGAAGCAGGTCAAAGGGTAGGATGAGAAGGATCATTTTTTTAAACTTTTGCTTAATTATATGATTTTTGTACTTAACAATTATGAATATGATTTTTGTAGTGTTTGTGGTCTGATTGTGCCATGGAACTATCCACTGATGATGTTAGCGTGGAAGATCTCCCCTCTGTTAGCTGCTGGAAATACAGTGGTTCTCAAACCAGCCCAGGTAAATGTTATTAATGGTACACAATTTGTTTCTCCACACACAAGACTGTAGTGATTTGTGTGAGCCACTTTTTGTGCTTTGTTCTTGAGACTTTCGAACAAAAGAGAGACTGTTTGCAGCCTAGTTGAGGCTCTAATTAGTGGTGTGTTGTTGGAAACATAGTGTTTGAATGTTGTTATCTGTTTTCCCTTTGATCTCAAGGTAACACCTCTGACTGCCCTCAAATTTGCTGAGCTCTCTGCTAAAGCTGGATTCCCCAAAGGTGTCATCAACATCTTACCAGGATCAGGTAAACTAAAAAACTCCATGCTGTAAAAAATGTGCCTTACTTGACCAAAGACCTTTATTTTTTAGTAGTTTTTATGCGAGTAGGCTCAAATTTTTATACTGTCTAGGCAAAGTGCTCTGAAGGTTTGAAATCCAGGGTGTTCAGCATATGATTTTTATGTCCCTACTTGCCCAAAAGTTAGCAAAGCATAAGAGGCCACCAGGTGATACTACAGCACATAATATTGTTGTGTAACAAACCTAGCTGCTTCTCAGCTTAATGTTGGGCTAAGGTCTCTGTGTTAAATCTTTAGGGTGTGGAACCTCTGTTAGGAAGAATTCGAATTTCGAGAGCCAGCAGTAACAAGTTTGCATGTCTTCCGTGTTTTCAGGGTCTGTTGTTGGCAACAGTATCTGTGCACATCCTGATGTGAGAAAAGTTGGTTTTACTGGGTCAACAGAGACTGGAAAATCTATCATGGAAAGGTAAATTTCATCCATTTTTTGGTTACAGTACTTTGTTTCAAGTTTTTCTTGCTGATGACTAATTGGTACATCAACAACTACCACTTCTGAAATTGTGGGAACCACACCAGCCACAGATATCCTTCACATTAGTGAGTTTTTATTTCATCTTTTGTAGTGGCTTCTTTAACTAAATAAATGAAAGCAGTTACGATTAAAATTTTTTCAGCTACATGTACAAGCCCAGGAAATTCTCCCACAAAATCAAAGAAAAACTTAAGCTAGAAATTTTGGCTTAAAGCTATAATTATAGAAAGGTGACACAGATATCAATGTGAGAAAGTGACATCAGTTTTTCTTTTCATGTACAGTTGTGCTGTCAGCAACTTGAAGAAGTGCTCTTTGGAACTGGGTGGTAAATCCCCACTGATTATTTTCCATGATTGTGACATGGATAGAGCTGTGAGACAGGTTAGAACATGATACTGCATGCTCATAAGACCACCCCAAGGGGGTGGGCTTGAATCCCATATAAAAAAAAGTGGGGATGTTCCTTAAAAATTCGACTTTAACAAGTGGAAGAGACCAACCTGGGTGTGGCTTATAAGGCTTTTTTGACCCCTACAAGATACCATTGTAATTAACAAACAGGCAAATCCTGTAAGAGCTACAGCTGTAAGGTGGTAGTTGCAATAATAATTTATCACTTAATGCTTTCTCTCTGCTGTTCCTTTTCTGCTTTCCTTGTAGCACAACCCTTAGTGATACATTTTGAGAATGGTTGGGTAAAAATCCCGAAAAGGTAATAATGGGATATGTTATACTGTTTGACACTTGTTTCTTTTCTTGACCACCTCACAGACAAATGGAGACCTTTGAAAAACAGTGAACTCAAAACCATTAGCAATTTACTTTAGACAACCCCGAAATAGCTGCATACTGTTGTTTCATTCTGACCACCTAAAATGAGACCAAAATCAGCAATTTACAGCTCTAGGCAAGACCACAAGAAGTGCATGGAATAAGTCGTTAGAAAGTGACGCTTGACGTAATGTTAAATTCTCCTTTTGATTATAAAGTTTACACAAGGCAATTTGAAAGGAGAATCTCTGAGCAAATTATCAAAAGTCACTGTCACATAGGGCTTTTTTCACACACCCCCTATTTATTTATTTATTTCTCTCACTATTATTTTGGAAGTCTCCCTAGACCATCACCTGGCCTGTGGGTTAGCTTATGTATTCATTCCATGTTTGTGTGTGTATCTGGCAGGGAATGATGGCCTGTATGTTCAATAAAGGAGAAAATTGTATCGCTGCTGGTCGACTTTTTGTTGAAGCATCAATTCATGACGAGTTTGTGCACAGAGTGGTGAGTCTAATCAGAATGATAGGGTCTGAATTATTGCATTATAGGAGTGCAGTGGCAAAAACACTCACCTAGCCACCAATGTGGGTCAGGTTCAAATCCTGCCAGGAATTAAACAGGTTGGGCGTGGCATCAACACCCTATGTGGGTTGAGCTTGTTGTTGATGTAACTCTCTTCTGTTTAAGAGGTTCCAGAGGTACTCTGGTTTACCCTTCTTGTCAAAAACCAACCCTTACCCTTCTTGTCAAAAACCAACCTTGGAAATCTGAAATCTCATATGTCGCCAATAAAGTTTCTAAATGCACAGGAATTATTCGTAAATCCAGTTTCTATTTATCCACGAAAACCTTACGAACACTATATTTTTCTCTAGTCTATCCATACCTTTTTTGACTGCAACTTAGTTTGGGCCTCTACTTACAGAACTAACCTTATTCGTCTTGAGATTTTACAGAAACGAGTGATCAGAACTATAGCTAAAACCACTTTCGATGCACATACTGATCCAATCTTTCAAAATCTTGGTATCTTAAAATTTCATGATATATACTTAATACAACTAGGCTTATTCATGTACTCCTATCAAAACCATACTCTACCTTTTAAAATTTCATTGTAAATTTACCTTACAAAGTCAAATTCATTCGTGATAATACAAGAAACTCGTGTAAATTTAGGTCTGCCTTTCTGTGTCGTACTCGAACCAAGCAATTTTCCGTTTTTTATCAAGGACCTAAATTTTACAACACCTTAAACACCAACATCATCAACGCTTCCTCACCTTTCTCCTTTAAAAGAGCACTTAAGGCATTTATTTGTAATAATTATTAGTATACTTCAACAAAAATCTTGGGAAAAAGCCTTTTAATATTACATTCTGGAAAGTGTGTGCTACAATACATGTTTAGACAGTGACACTTAGTGGACCACATGTTCATCAGTTCGGAAACTGTCAAATGCCACCCTCCCTGAAAAAAGTTAGTTGGCTTTTTTGTTTAATTTAGCTGCCCTTTTTGCTTCTGGCTCCTCAATTCTGAATAACTCACAAGGTACTGATATTAGGTGGGTTATTGCTTTGTTGTACTCTAGATATACTGCCTATTCTTATCATTTCTGGCCTAGTTATTTAAAATAATCATGTATAATTAATTAATAATCAATAATTATTGTTTTTTGTAATTTTGATTATAGGTTGAGGAAATTAAGAAGTTGAAAATTGGAGATCCTCTCGATCGTTCCACTGATCATGGACCTCAGAATCACAAGTAAGTTGTTTTTCTAGAAACAAATATTATTTTTTCCCATGAACTGTCTGTGAGTGCAGTGGTTGTAGACCTTTAATGATGACACCAACTAGGTTTTAGTGTTGCTTACACCCAAGTAGCTTTGTGTTACATCTCAAGAGAAAAGATATAGATACCACCTACATTTCTTATGAAGCCATCTTTTACCTTTCATTAAACTTCTGCAGAGCTCATCTTGATTCACTTTTGGAGTTTGTCCACAAAGGAGTTGCTGAAGGAGCCAAGTTAGTTTATGGCGGCAAGCAAATTGACAGACCAGGTGAGTGGAGTGCTATACATGTAGCAGACTTTGTATGTACATTCCTTTTTACCTCACAAGGTAGCTATTCAAGGCACCTTACATGTAGTATCCATCGAGTGTTTTTCCTTCATCACGGCTGTCAATAAGGGCCCGCCTATGTACAGATCCCCCCTCCCCTCAGTAAAAATTGGGAGGGGAGGGAGGGGGTCTGTACACAGGCTACTAAGGGCCAGGAGGCTGGGGATTTCCCCCAAATGCTATGAGCAGAACCCCTGACTACTTTTTTCAGTGAAAAAGAAAAGGAGAATAACAGCAAAAGGAATTTCTGTTATAGCTGTTCATTTCCCTATCTACACTGTACTAATTTACTGATACCCAATAACTTGAAATCCCAGCAACAGCCCTGCATCATGGTTAATGTTACTTGATTTTACAGGTTTCTTTTTTGAGCCGACGGTTTTCACAGATGTTCAAGATGGCACTTTCCTAGCTTCAGAGGAGTCATTTGGTCCAATCATGATCATCTCTAAATTTGAAGATGGGTAAGTATGTTAAGCAAAGCATTGGTTGTAATGCAGACCCTGTAGCTAAAAGGTTATGTTTCATGATTTTTTAATTAAATTATTAAATGTACAGTCAACTACCTCTAAGACGGACACCTTTTGGACCGGCAATAAGTGTCCGTCTTAGAGAGATGTCCGTCTTATAGAGAGTCAAATACAGGGAGTAAAGAAAGGCAGGGACCAACTCTAGGTGTCCATTTTAGGGAGGTGTCCGTCTTATACAGGTGTCCGTTAAGAGAGGGTCGACTGTGAAACCAAAAAGTAAAAGTAAACCCAACCAGAGTGCATACCCTACCTAATCTTTTATAATTTTTATTCATATAAAGTATTAATTTATTGAATTTGTAATGATCATTTTTTTTTCAGTGACATTGATGGTGTTTTGAAGAGTGCTAATGGAACAGAGTATGGTCTTGCTTCTGGGGTATTTACAAAGGATTTAAGCAAGGTTTGGTTTAATTTTTTCAAAGCATCTATTTGTGTTCAGTTATTATACTACTCATTCCTTGTAAAGAAAGACATGTGCAGTGGAATATTTCGTAACATACACTCTTGTAAATGGACAGCTTTACTTACAGCTGGCTGCCTTCACAAGACCCCGTTTATCTCAACTCCCATACAAACTCTGTATTTTTACATTCTCCTAAGTGGCCAGCTCCAGTTACAGACACCATTATCATGTCCTGAGCCCTAAGGTTGTTTACTCACCAGAGCCTCCAATGTACCTCTAACTTATAAAATCTTTTTCCAGTTTGGTCATCATAGGTAAAAAAATAATGAAAATAATATTAATTGAATGATAATTATTGTTACCGACAATATTTTTGAAAACAGCTTTTATGCACTGTGATGCTTGCACTTCAGTTACATTATTGTAGCTATGGCAGTAAATTATTTTATTTAATTTACTTCATTTACGCTAGTCACTGATTCGTTGTTTTCTTTCCAGGCTTTACGAGTAGCTGACGGTTTGGATGCAGGAACTTGCTTTGTCAACACCTACAACAAGACTGATGTAGCTGCTCCATTTGGAGGCTTTAAGCAGTCTGGATTTGGAAAAGATTTAGGTAGGCTGGTTTCTGTTATGGAGCTGATGGAACCTAGAGAAAGTTAAGGCAGTGGCTTTGCTGCACATGCATGCATATTTTATTCTTGGTTGTGTCTTCAGCTCTTTTTTAAAAGTGTTTAAAATGTTATACTACTACGTGAGAAATTTCTGCAATTTGATTGGCTTAGAGTAGTGGACAGTATTTCAGCTTAATTTGAAATTCCTACATGTGAAAATTACAAAACTTTTGTGGGCAGAAGTATAAAAAAATAACAGCATGCTTTGTATGGGATATTTGGCATAAATATCACTCATTATATTTCAAAATAAATTGTCTCAAATTTCACTCGCCTAATGGCTCCTGAAATTACATATAGCAATTTTGAAATATCGCTCGTGGTATTTGTGCCAAATATCACTACAAAATTAATCATGCTATTACCAATACAAATTAAATCTAAACCAAGGATAAAATTGAACCACAACACAAAAAAAATTATAAATCACTTTAGTGGGTGTGTTTCTAAAGACGTCTTGTACTGGTCAACAGTTCTTACTATGTGTAAGCATGGAGTGGGATGACTGTACCGACCATTTCTTTATGTATGAGGAAAAGTGGGTTATCTGTGCAGATCAGTTCTCTTGGGGCACGGTCATCTTGTGGTTAGTTTAGATTGTGTTTGGTGATTAAAGTTCTTGCGGGGTTTATCCCTGGCCATGCAATCACATTCTTATCTCAGATGAGGTCCTTTCTCTACCATGTTGTTTCATACACATAATGGCCACATTGCCCCTCTGATCAACTCAAGTGTGTGAATGGACACAGTACATGTGTTTTGACTCTTATGGTCAAGAAATTTACTACACAGTCTCCCTCCACCCTGATGCAAAATGGATAAATAACAATTTAGTGCTCACAGTTAAAATATAGTGAGAGTTGGGTCATAAAATTATAGCTAAGTGACATTTGTCTCATAATTCATTCACTCATTTATCCATTCATTGCCAAAATAGTATACTTTTAGCTATAATGGTAATTATTTGCATGCTTCCAAATTATGTCACAAAAATTTCACAGAACTGTGTTGATATTTTTCATTTTAGGGGAGGAGGCACTCAATGAATATCTGAAGACCAAAGTTACTACTGTTGAATATTAAAATCATATTCACATTTCTTTCTACAGACAAGTGTAGCAATACATAATAATTATCATTGTGTCTTTGCTGAGCTCATTCTATGCTTTTCACTCCCATCGCAACTAAAAATCAGCTTAAAAAAATCCTAAATCTCATCTTGCAATAATATTAACAGACAAGCACCAGATGAATGTACTGAGTGCTGAAGAGGAGTTATTAGGGACCTTAACATCTGACGACGGCAACGGCAATGGGAACTCCACCAAAGCAATAGGTTTAATAACCAAAACAACAATTTTGCACGTGCATCACGCTTTTTTGTACATTTCTTTGCCGTCACTGCACGACAACAAAATTTCCTCTCTCTTTCTGCACTTGGCTATGGTACTTAAGAATTCAACTTTAGGATGGTTCGCCTACATTTGAAAAAGCTAGTGACTTAGAGTAATCGCGATAAAGATTGAAAGAAAACGAATCCACTTTTTCAGCGACGTTTTCTCTGCCGTCGCCGTCCTCAGATCTTAAGGTCCCTATTTGAATGGTCACGATGTAGAATTTTGTCCATAGATGATTAAGTTGAGTAATGCTATTTCTTTTTTTTTTGTCACACTGTACTCACTGTCTGTCCTACCATTGGCTTAGAGCCTACAGCTAGTTTTGGGACTCAGCATAACCTTGAGATTAGTTAGTTACTTGCTAGCAGATAACTGACTTCTGTAGGTTGCACACAAAATGCATGATGTCGCTATTTTCTTCAAATCATTAACATTATAAAAAAGATCATTCGATTTGGTTTTTGTGATTAAATTATCTGGAATAATACGTCTCGTCTCGATATTGTTATTGGATGATTATTCTGGATATCACAGAAACCTCATCTAATGAATGAATATTGTTTATTAATGGCTCTGGAAGAGGAAGGTTTATAATATAAAGCATGACTCTGAGAAGAGTCCAGTCCAGTCTGTAATAAAAAATATTTTTGATAAATAAGTTGGTTGACTAACATATAACGTCACAAATAATATTATAGGTGCTCCTTTTGTGTTTTACACAATGAACCTCCTCAGTAAACATCTGTGTAGTTCAGATGCTCATTGGTGAGGAGTAATGGACAAGCTAAAAGAAAATGTCATTAGGAAGCATGTGGGTGGAAATCAAATATTAAACACAGACTGGACTGGGAACGTGAAGTCCTCCCAATATAAAAATTATACCTATAACAACATTTTTGATTAAAATATCTGTGAAAGTATTGACTTAATGGGAAATGAAAGCATACAAGATTTTTTTCCCGTCCCATTTCAGGACACTAATATTACCTTATTATAGGAAATTAACACTCCATGAAATTAAGGTATTGGAAATTAACGCGACTTAAATTAACGCGAATTTGAATGGAAAAGGACTTTCGAATAAAGAAAATTAACGTGAAAGAGGAGGTAGAATTCCATAAAAAGTAAATTAACGTGATTATCTTGGCCGAAATCAAAGGCGAAGATATTGATATCACTTCTGACAGCGACAACGATGAAGATGAACTCGAAATATTGTAAAACCTTCACCTTTGCTTTTGTGAAAGATGAAAAATAAAGGGTAAATGGAAACAAAGAAAGCTTGTAGTTAACGTTTTTTAGGTGTCAAGAATGTCTGGACAGGTTCCAAAATTAGGGTTAAAATACTGGAAATGAAGAGCGCGGAAATTAACGCTGCACTTAATTAAGGTCGCGGAAATTAACGCTCGACAAAATTAACGTGACTTAAATTAACACGAATTTTAACGATTCGCGTTAATTTCATGGAGCAATAACTTCCTATAATAAGGTATGACATTTGCCTGTCACTTTCCCTATTTTAAGCCACGATAGGTGCTCTGTACATTAATGTTCAAATAAGGGCCATGCTAATTGCCAAGCAAAGCAAAAATTTGTGGTATAGTTATTACAGTATTAAAGGTGAAATCAACTTTAAAGTTGATTGTCAGATTCATGGGATAAGGAAAGTGATTGCTTGTCAGCGTGTTGCATAAGATGTGTACTTTTCGTTTAAGTGAAGATAATATGTCTTGGCTTGTGGACAAAGTAACTGTTACATAATGTTAAGGAAACTCACTATTTTAAGTGTATGTGACGGAAATTTCATAGAGATAGTTTTGCCTGCAAAGAAGTGCTGTTCTTTTTTTCTGGCACTACTGAGATAAATTTTTAAAGCTACAGCAACTGCCAAAAGGTAATAAGATGTAGATAACACAACTTCATTTACAATAATTATATTGTATTGTAATGCTCAGAAGGGGTTTTATAATGATGGCATAATAAAATTTCATAACTATGCTTGTGTTTAATTTCTGTATTTTTTTTATTTGTGCTTGGCACATTATTGTGAGCAAGTGATTTTTAGTTCGTAATTATGATGTAAAGGTTTTACTCTTTATTCTATAAAAGCCTGGTTTACCCAGCAACACTTTGACTTAATGCCATTATGACATACTGTAAAATTCCGAAAATAAGCCCCGGGGCTTATATTATTTTTTCAAAGGCCCTTTTTGAGGGGCTTATTTTTGGAGGGGCTTTTATTCGGAGGGGCTTATCTATGGAGGGAAATTGGCATTTCCAAATCGATTGAGTTAGCCTTATAGTTGGAAGGAAATTTACCGTTTTTGCTTTGTTTTACTTTGTATTTCAGGGCAATTTTCCAAGTACAAGCCCCCGGGGGGCTTATATTTGGAGGGGTGATTTAACGGAGGGTTTTTTGCATTACCAGTTTAGGGGGCTTATATTTGGAGGGGCTTATTTTTGGAATTTTACGGTATAATAACATTAAGAAAAGTTCAGTTTTTGCTGTATGTTACATCCCTTAGGTTTGCACTGCCGTAGCTTGAATTTCAGCTGCCATCTCCCCTTGCTAAATCACTCCCCAAGCAACTAAAGGCTGGTTTTCGCTAGTGACAGAGTCGGATTGGAAGTCGTAAGAGCGCTTATCAGCTTGTGAAAATCAAAAATCGGAGTCGTAAATGGAGTCATAAGCACGACGGAATCGGTGTCAGAAGATTCAGAATGTTTCCATTTCTTCCAACTCCACGTACGACTCCATTGCTTATGTTCCGCTTATGATCTAGCGAAAACCAGATTGTTGGAAGTCGGAAGCAGAAGTGGAAGGATAAACCAATCACAATGCACATTCCCACGCTTTGTGATTGGTTTGGTTCTTCTGCTTCTGCTTCCGACTCTGACAATCTAGTTTTCACTAGGTCATAAGCGGAACGGAAGTGACTGAAACGTAAGTGAAATCAGAACGCTGTTTTCATTCGATCATAAGCTCTATGCTTCTGATTACAACTCCGGCTCCGACTCCGACTCTGACTCCGTCACTAGTGAAAACCAGCCTTCAGCACAAGAGGCGGCTGAAATTCAGGCTAGCATTGTTGACATAAGGCAGATTTAGCAAAGACAACGTGGAAGCAGTGAAGAGGGCTGGCACACAAAACATAAAAATATTGAATTTAAAAGAAAATAGAATAATTGCTCCATAGGATTTCTTCAACAGACAACTGAGATCATGAAATGAAAATACCTTGTGCACTGTTACTACACTCCAGTATTCAACCACTACCCACTCGTACATCTTTTGAGTGCTTAACCAGCGCACAAAAACAAAGAAAAGGGAATGATTGCTCCACATGATTTTTTAAACAGACAACTGACATCTTGAAATGAGCACACCTTGGGAACTGTTACTACACCCCAGTATGTAACCACTACCATCTTTTGAGTGCTAACTGGTGCACAAAAACAAAGAAAAGGGCATGATTGTTCTATAGGATTTCTTCAACAGACAACTGAGATTGTGACATGATAACACCTTGAGCACTGTTTCTACACTCTAGTATTTCACCACTACCCACTCAGATGAATGTGAGCATAGAGTAGCCATGATTTTATTAATACAAACTTGCATGGTTTGCAAAATGATACTGTACAATTAATACAAAATACAAACTGAAATAACATGAAGCCCAAAAACTTGCCTGTATGAGCAAACTATTATTTGAAATGACCTCATTATAATAATCAAGTATGCTATTTTTCACTATTCCCTAAAATAGGCATCAATGTCTTTGGATTTAATTTCTTGTCACCTGTAATGATTTTAAAGTGCCAAGCATCAAAATGTTATGATAGAGTTTCACCCTTTGTAACCTGCAAAAAACAAAATACAGTAACCGCAGGCAATGAGATGAGCAATAATATTATAATATTTTACTCAGCATCAACAATTTCAAATTCAAAATAAGCTTATTAATCTGCTTTCTCAATTGCAGGCAACAAGGAGCCTGCAATCCTTATCTCCACATTACTATTATTCATGCACGCCACATATGTAGCTACAATCGGCAACAAAACTGTTGAGACATTGTACTCAAATAGGATACCTTCAGAGAACCAAAGAATCTGCACCCCTCCCCTGTCCCCTCCATTCAAAGTTGGGGTGTTTGGTGTCTTGTATAGGTAGTTTGAACATCAGCACAGCATTGCATGGAGGGGATGGGGGAGGAAAAGCTATATTTCCTCCTTTTGAAGTCAGTAAAATGTAAAAAAACCCTGGTCTAGGGCAAAGTGTCTCAACTCATTTTGTTGCCGATTGTACATGTAGCTTTGTTTCGACTCCCACTAAGAATGAATGCAATACACAGATTGCAATCTGATCAAGCGTATATGACCTTCTGTCACTTGTAATCTAATCACGCATGTTTCGACAATCTGTCAAGTGAAACTTACACTGGAGCATTGGAGCAAGAGTGTTTTAACCTTTGATTGTTATGGCCTGCACCTCAAAAATCATCAGTGAGGTCTTACATAAAGAAATACCTGAGAATAGCTGGGTGTTTTCGAGGTTGAGAGAGTCTATGAGACTTAGAAAACTTTTCCTTTTGCTCAAAAGTCAAAGAATAATAATTTTGACTTAAAAATTCACATTTCATTTTGGCAGGCAAGAAATGTATCACTGGTGAAGTACTTTGTCTCAGACAAAGAATCGATTTTGTGATTGGTGGCAGCCTGATTTTAGCATAAATTATTTGCTGATTACACCATAATATCACTGCAGTCAGACTCAATTCCTGTAATCCAGGTTTGTCTTGAGCTACTACCTTTGAAACAAAGTCCCCATCAAATGGTCCAGAATATGGAAAGGGAGAGGGGAATTAGCATTGATTACAATAGGAGTATGTTTTATTGGGCTCCTGTTTCAATTAACAATGCCCAAGCTCAAACTTTTTCACAGGAAAATAAGCCAGACGCAATTTATGGGTTAGCTACCATGACAGAATACCGACTTGTCAGTGACCTCCCCCTTATTTTAAGACCAGACTGAGGCCCGAAGGCCTGAAATTTTTTTTTGAGACTGGGCCCCCCGCTTATCACACCCCCCCTGCCCTCCCCCCCACCCCGGCTCCTTATCTGAAGGTCGGGATCTGCCACTGCTTGTAAATTTGTAAAGTCCTTAAAAGAAAACCCTGGACTGGGGTGCTAGGCTGGAACCCTGGGTACTCCAGATATCAAGTGACAGGATGATCAAAGGAATTTTGGGGTTTGAAATTTTCGTTTTCAGGATTTTTTGGGCTGGAAAATTTTGGCAAGTATTTTTTGGGGTAGCTTCATAATTTTAAGTACGGATTTTTTTTTTCCCACGTATCCCGGCCGTGTACTTCCACGAATAAATTTTTATGGCTCAGAAATTCTGCATCATGGGATTTTTGGGGGGTTAAATTTTGGTCCAGGGATTTGAAGGGACACCCAATGACTGTTTCTGTAAAATATCTGTTCAGAGAAGCAAATATTGCCTAAAATTTTCTATTGTTTTGAGGACGGTTACAATTTTCTAGATAACCGTAATTCTCTTCATGTAGATTTTTCGAAGCTTTTCTACTTATTTCCAAATGAAGTTCAATTCTTTACCTTTCACTACCCAGGTTAGGCTAATTTTTTCGTACAAAAAGGAAACCTAAAATTTTCGGATTCCAAAATGTGATGGACATACAGAAGAATCAGAAAAATGCTCACTTCTGTAATATGTTTAATTGCATTTAAAATATTTTTGGGAAAGTAATACTGAGGCCCTTGTAGATTCAAAATGACTCAAGTTCCCGTAGGATGACTGAACAGGCAAAAAAATTTCATAGCACCGTTTAGAATGCAATTCTTGAGATCGATTCAGAGTATTTTAAAAAGTACTCTGAATAGGGGTTTACATCGGTGTAAAAACCTGAGAAGTTTTCCTTTGTTTTTTAGCTATTATTTTTCCTTGGCTCTATTTTGTTGACTTCTCAGTGGCTTCTTGTATTCATTGTTTTAAGTCAATTTATTGTGAGTTTCACACTGGTTTTTACACCAAGGCAAGTTTGAGCCCAAGATACCCTTAAAAACGATTCCAATGTATTTAGGAAGAAACCGTCGTTGCGTGTCCCTGAACGAGGCTCAGGGGCTACTTACTCTGGCTTCAATAAATTCCACTCTCTGTTCAAGTGATGTTAGTTGATCATTTATCTTCGCTAATCTTGATCTGCATGACATATCTGGCATTTGAAGAGATGTGGTATTAAAAAGAGTCTATGCATCGCTTCTAAATTAAGATTTAGTCACAGCATACCACAAAACATGTACAAATTAGTGCAGACATAACATTTTATGTTTCTAAGACTACATAACTTGACTTTTTAACTGTAGAAAACAATATTGCTCATTGCAGTAGTCCGTCAAAGTGAGAAAATCTTTGGCTTACCAAAGTCGTTTAGGAACTCTGCAATCTTTTTTATTCCCTCAGAGACAATTTCTATGAATTCTCTGTTATCCCAATCCTGCTGAATTTGTTGCTGCACTTCAGAACTCATGGCAATTTTCTGTATTTTGTAAATGAAATCGTAGAATGTCGATGGAGGGACTGAAATTCCAAACTTTGTCAGCGGAAGGTATTTTTGCTCAAAAAGCAGGAGCATGCGCGCATAGCGTTGTAAATATTTCCGCGTGTGTCACATCGCATTTACTAGAGAAGGGGGCTGTCCGGTCATCGTTAAACGAATTTGTTCATTTTCACTCCCGTATGGCTTATAATCGAATCAAACAAATATTTGAGGCCTTAGAGGCTAGAGATGCTGTTTTACTCAACGAGATTATCGAAAGTATGAATGGAAGTGAAAGAGCTTCCGTGTTATTTCGGAGGGAGAGAAGCGACGACAAGGACTGCGTCTGCTGTTCGCAGGCTACGGATCGATGGGTGTCTAGAAAACTACGACCTATAAAACGATACGTCTCCAGTGCATTTCCAGATAGCAAGTCTCCACTAGTAACTGCAGTTAAAAATGGAGATCTCGATAGTGTTAAAGTACTTTTTAAGCACCACCTACATATAGGGGTGCCGTTTCGGGAAGGATTGTTGTTGTCGGCCGTTAATGGAAATACTGATATTTTGAGGTACTTCATTGAAAAAAAAGGTGATATCGATGCACGTATAAAAAATCACAGGACCCTTCTGATGGCGGCGAGTATGTATGGTCACACAAATGCTGTTAACGTTCTTCTACAGGACGGAGCCAATGTGGCTCTTACAGATAAAAGACTTGGCTGTACAGCTCTTCACTTTGCTGCAGGTAGTTCAGACAACTCAGGTGAGATTTTGCGTTGTTTGATTGAAAATGGAGCTGATGTCAATGGAGTTAATAAAGTGAAACATACCCCTTTGATGATAGCGGCTATAAGGGGTCACATAAACGCACTCACTCTTCTCATTAAACATGGAGCTAATGTGGATCTTCAAGACAGTGATGGCTACAAAGCCCTTCACTTTGCTGTGCATGGTTCTGATATCTCATCTGAGATTTTTAGTTGTTTGATTGGAATTGGAGCTGATGTCAATGCACGTACAAACAATGGAGTCACTCCTCTGATGATAGCAGCTGAAGAGGGTCACATAAATGCAGTCACCTCTCTTGTTAAATGTGGTGCTAATGTGGATCTTCAAGACAAATATGGTAACACTGCCCTTCACTATGCTGCAGGCTTAAGTGTTGATGAACGCTTTAGTGATGATCTTCCTGAGATTGTAGAAATGCTGTTAAATCTTGGAGCATCCCACATGTGCAACCACCAAGGACTAAAACCACTTCATCAAGCCAGCATTAGTGGAAATATTGCAGTGGTGGAGTATTTAATTCAGAGACCAGAAATAACAAGAGAACAAAGAGTGGATGCTCTAGAGCTGCTTGGTGCCTCTCTTGCTACTCAATTTAGTCATATTAGTCTTCTTGACTTTTTGGTTTGGGAAGGACTGATGTACATCAAGCTTGGCATGGAAGAGAGATTTGTGGATCCATCTCAGCCTATATTAAAACAACCGAAGGAACCTGCTTATGGCAACAGAAAAGAGAGCCAAACACCTGAGGAACTTGCTCAGATAGAAGGTGACACTGAGGCTATCCTGATGGAATCCCTTCTTATTAAAGAGAGAATCCTTGGAACAAACCACAGTGAGCTACTTCCATCAATTAGATTTGTCTGCAGGCAAGGCAACCTTACCGATCCTTCTTTACTAATAGCACTGTATAGACGTGCAGTGGATATAGCACAGAAATCTAATTTATCTGCCCTTGATGATTTTCAAGAAATAAGTCATTTATTGCATAAAATTTGCAACGGGAGTAATCATCTAAAAGAAAAGGATTTGCTTGAATTGCTGAGGCAAATAGTTATTGAGTATGAGAAGCAACACACAAAGAGAAGAAGATTAAACAAATGATAACAAGCAATACTGTCAAGAGCTGGTCCGGGAGGATCTCTTTGACTGTTCACTTGAACTTGTGCTCATGATTTCAAAATCTAAATTTTGTGACGAGAGGAATGCCTCAAGTTTGACCATGTTGTTGAGGAAACTTTTCATGAAACAGATCAGAAACAGATCTGGAAATACACTGTTACATGAGTTCATTAAAAGGTACACAGATGATGATGATGATTATTTATCTCCTTGTCTTCAAGCAGTGAATCTTCTTTTGAATGAAGGATTCAATGTCAATGTTGTCAACGATGAAGGAAACACTCCACTTCACATAGCTGTCATGTTAGAACCCAGGAATGACAAACTTTATCTTGTTACTGAAATCCTGCAGCTTTTGTTTTATGGAGGTGCTCATCATGATTTTGTCAACAATGATGGTAAAACACCCATGGACATGGCTGAAACTGATGAAGCTCGCATGATTCTTTCAGAGAGAAGAAAACTGGAGTTAAAGTGTATCAGTGCCAGAGCTGTCAAAAAGTTTGGAATTCCTTATTTGGGTGTGGTACCAAAAATCCTGGAGAATTACATCAGCAGGCATTGAAAATTTATCAGCTGCTTAGATACAATAAATTTTTAATAGCATCATTGATATTCTTTAACATTTTAACTATCAAGAAAACATGCCTAATTTTCCTGATTTTTATGCTTCAGGCTTCAAAGGTAGTTACTAGTTACACAAAATGACAGGCTTACTTTGTGGCATTCACTTCTTTTGATCTAGAAGGTTGTATTGACAGCAAAAATATGAACCATAAACTTAAAAATAAAGAATTTGAGATTAAACCAATAGTCGCATTGGACCTCATTTTTCTATAGCTATATCTATTTTTAATCATGGGAAGAGGGTAATATGACTCCCCCCGTAAAGGGGGTGGGGTGGGACAGGTGGGCTAAACCTCTTGACTCTTTTTTTTACTTACCTTGTCCCTTTAGGTCATCGTCGATTGCAAAACATTGATTTTTGTTGCATAATTTCCTCCTATTTCTTCTGCTTCCCACTCATTTAAAACTCCCACCTCCCATCCCGTTTTCTCCCACTCTCTACCCCTCCTGCACTACGTACCTCTTCTGCTCTACCTACCCCTCCTGCATTACGTGCCTCTTCTGCCCTACGTACCCCTCCTGCCCCACGTACCCCTTCTGCCCTACCTACCCCTCCTGCACTACGTACCCCTTCTGCCCTACGTACCCCTCCTACACTACGTACCCCTTCTGCCCTACCTACCCCTCCTGCCCCATGTACCCCTTCCGCCCTACGTACCCCTTCTGCCCTACGTACCCCTTCCGCCCTACGTACCCCTCCTTCACTACGTACCCCTCTTGGCCCACATACCCCTTCAATTGTGTATTATCCCAAGCACCCCCCCTCCCTCCTGTCCTCCTGCATGGCTCCACTAATAACTCTGATGAAGATCTCAAAAAGGAGCAACTTCAGAACCTACCCACCCTAAGGAGTGGTAAACTAAAAGATTATAAGTTGGTAATGAAGATGTTGCAGTATACTTTTTTAAAATATTTTTCCTCAAAAAATACTGTTGTACAGTGGTTTATGGTCTACGGTATATACCTGTTACTGTGCCTTATTATCTATACAGTTGCCAGGGGCATAGCCCGCTTTTCGGCTAGTTGTAGGCCTGCAGTGACCTCACCAAAACTTTGACCTGTTAAGCTTTTTAGCTCACCCCAGCAACACATAATTTATTACAAGCGGTAGAGTAATCAAACCAAAAATTTGTAGGCCCAGGCCTACAGGTCTGTTGGCTGGCTATGCCCCTGGTTGCTTAATCTCCTATGTAGCATTAAAACGCAGCATATTCTGCTTCCTGTCTTCAAAAAGTTTTGCCATCACCTCTTTTCCCTTTTGAAAATCTTAGGATCCACCACAGGCAGCCCAAGCTAGAAATATGAACTTTGGCATTATTGCATAACATGCGAAATATAAGGATTTGAATGGGGAAACACTGATCGGTTCTGTAACCTACGAAAATAAGACGGGTTCAATGAATATAGTGGAACCTCTCCTTTGGGACACCTTCATTCAGGGGACACAAAATTTGGTCCTGGAAAAATGCCCACCTAATCTTTGTATCTGTTACCTCTATTGAAGGGACACTTTTTCTGGGTCCCAAAACAAGCCAGGTTTAACCTCCATTTCAGGAGACACCTTAAAACTCGAAAAGTGGCGGGCCACAAAAAGGGTTGATATCTCTAAGTGTACACTAATCACAATAATGGAAGCTTTCACTAACTGAACTATCTCATCAAAATTGATGTAATGTTCTTGGGTGAATTCAACATATAACGTCGTAGACAGGAGTTACTGACGAATTTTTTATGTTGTCTTTGTTGGTTAATTATTAACAAACCCCTCTATTCAGCAGTGGACACCTCTATTCAAGGGACCCAACCTCATCCCCAGGGCGCTCTTCCCTGGCACCTCCAAAGCCAGGGAAAAGCGCCCTGGGGACGAGGTTGCAAGGGACCCTCACCATGGTCCCTAGGGTGTCCCCTGAATAGAGGTTGCACTGTAGTGGCTTACCATACTTACAATGTGTGGTACGTGTTACGGTTTTTAACTCGGAAAAAACTGGCAAAGCCGGGTTTGCCAAGTTATCGTTATGTATAAGGGAAGAAACTTCGGGGGGGGATTTAAAGGAAGTTTGGTTGAGGCTGTGCTGCTGAAACCCTTCGATTCTGACCCTCTTTAAGGCAAAATGCATTAAAATTGCAACCCTGTTTAAGAAGCGAGGTGAAATAGACCCCGGGGGGAACTCCACATATGAAAGGGGTGGGATGCTCGTCGGAAATTTTGAATTAAACTCCTAAAAGAGACCGATCTGGACGTAGCCCAAGCTTTTTTTTGACCCCTAAAAGAAACCATGTTAAAACACAGACAATACACATATTTTTATATTTTTTCACGTGCAACCCCTAAACGAGACCTTCACGGCTAAATATGATGGCGTTTTGCCCAGAACACCCTAAGTGAGACCAAAATCCGTAATTTACAACCCTAAGCGAGACGACGACCATCCCCACCCCTTTCATATGCGGAGTCCCCTCCCCCCCTCGATTCAACAGGCGTGATAGAGGAAACCTAATTCATGGATCCATGACGTCAAAAAATTATTTCGTAGAAAACATAAGAACCACTAGTCCTCAAAAGATCGTGTGAATTATCCGAAATTACAAGAAAATACATAGATTTTTCAAACATAAAATGATTTCGTCAAAGGGATGGCCTAGAAAAAAAAATGGTAAAAAAAAAATTTGAATAGTAACATTCTCTGACCAATGACATATTTTAAGACGCGCGACTTTACTAACAACATAATTTTTTCCGAGTGCCACTTTAATTTCTCTCTCAACTGGTTACACTAAAGCCCATAAAAAGGCCATAAATCGACCAGCAGACCACACAGGAAAGACGTTACATACATTGTGAGTAAGGTAAGCCTTTTTTTATTGAAATCCCTTCATTTTCGTGGGTTAATGTCGCGCTGCTGTTGGTTTGTTTTGATAACACAGATAACCTGTGAATTTCAGGTTTTCTTATTTTTAACTCTTTTCAATTCTGGCTTCAATGCAGTTAAATCACATTTTACGAAAACACTAATACAGTCGAACCTCTATATGCGACCACCTCTCGTAAACAACTACCTCTCGTAAAAGATCACCATCCTTAAGCGACCGCGTTAAAGAGATTTCCCATTGTTTTTAACCTCCTAAAAAGCAACCCCTTAACGATTTGTCTGAACTGTTATGTTCGCTGTATGCTACTAGGAGTATACGAAGAACTTAAGTAACAACATGTAACTGAGAAAGAAATCGGTGCAGTAAATTATCTGCTTTAAAGTAGATGTGCCCGGAAATCTACTCCAAGGAAGTTTCGTAAGCGACCACCTTCTGTAAGTAACCATCAAGTCTTAGCCTTTACAGTGGTTTAACTGCACCTTGAAAATTGCATGTTATGATATTATAACATGTAATATTATGTATTATTCTTTTTAGGGTGGTACAATAGCTGTTCTTAGTGTTATGGAAAGACCTTATTTCTTTGCGGGTGCTATTTTTAGTGCACCAAGCGTAAAAGTGGATGCCAATCCTTGTACGGTAATTTATTGCTTCACTTGCCACAAATAATAAACGAAAACACAATGCAAAGACTATTTCTCTTTTCTTAAGGTGCCGTCAATGAGAAAAAAAGGATACAGCAAACCCAAAACAGAAAAACACTACGTACCTGAGAAAACAGAAACATAAATCCCAAAACAGAAATAAAGATCTCAAAGCGGAAACACGTACAAAAAAATACCGTCAATGCAAAAACAGGATACAGCAAACCCAAAACAGAAAAACACTACCAGAAAACAGAAATACAAATCCCAAAACAGAAATAAACATCTCAAAGCGGAAACACGTTCAAAAAAATACAAAACTGAACCACAAAACTGAAAGAGAATTTAAAAATACAAACCATGATCAAAAATCCCAAAACAGAAAGAAGAAAATGATGTAAAACAATAGTTTCTCATGATTCATTGTCTTTTAATTATCTTAACCCGCGATCAGGCGGGGTTTTGTTTATAGAGAGGGCATGATCACAGGCTATAATAGCCCATTTCCGAGTTCCAAAACTCTCTCTTTAAAAACGAGGCTAAAGGTACAGTAAAATGGGCAACAAATTGCTGCAGAACGAGTCCGAAAGCGATGCTACGAGTTTTATTGCCCATAAATCAAACCTGTCTTGTAGCAAATAAGATGCAGTGTTGCAAGTTGCGTAAATACTGACTCCAGATTCGATAAAATTACGCGGGAGTGCAAAACAAGTTTGCCTTGGGTCGGTAATTAAAACCCGCAACATTGACAGATTTTGATGCAAAAAGTAGAACTTCTCTCTAGTTTCTGCAACAACTTTTTCAACAGCTTGTTTAAACCTGATTTGCTGCAAGGGAGGCTTCATTCGTGGGTAGTAAAATGCGCAACGTCACTTTTCAACTAGTTTCCCAACAATTTTGCAAAACAGGTTTCACGTTTTTGTTGTCCGTTTTACCATAGCTTTATGCAGAGTGAGATAAACCAGTTTTTAGATATGAAATATTTGCAGGGGCAGAAGTTTTTTTATAGTCAATTCACATGTTGTTTAAACATAAATATCTGATTAATCACTAGTCGAAACGAACTTTTTACAAAGTTCTAGTGGCGGAGGGAAGGGAATATGATGATTATTTTAATAGGAGATTATTTTATCACGAGTCAAGCTTTTAACCTTGTCTTCTAGGGAGGGGAGGGGGGTGCGAAATTAATACAGTAGTGACTGTTCCATATATAAAAACGCAAAAAAACAAAACAAAACGAACTTGGCCAATATTCAGCTATCTGGACCTCACGCTTGGTTAAAAGAGACCTTTAGATTCGAGGACGAGAACTACGGGAGTTACTACTTTCGCTCTTCTCAAAAAGAAAAATAGACACCAGGAAAGCTCCATTGTACTTTCGATTCACCAGAAAAGTTAGCACTGTTACTTATTGAAGGAGTTTAAGCCCTCTCCCGACCGAAAATAATAAAACTTAGCTTCTAACATTTGATAACTTGTTTTCGTCACAACGACATTCTCGGCAAAACTCGTAGTAGAATGAAGACGGTTATCACGTTTTCCCGCCAAAATGACGCTGGTTCATGCGCGCGCACTGCTAAGCATTAAGAAAATCTCGTACCCTTAGTCATCCTCGTCTTAAAAACTAAAGGTCTCAAATAATGTATATAATGCATGTACTTACAGGTTTGTGTAGGAAGAATAGTATAATGGATAATGCCCTCGTATCAGATCAGGCCGCCGATTGATCCATAAGTCTTAAGCCAGGATCCTACAAAGGTGATACAAAACTAGAGGGAAACTCAGCCGAGATTACTTTCGCAAAGAGTTCTGGGATTGTTACTAAGGACAGAGAAAAAGATTTGCCAATAGCTGATCGGCGCGACCCCAGTAACAATCCCAGAAACAATCGCAGGTCAAATTTCTTCTCCAATAAAATGCCTTTCTCGTTTCTAAAAAGGCGAATAGCACAACTGAAAACTGCTCTTTTTTCCTGAATCAAAGGTGAGGGACTTTCGTATGCATTTTATCCGCGTTTCCGAAAAAAATTTCCACGACTTTCGAACAGCGCCGAAAATATTCAGGTGATTTCTGGAGGTTGCCGAATGACGCAGTGTCCATTCCCTCAAGCCGATCGCGACACTCGACATTTCGTACCACTGACTGGAATATTTTGGGTGGAGATTGAATACAAGTTTTGCAGTTTATATGGTTTATGACAAGTCGTTCGGAATTTTGAGTCAGGAATTGACGTTTTCCATCTTTCATGATTGTGCAATGAACTAGTAACATTGGTGGACAGCGAGTTCGTCAAGGGTCATTCTGTCATGTTCAATTAATCAGCCCTAAGATTATACCCCGGTGGTGGAGGGGGCGGGGGAGCTACTCAACAACTTTTTATGTGGTAAGGCACCACCCCGAGACCTAACTCCTTACACATTTATCGTTGAAGGAGCTCGTCGTGTCTTTTTTAGAGTTGGAGCCTCCCCGTATAAAATTCAATGTCACTCAATTCTTTGCACGATCCATTTAATAACCATAAGTCTTGCAGAAAGTCGAATTTCCTTGAGTACCGGGTGTCCCTCGCGCTTTCTTGTTCTCGCGGTCGATTTGCATTGTGCCAAGTCTAGGACTCGGACAAGTGTCTGCTCTAAAATCTCTTTGGACTACATGTAAAACAAACTGTATCAAAAACTGCAACAATTATGAAACCTTTGTAGTAAGATTAACAGAATGCCAAAGTGCGAGCAAACTTGTATACACCAAGTTGCTTTCTACAAAATGCAAGTTACCATCCCATAATCAACAGAAATGGCTAAAAGACTGCAACGAAAATGATGTGGAGGCGATTAATTGGCGGGAAGCCTACCAGTTGGCCGCTAAATATACTAAAAGTACAAGAATTATTGAATTCCAAAATAATTTTTTACATAGACGAATATCAACGAACGACTTCTTAACAAAAATTGGCGTAAAAGACAACCCAAATTGTTCTTTTTGTAATAATGAACCGGAGAAACTTCTTCATCTTTTTTGGTCTTGTCCTAAAGTGGCCTTTTTCTGGCATAGTTTATCTCTTAAGCTGACTTTGCTCCACATTACACTGGAACATTACACATTAGATATATTTGTTGTACTTGGTCTAAAGCCGGATTCTTCAAAAAACTGCCAGCAAATTAATTTCCTTTTCCTTCTGGCCAGAAATTACATCTGGATTAGCAAAAGAAGGGAAACCTCGCCAAAGATAGCAGGCTTCCTGCAATACCTCAAATCATTCTATCACATAGAGACCACTGCAGGTCCCATTTTACCAAAAAAATGGGAAAATGTGAGCTCCTTATTTCAGTAAGCCTTTGATTTTGTATACATTTGTATATCTCGATCATCTGCTCATTTTCTCCAGCATTAACCTGGTGTATCTTTTGCTTCACAATCGCTGCCTCTTTAAGACACTTAAGATATAAGTGCGTTTACCGTGAATGTTTGGTTTTGTAAATGTTGGTTTTGAAGTACAATTACTAATTAGAACTGCTTGTAAATAGTGCATTGTAGTGTGAGTAGTGAGTAGGTAGTGTTGTAAGTACTGAGTATTGTAAGTCTTTACATTGTAAACAGAGTAAGTACCTTAGTCTATTGTATTCTAAATATTGTATTGTTAGTAGTGTAAGTATCGTAGTGTTTGTAAGTATTTTTGATTGTTGATTGTTGATTGAATAAATGTTATTAAAGATGAAAAAAAAAAAAAAAAAAAGTCTAGGACTCGGCAATAGCACAATGCACCTTGTTTATTACTATTGTTTTGGGTTGAAAAGTATGCCGATGATAGTCTAAACTGGCATGAGGGAATCAAAGTGAGATGGGTCGGAGCTATATTAAACGCAATGAATGAAATCCAGAGGAACTTGTCAAAGCTTACAACACCTTATCTACTTGTCCATGGTGATGAAGATCAATTAGTGAAGATTGACGGTTCACAATACTTACCTGAGAATTCTCCCAGTAACCACAAGACATTTAAGGTACACGAATGAGCTGCTTTACTGACAGCACTGAGCGAACTAATGGCCTCTCTATGGGTATTTCAGACGAATAGTTAGGGCGCTTGACGCGGTATATCATGAGGGCAGGAAGAGGTGGTCTTAAAACGGTGTTTACTCCTGTGGTGTTACTGCCCTGTCCGTAGCCTGCGAGGAAACCCTCCGGGGGCGCTCTAGCGCTGCGGCGCCCCGGAGAGTGTGCTCACAGGCTACCCTACCCGGGGTAGGACTTGCGACCGCTTTTGTTCCAAGCGTAATCATTGTGAACTTATCCCAACAACAGTCGTGATTTGTCTAAACCTTTTTAGCCCCAAGAGTGATCACCAATATCAATTTTCCCCTGACAATGTCACCACGTTTTCAAGGCAAAAGGTTATGAGAATTTATAAAATAATCACCAAAGAGAAAATTCTCGTCTCCAATATTGATGTCTATAGAATAATATAGAGTTTTCCCTCTTCGGCCAATTTTCCGTCCCGTTGTCACTTTTAAATCTACCTATTATTATTTCATTATTAACTCAACTGCTTGTAAAACTTCCTTTGCAGGTGTACAAAAATGGACGCCATGAACTGTTGAATGAGGTGGAAGGAACTGTGAGCGTGGTTTACAAGGACATTCTAGACTGGATCCAGCAAAAAGCTACCTTGAACTATTTTAGGCCGAGTTTACACGAATCCAGACTAATTTTTGAAATAGCATATCTTTTTACCCGGATTCGTGTAGACGAGGCCTTAAACCACCCCTGAGAGCGGTTTCAAAAAGATATCAGGCTGATTTAGCAATAGAACGGGAACGTCAGTTGACGACGACGCGCGCAAATAAAACAACTGGCTTGACCAATGGGAGAGCAGCAAATTGAGCACCGGAAATCGCGTTCAGTCCTTTCCGCGCGCCCTCCCGTCGTCAACTAACGAAAAAATGAAAAATCATCCTAATGTTTCGGTGAGAGGATTCACTGGTTTCATGTGTGGGCGGAATACCAGACGGAAGGCCGATTCATGTGAAAAATATATGTAAATGCGCTTTTAAAAACATCCGGATTTTGTGCGGACGGGGCTTTTCACGATTGTCAATCTACAAATATGTCCAAATTCATTTCGTTTTCTTAATTTCTTTCATATTTAAATTCGGTAAATTCAGAAGCCTTAATTTGCATGAGAAAGCCAAATTCTGAAGGATTCTAAAAAAGGGCCCTTTGCAAGATGGCGTCATTTTACTATATTAGATTCCTTCAGGGTTTTGCTTTCTTGCGCAAGTTAGGGCTTTCGTTATTTAAACCTCAGTGGGATTACCAAATTTAATTATGAAAGAAAAAATGAAATGAATTCCTTTAGTAGCAAAAACAAGTCATCGCCTAAATAGCCAATTAGGCCCCGTGGCCCCAGTAGCCTTGCAGCAGTTCAGAATAGACCCCTATGGGTCGCAGTTCTTTTGTTTTCGAGCTAGGTTCCAAACTTTTTTTGTTCATTGTTTTCCCAACCAATACCCTGAGGTTTTCCAAGAGCTGCAAGGTCGCCCCTTATATGAAGAAAAGTCGCCCCAGGTTGAAGAGTCACTCGCCCACCCGAGCTATCCTGGGCGAGCCAACATTTGCTACATTTCCTTACCGAAACTTGGCGTTTAATTACACTAAAAAACAAATAGTGGGCTCGGATAGAGCCCTTAGCTTTTTCGATGGTAAGGCCACCTTCCTAGCTAAGTCAACTTTTCTCCAAGTAAACACTTGGCTTGACCAGCCGGGTCAACTCGGTTAAGGCGAGAGAATCAGAATATGCGAGAGCGCTGTCTTCAGCTAGGGCAAAAGGGTCAACTGATTCTCATATAAACACTTGCTTAAGTTGACTCGGGTTGGGAGGGTGACCCCGGGAAAATTTTTCTCTATATAAACAGGGCCTCACTCGCATGTTTTCTTGATATAGGTTCAATAAACAAAACCATAACTCTGCAGGTGCATCACACGTTTTTGTAAATTTATTCGCCGTCACTACCTTATATAAAGGACATAAGCACCCAAAGACAAATGTCTTTTTCTCTATTAACACTTTGATGTCAGTGCTACCTAAATTAACCAACTAAGCCAATTAAGATAACCCCCACAAATTTTAAAAGTACGCCAAATAGTTTTATAAATGACGTTTCGCTACCGTCGCCTCCCTAATGTCGGGCGTATTAATCTCGAGCAACTGACGTTCAGTCAGGGTCAATCTCTGTATTTTGAACGCCATACGTTAGTAGTTATGTCTCATGTTAGGTTGTCTGCTTTGGACTAGAAAAGGTACCGGGACGATCGAGAAACGGACTCCACGTGGTTTTGCCTTCAAGTCCTCGCGCGAAGGCCTCGTCGGCCTGAAAAGGACGGGAGACCTCGGAGACGAAAATACCGGTCACCTATAGCGGAAAGCGAGAGGCGACGGGGAGAAGAGATAGCCTGGGAACGAGATTGATTTACAGTTTAATGTTTCTAGATAACCTGCGATCATGTTCTCCCTAAAAAAAACGTAAAACTCCTGTTCAAAAAAAAAACGATAAAACATGAAAACTGTATAGCTTTACACTATGTCCTTGTTTCTGTTTTCGTCTTTTGCGGCTATGGTTTGTATTTTTGGATTCTGTTTCAGTTTTGCGGTTTAATTTTTTTTGAGTGTGTTTCCTGTTGGGGATGCTTATTTCAGTTTTGGGATTTGTGTTTCTGTTTTCTGGCAGTGTTTTTCTGTTTTGGGTTTCCTATTTTGTCTTATGTGTTTCAGTTTTGGGTTTGTTCTTTCCTATTTTTGTTGTTGTCGTTGTCTTGTGGTTTTTTTTGTTTCTATCGGCCACCCTATATATTTGATAGTCCTCTGCATTTATATCCAACCACTGGAGAACACTTCAAAACTCCGTTGAAAATTTTTTCACAGATGTCAAATCGCTCAGCTAAGAAATAATCTCCTTTAACTTGGAATTTGCCTAATCAGATATTTCTGCAAGGTTTATTATGATTTCCTGCTGTAGTAAGTTTAGACCGGTTTGCGACCGCGAAGCAACGTATGTTTGTTCGATGTTAAACAAAACGCCCGACTAGAATATTGTTTTGGCCGATTTGTGTTTCTCTTCCTTCGTTGTCTCCCTTTTCCGCTTCTCTCTTCCACTTCCTTACCACCACCCTTCCCCCCCCCCCCCACCACCACCACCACCCCTCCTCACACAAGCAATGCCGGATATTCAGGATAATTCATGTTAAATATGGATCTCTCATGTTGGAGACATCACAGATTTATAATAATTTTCATTTTTATTACAATAGCTAACGAAGAAAGATCTGCTTTGTACATAAATTTGTAAAACTAAGTCTTGCATCGATTAATAAGAAATTGAGGTCATGAACTTAGTTATTCAAGACATCTTTCCTCAAACAGCTGCCTTTTAGATTTTTTAATGTGCATTGAGACTATGTAAATTGTACTGTCAGAAGGGTTTTCAGGAAAATTACTGTATATAAATTAAATGTTCAGTGTCGCCCGGGAGAGGACTCATTTTTAAGGATTAGACCTAGCCTCATTTCTCTGGACTTAACCTGCGTACAGCCGCCCCCTCCCCTCAGAAAAAAAACAATTTTATTCTGACAGGAGAGCGCCTATACACAGGCTATTTGAATTTAACCATTTTATGTAAACTCGGATGGGGAGAGTGTTGTGGCTATAACAGAATCATCAAAGCACGGCTGCATAGTCAGGAAGCCGTATAACTTTAGTATTTTTTTCTTAGTTTTTAGATAAAAAGGTCTACACTTTCTACTCATGTGGGAACCTTATAATATCAAAAGTGGGAACCGAAGTTAATTGGACTTAACTTTGAGCCTTTTGCGGTTTCTCTTGTCATCTGTGCACGAGCATGAAACTAAACAATAAAGTCACAAACGATAGAAATATTTCTTTGTGCTACGTGTTCTGCAATAAAAAAAATCTTAGGGATAGAGCTGATAAGAAATGACTCTTGATTTGGCTCAAAATGTTCCGATCCATACATTAAAGGTGAATCATTCAAAACCCTTAAATTTGACCTAAAAATCGACCTCAGAAAACCCGGCCCCAGAAGGCCGATCTATACCTCACAACAAAACAGGGACAATCGAGCTAAAACATCGGCATAATGTGAAACTAAAGGCGCTTTCCATTTGTCAGAACTCACCGGCCAGCTCATTCCCATCGTAATGAGAATTCCCCTTTTAATCAAAACTAACCATCCAGATCAGTCAAATCCTAAATATTATGCACAAAGGAGATGATTTTTCAGCAAAACCTCTTGGAAAAAGCCTGTTTCATTGCCAAAATGTTTGGTTCGCGATCGGCCATAGTCCGACCGGGCAGTCCTGACTTTTGGAAAGCGCCCTAAGTAACTAAGTAACAGTAACAGTAACTAAGTGTACCCAATTTGACCAAAATCGACCAACACCTATTTCCAAGCCTACCACACTCTCTCAGGCAGAACTTCTCAACTATATTTTCATTTGGTATCACAGGAGTGTCAAAAATGATTAGTTTTTGTACTTAATATAACCTTCTTTTTGTTTTCTGAATAATTAGGTAGGGTACACAAAGATTTTTTTTTAGTATTTTCATCTTAATTTATAGAAAAAAGTTTCAAGGGATTCTGCATGAAATATTGTATAAATAACAGACAGAGTTATTCAGGAGATGCGTTAGTTAGATTAAATCTAGGGACGAAGAAGTGGAAAATTCTATCATGTCTTATCTGTCTAATGGAGACAAAATATTTTCAATTGATTTCAAATGTACTAATGACAACTATTTTGCTTTTTTTTTACCTCCACGCACCTCTAAAGAAACGCTACGCCTAAGAAACAGTTCAACTTTTAATACTAAAACCTCGAAATGGCAGAAAGAATACTACAAGATGTAGCTGAACAAAAAGTACGTCTTCCAAAAGCGCAAATCATTAAAAACAGGGCAGAGAAAGTACGTGCCTGGGCTCTAGCTAGCGATTATTACTCCCTCGGTGACTTCCATCAAACAATAGAGTACCTCAATCAATACCTGAGCATTGATAAGGAAAAAAACAGTTGCAGAGGATGTGAAGGACAAGCCTATCACAATCTCGGCGTTGCTTATGAATCCCTCAGGGAATTCCAACGAGCAATAGAGTACTACAAGAAAAGCTTGTGCATTGCCAAGGAAATCGGTGACAGGGAACTAGAAAGAGATGCCTATTTTAATCTCGGCTGTATTTATCATTCCCTCAGGGAATTCCAACGAGCAATAGAGTACCACAAGGAAAGCTTGTGCATTGCCAAGGAAATCGGTGACAGGGAACTAGAAAGAAAAGCCTGTTGTAATCTCGGCAATATTTATCATTCCCTCAGGGAATTCCAACGAGCAATAGAGTACCACAAGGAAAGTTTGTGCATTGCCAAGG